TTTATGTGAGAGGGATTTAGAGCAAATAACTTCGTAAACCTGTTTTTGTATAAACCACTGAATTATTATTACCCCTTTTAATTCTGCCTCCATGTTTCCACCACAGGACTTTGTTGAGGACTTTTTGATCTGCTTTTTTGCGTGCATGGTTACTTATTTCAGCATAGATCAAAGCTTCCTCTCTTCTTTCCTGCAGGTTCCTGTATCTACATACGTTATCAGATCAAACATTGACGATTAAAAAAATTAATCCTCTTTCCGTCGTCAGACCCCCTTTTTAAAAAGTTCATAAAAGAACGTAAAACTTTCTTTTTTCTCCTCAAAAAGCCCCAGTCTGTCTTTGTGTGAGCTCAATATGAAAAAGTCTAAAAATCAGCAGATCTCACTGCAAACAAAGGTAATTCTCTCCTGAGCGGCTGACTTGAGCCCAGACCCCCTTCCCAAACCATAAATGGCTGCAAATGCATCGTTTAATGTGGTTGGAACCGCTCCACGGGTCGTAAACCAAACACAGACACAGAGCTGCTCCTGAGGAATGTGTTGTGGGGTCACCTGAGGTCAGCTGCTGCAAGTTTATGATAATCCTAAAGAACATTTAAAAGTGCTTTATGTTTACAGTCTATTTCTGCTGCAATTATCACTTTTATTTACACAAAACTGCTTTTTTAGACTTTTCACCAAATTTGATTAAAGCTTAGCCAGCATTGGGCTCACTTATACCCATATTCCATTTTCCCAGAGATGTAGTAAATATTCATTTCAGATGGAGATGACGTCTGAGGAGAACCACTAATCAGTATGTTTCCTGGAGTTGCTCTGATCTGTTTATGGGCCCCTGTTTTTGGTTGCTGACAGTCAAAACACAGCTTTGTAATTTGAAGGACGCTCTAAACAGAACAGGAAGTTGTCTCGGTTGAGTTGGATTGTTGCTACAGGCTAGTGGAGACCGCGTCATTTTCCACTTTGACTCTAGGATTTTGTTTTTGCATAAATAAACCCAGAATAGTCAAAAAATGTGAGATTTTCCAGGTATTTGAATGCATCATCCGCTCTGAGGTATCTGTTTGCGCCCCCTGTCGTTTCCCTCCAGGAGGACAGCTCAGACCTGAAGTGTCAGCTCCACTTTGCCAAGGAGGAATCGGCCCTGATGTGCAAGAAGCTGACCAAGCTGGTGAAGGACGGTGAGGCCATGAAGGAGGAGCTGGCCAAGTACAGGTCCATGTACGGAGATGTCAACGCCTCGCTGACCGTGGAGGAGGTGAGAGAAGGTTGTAAATAAAAGCTCAGCTGTTCAGTAGAAAGCAGAGAATCAAAAGCAGGTTTTCCTTTTTGACCCTCCTGCAGGTTGCTGACTCCCCACACACCCGTGAAGCTGAGGTCAGAGTTCACCTGAAGCTGGTGGAGGAGGAGGCCAACCTGTTGAGTCGACGCATCGTGGAGCTGGAGGTGGAGAACCGGGGCCTCCGCGCCGAAATGGACGACATGAAGGGGTCGCAGGGTAGCTCACCCAACTCCTCGATCATTCAGAGTCTTTTCATTGATGATAGAACAAGTCCAACTTCCTGTTCTTCATTCACAGATAGTCCTCAAGATCTCACAGGTGGTGGTGGTGGTTCTGGACCAGGCCTTTCGGGAGGAGCCGCCGTTCTTGGAGGAGGAGTGTTTTCTGAAAACGTCATGGAGCTCCAGAGGCACCTCCAGTTCGTGGAGGAGGAGGCGGAGCTGCTGAGGAGGTCCCTGATCGAGATGGAGGAACAGAACAAGCTGCTGATGAACGAGATCAACCGCTACAAATCCGAACTCCCACCTACAACATCGTCGCTGTCATCCAGCTCGCTGATGTCTCTGACAGATGGGCGGCTCAACGATAGCCCCGCCCACTCTGTACAGGAAGGGGCGGTGCTTATTAGTACTGACAGCCCGACCCATGAGGAGGAGCTCCGATCGGCCCAGCTTCAGGTCGGAGAACTGAGTGGGAAAGTGAAGAAGCTGCAGTACGAGAACCGCGTGCTACTGTCCAACCTGCAGCGCTGTGACCTTGCCTCGTATCACGCTCCTTCCTCCTCATCGTCATCGAGACTGGCGCTGGAGACTGATGCAGAGGCAGGAGACTCCGCTGAATGCCTACCCTTCAGGTACGTCTTCCACTTACAGTCCGAAGTCGGTCTGTCTGAACGAGTACTAAAGATTCGCCTGTCTGTCCGTCAGCCCGCCCCATCGGAAAGAGCCCGTTGGCGGAGAGAACGAATCCGTTGAGATCAATGAGCAGAAAAAGACGATGGAGGACAACGCTGGTGCACCAGCCTCACTCCTAGGGCGCCTCGGGCAGAAGGACCATGATGCCCTTCTGGCCATGAGGGGCCAGGCCCGTTTGGTTTCCACGGCAATACAGCTGCTGACCTCCCCCGAGTCCAACTGCCTCTCATCCTCACCTTTAGTGTATCACAAGGTGTGCAGCAATGAGGCAGCAGAGTGCGACCTTGAGAAACCTCCGCCTCTCTCCCAGGTACCTTCCCTCCGTCCGGGGCGAACACTGAATCGTTTCGCTCTTCTTCTGATCCGCTGAATAAAATAAACCTGGCTGCTTCTGCTCTCCAGATGTCAGAGCTGTCTGATCTGGTGGACCTTCCTCTGGTTGGCGCTCTGACCAGCAGGCTTCAGGTGCTGCACTCCCAGCTGCAGGTCTTTGTGGAGCAGGTAGATGCCCTGGGTACGCCTCAGGTGGACGGAGATGGACAGGATCAGGAAGTGGAGGAAAAGGTAAAAGACAAGAAGCACAATCTTCTCCACCCCCTACTGTCACTCGCTTCCTTTGTTTTATTTTGTCACATTTAAATGCCTAAACTTTATTTTTGGCTGATTACCACCCGACCCCATCCCAACGTGCTGCCTGAGTTTCTCTGCAGTGAGAAAAGCTTTACACGGCTCGCTCAATCCCGACGTTCATCCCAAAAACATCCCATTCTCTGAGCTGCTGGTGCAAAACCCTCCACTGCATGCTGTTCAAATTCCTCACCTGTGTTTAAATGCTGCTTTTGGGCCTCAAATGGAGCCGGGTGCTCGGACAAAGTGAGATTAAATGGAAATTTATAATGTGGGTTCACGCTGACTGTGGCTGTGCAACTGTGGCCGCTCAGATTATAATTTGGATTAACTTTTGAGTTTGTTTAAGTGGATCTTAATAGTGTTCTTGTTGCTGCAAGAGAAGAATGTGATGAAAATCCACCAGGTTCCTTTAGCTTCCCGTCTTTTGCTATGTAGGAAAATCTAGGAATGGTTGCGTCTCTGAAGCAACAGATACACATTTCCTACTTTTTTAGTCATTTCCAGTCATTATTTCCTTTTGAAATTCTCCACCTACACTGTAAGAAAGGAAATGTTGAATTTACTAAACAAATTATGTCACCTGGTCACTAAACCTAGCTGCATGTAAATGTAATATACATTTTTATGTTAAAAGTAAACGTATATTCTGCTTTACATTTAAGCGGCTAGGTTTAGTGACCAGCTGACATAACTTGTTTAGTAAATTCAACATTTCCTTTCTTACAGTGTTTCAAAAGAAATTTGAAAAGTAGCATAAATGTATTTTTTTGTTAGTTTGTTTTTTTACAAGATTTTAAAGTCTGATATTTGCAGTCAGAAGCAATGGAAGTCATAACTTATTTCAATAAATCATAAATTAGATTTTCATCTGTTTTTGCTTTTTAAATTTATTGAAGTGTAGATTTTTACTTTTTAACCGAAGTAACAACATAAGCTAGGATGTCTGTGCATACATGAGACACAAAAAGTCTTGTTCCGCAACAGAAAACATCACAAAATAAAAAAAAAACTTTTTACTTTTTATGTGTTAGTTTTCTGTGTCCTACACTCTAAAAAATAAACAGTTGAATTTACTAAACAAATTATGTCACCTGGTCACTAAACCTAGCTGCATGTAAATGTAATATACATTTTTATGTTAAAAGTAAACGTATATTCTGCTTTACATTTAAGCGGCTAGGTTTAATGACCAGCTGACATAACTTGTTTAGTAAATTCAACATTTCCTTTCTTACAGTGTTTCAAAAGAAATTTGAAAAGTAGCATAAATGTTTTTTTGTTTTTTTACAAGATTTTAAAGTCTGATATTTGCAATCAGAAGCAATGGAAGTCATAACTTATTTCAATAAATCATAAATTAGATTTTCATCTGTTTTTGCTTTTTAAATTTATTGAAGTGTAGATTTTTACTTTTTAACCGAAGTAACAACATAAGCTAGGATGTCTGTGCATACATGAGACACAAAAAGTCTTGTTTCACAACAGAAAACATAATAAAATAAAAATAAATAAAAATAAACTTTTCACTTTTTATTTGTTAGTTTTCTGTGTCCTACACTCTAAAAAATAAACAGTTGAATTTACTTAACAAAGTTATGTCACCTAGTTCCACTAAACCTTGTTGTGTAAATGTAAAGAGTAAAAAGCATTGGTTTACGTTGTGATGTTAAAGGTAAATGTATATTTATTTTTACATTTACGCAACTAGGTTTAGTGGAACCAGTTGACTTAACTTGGTTAGGTGAATATAACATTTAATTTCTTGCAGTGTAGTTTTTCTAATCCATCAGTTGATCCATGTGCGTGTTTGATACACAGTTTATTAGGAGGTCTGTAATGTTTTATGTTTGTTAAAAGAACTTTAATTCATGAGATCAAAGTAGAACATTTTAAATTCTGACCTCCGAGAGCCGTTAACGATGATTCAGAGCTTTTTTCTTCATTCTTTTAGTTGTTTTATTTGAGTGATTTTGTCTTCCGACGGGATCCGATGTGGATAAATGATGCAGCAGTACCGATCTGTGATGTTTTGACTCCATTAGAGGCCAATTCCAACCCCTCCAATCTCCCCCGTCCCTCTTTCTTCCCTCTTTCTTTCTGCGCGGGCACCACCACTTTCCCACTTCTTCCATTTCCTTTTCCCACCTTTTCACACACTCTGGTTGTCATCGTCCCCTTTGACCCTTCTTCCTACCTCACCTCCTTTAACTATAACTCGTTATTTTGTTCCCCCTTCGCTCTGACCTTTCATCCTAACTGCCTTCCCATTTCCTCTCTTCTTTATTCCCATCTATCCTTTTCTGTGTCATCTCCTCGTCCCTCAGCGGTTCATCCTACCCTCCATTCTTCTTTTCCTCCTTTTCTCCACCCTCTCATTCTCCTCTTTGGCCAAGCTTTTTTTCCTCTACATCCTCTTCTGTGTCTTGTGAGGTCCATAAGTCGTTTCTGTGTTTTTCATGTCACATCGGCGATTGGCGGACGCTGTTTTGGTTTGTTTTTTATTGTGTTTTCCGTCATCTTCTCCATTTTGTTGTTCTCCCAAAACGTCTCCCACCTCATCTCTACCTCCCTTTTTTCCTCTGTGGTTTATTTTTGTTTGTGTGCGTGTGTTTGTTTTTGGTTTTTCTTCATTAACTTGCCCATGCGTGCATGCAGCAGCTCGATTATAGGGACCGATCAGAGCCAGACGTGAACGATGAAACTGAGGAGACGAGCCAATCTGTCAGCCAGGAGTCGCCGAATCAGGAACGCAGCCAGATGGAACGGGAGGGGAAGGAGACGGATCAGGCGTTGGTGAGCTTAGTCACGAACAACATTACAGCCACAGACTTTTTTATTGGAGACCTGATGTGCTTGCACCTCATGGCTGACGGCCAACACACGTCTTCAAACCAGCCTTCACCGTCATGTTTTGTTTTCTACCCGGTAATTTTCTAGCATCAGTGAGAGTTTGACGTAAACATCTGCAGCAGTCGACCAGCAGGGTGTGTTTGTGGTGTTAACAGTTTGATTTTAGAGTTAAATTCACATTAGACAACAACATTGTTGGCCACGGCGCTGACAGGAAGGGTGCACCTCTGTTTGTTTGACCTTTCACGGTGTGTCTCCGTGGCAACCAGGGTTCTGTGCGTCTGCATCTTTATCCACGATGTCGAGGGTGAGCGGGTGAGGACACAGACATGGAATCAGACACAAGAAAGATGAAAGGCAGATTTAGACGCTGTTGTGTGAACTTAGCTGAGTTCAGCAGTCATGGAGTTTTCATTTTCACCCAGCTGATAACCGTTTTCCTCTGCTCATCCGGGGCTTCCCAGCAACCTCCACGAGCTTCACCAGTGGGATCCCATGGTGAAGATAAAATCCCTCCAATTTGTCCCAGTCAAGCTAATATTGAAATACATCTTCATCTGCAAGCAGAAGAAAGAGTCCGATCAGGTCTTTTTGGCTTGTGGGACTCTATTCGGGGGTTTTGGAGAGGAAGGTCCATCGGATTGTCGAACCTTAGATTCAGGAGGAATAATGTGGCTGTGGAACACTGGACCAGCTCTATACCCTTAGGGGGACCTGGAGGGTATGACCGGTGCCTGGCTGTTTCCTGGTGAGAGTTGGAGTCCTCCTAAGCTGCTCTTCATCACCGATTCTGCTCATAACTTTTATGGACAGGATTTCTCGGCACAGCTAAGGTGTTTTGGTGGCCTGAGGATCAGGCGATGTGGTCCGGTTGGCTTCATCAGAACGTGATTTCCAGCTTTCGAAACTAAACGATGTGTCAGTTTTAGTTCATCCTTTCTGGGCATTAACCCCGCAGCAAATCACAATCAAAAAGCATCTTGAATCTTTTCATGTACAAAAATATCTTCTCTGGGAGATAAAGTTCTCACGGCAAAGTCTTCCTTTAACTGTGCTTACTTTTGTGAAAACCTCTCCTGATGTTTGAGCACATTCCCTATGAGCGGCTGGCACTTTTCACAGCAGCGAGTCATTAAATCTAGAGGTCGGGTTTTACGGCTGACGATGGAGGCAGTTAGCGATGGGGTGGTGCGCCTGGCTGAGGGTGATGGAGGGCAGAAACTGAGCCTATTGGAGGGTAAAAAAGGACATTAATGGTACAGCGGGTAGGTCGATGGATTGCCCTCACTCAGCAGCTAAATGAACCATGGGAATGTGAGGATAACCGTGTGTGTGTGTGTGTGTGTGTGTGTGTGTGTGTGTGTGTGTGTGTGTGTACTTTGTGTAGCAGAGCTGAAAGTACTCTGATGTAGTTCTCACACTTGTCAGTTTCTGTATTTATCACATCCTAGTTCCTGTATCTTCTACCTAACCATAGGCCTTCTCCATCACAAATGACTTGTCTCCTGTCCTTCTTCTCCAGTCCATCCAGGCCACTGACCTTCAGGCTCAGCTGTCCAAAGCAGAGGAATCGGTCCAAAAGACTCGGGAAGAACTGGAGAAAAACCGGCAGAGTGACAGTCACAAACTCTCCCAGGTCAGTTTGCAGTGAAAACACAACAAAAAGCCCTTCTGAGGTGGTGTTCCCTGAGTGAGTTTCTCCTGCTCTCAGCTGCAGGAGGAGCACCAGAAAGCCCTGATCCGACGGGACTTCCAGCTGCAGAGTCTGGCCGTGCAGGCTCGGCTGCAGCAGAAGCTGTGGAGCCAGGAGAGGACTCTGCTGGTTCAGGAGTCCCAGCACCTCAAACAGGCTCTGTTGCTGCTGAGTCTCAAACTTCGCTGCTTCCTCAAACAGTGGAGGCTGGGCTGCAAGAAGGACGCAGAGTGGAAAGATGTCCTGGAGGTGTGAGAGAGCGAGAAGAGCCGTTTGTCTGTTGTTTATTTGAAGCATGAATGGATTTTTTTAAATGGTGATTTTTAGATGAACAGCTTGAACGACCTGTACTTGTTGTTGGAGGAGGAGAACCTGTCCACAAACCAAACGGACAAGCAAGGAGCTGCAGAAGAACTCAGCCAGACTATAAAGGTGAGGAGGTCACTAGTGCACACACACACACACAAGGTGGTGTAACCCTTGAACCAGAAACACATCTTCACCTCATCCCCCTGTGATAAGTAATCCATGCTCCGCACACATAGATGCTCTCAGACACGCTGATGATCACCTGTCTCCCTGCAGTCGAGCGCCGTGAGCAGCACCTTGGCCGACCTGAGGGTCGCCCTGCAGGATCTGAGCGCAGAGCTACGGCAGGAGAGACAGGGCTCGCAGGAACTCACCCAACAGTTCGCTAAAGCCAAGGCATCTTGGGAAGTGGAGAGGACTGAGCTGAAGAGCATCATCACACAGGTCAGTTTTATTGAAAACCTCCCTAAAACATCTCTCTTGGTCCCTTTTTCCTATAAAATATAATCGTTTTAATGTAAGAAGAAAATAATGTTTTCAAAAATGATTTCTACATTTTAGATGAACTGTTGACTCTGTGGCTTACAGCTGAGGTTGTTTTATTTAACTTTAGGAGGACCAGAGTTGGTTTTAATGCTCTGATACATGAAACCTTAGAATTAAAGGATGGTGCAGCCACCTTCTTACCCCATTTTATTCTCTACTGCAAAAAAATCCTGCTTCTTCAGCGCCCGAAACGGACATTTAAAAGCCCACTGAGGCTGACCAGTCAGAGCAGAGTTTGTACATCTTTTCGGTGCAAAAACTACATATATTACATCATTTAAACTATTAAAGCCTGTTTGAGTGCATTGCTATCTTTCAGTCTCATCTTCCAGTGTGGAGTAATAGTTTGAACACCGCCGACCGCCTTTGTCTCCCTGTGTCATATCAGCAGCTGAAGCGGTAATAGTTTAAATTAATAGCCTCTAGAACAGAACGTGTGTGTAGCTGAGCAGAAAAACCACAGATAAATTAAAAGAAGCCTGCAAATATATTAAACTGTAAAATTCATATTCAGAAAGGCTCTAAATGCCTATAAATTGCTTATGAAAGCTTAAAAATTGCCTTCATTGACGTAGTTTACTCTGCAATGTCGTTAGCATCATAATGCTAAAGCTATCCATTATAAACCCCATCCATCACTCTGCAACTTCAAGATAATCTGCAGAGAATTGATGCAAAGAAGAAACCAAACATCCAGCTGCCTTATCGTGGTCCTTCCAGCCCGCAAACTCGATATAGCTGACAGTCGTTGTTAATCATCGTCACCTTCTGATCCGTTCTGTCCTCGCATCGGGGTACCAGATGATTTGTCTTGTGGATGAGAGCAAAGACAGAAAATGCTTTTTATTTTCTTTTTTCCTTAAACTGCAGATTTTTAGTGATGAAAATTGATTTTACTCTGTTTAACTAACAGATCTGGTCAAAAATGAAACACAACTATATAAACTGCAGCCTTGTTGTTTGCTGAAATCTCCCATGTGCTAGATGCTACATCTGGAAGCTATCTCACCCTCTGCCAGCAATGCACAACTGAAAATTTGCAGTGTGTGTGTGTGTGCGCGCGCGCGTGCGTGTAATTAGAAAACAATCAGCTGACCACATCAGAGCCCAGGCTTCCTGGCAGCGGCTCCTCCAGTGGTTCTTTTCTGAACAACTTCATTTCTTGCTCCGTCCTGCTGTCAGAGACTTTGACAGGAAATTATCTTCGCTGTTCAACCAGATAAACACACAGTCAGTAAATTACACAAGGTGGCAGCAGGAACCCTGAAATCATCGCAGAAAATTAAATTATCACCCATGAGCTGAGGTCCACTTTCACGTCGCACCAGACCTTCTGGGTCCATGATTGTTTGTAGGACATGTCACTAACTGGAAAAACACAGAAAACACCTGGAACCTCGTTACGCTGGAAGCTGCTTTATTCATTAGTAAATCCACTGCAGGTTTACCCCAGAACTATCCTGGCAAGCCATCCTATGTATGTAAATATCTCGTCTGGCCACCTGTTCAACCCTTTCTGCACGCTATTGGACAGCAGTAGGACCAATCAGAGCAACAAACAATGTGACTTAATCACAGCGACAGAAATCAGTCAACAGGGAAAGATGATGATTATTTTATAAAGGACTTAAAGCAGAAATCTAGAGTTTTTGTCAGAGTGCACCATCTAGAGGAAGAAAAAGGTATTACACTTTAAGCCCCACTCCTTACTTCCAAGATTACGGTTTGAAGAAACGCCTCTTGTAGCTCTAACCAGGCAACAGAGCTGAAACACATTGATTTACAATTATTATTCTTACATTATGCTGTTCATTCATATATTGAATCGTATTTTACAGACTTACTTGTCCAACAGTAATACCACCAACTCTGCATCTTTCCAGATAAAATTGTGTGTGCGCTGTCCGTGAGCGGGTATCTAACGCTGTTGGCTAATGCTGAGTCCCGCTCAGGTCAAACTGCATGGTGCTCAATGGGTCATGGGGCAGGCTTAGCAAAAAAAAAAGGGGACATTTTGCCAACATTGTATGACAGTACAAAGTGAGCCTATTGTTCTTACAGATTTCTAAAAATCGTTCCTGAATTGCTGCTTTGAGTACCTCTGTCTGTTCACGTTTCAAAGAAAAGTCCAAGTCTAAATCATCCAAAGTTGATGCCAAAGCCATTTCAAATGAGCGCCGTTCCCGAGCCACCGCCATCTTTGTAGTTTTGCACTGCCACCATCATGGGATCTGCCGTAATGATGCTAGGCCCGCCCAACGCCTCTCTACAAACTGGCCCGGCCTACACTTAGCTGAGACAATGGTAGACCTGCTAAGGCTACAGCAGAGCGTGGCTACACCAACAAAATCTCCCGCTACCGCTACGGTTTGTCTAGATTGCGAGGCTAGCTCAGAACTGTACGCGTATGAAAGATAAAGAGCACCGATGGTTGTTTTTTTGTGTGTGTGTGTAAATCATCATCACACACCAGTGAAATTCATCTCCACATTTGACCTATCCGCATGGAGAGGAGCGGTGAGCTGCTGCGCTCAGGAACTACTTGGTGGTTTAACCCCCCAATCCGACCCTGATTGTCAAGCAGGAAGGCATTGGGTTCCATTTTTTTAAGTCTTTGGTATGACCCGACTGGGAATGGAACCTCGACCTCCCAGTCCCAGGGTGGACACTCTACACTAGGCCACTGAGCTGGTACACACAGCGAGTACACACAGCTGATAACATTTTACATCAACGATAGCATCATTACGCTAGCTCTAGGCTCCTCCTGCTGGTAACCCCTGAGTACTACATCTACAGCAAATGGCCTGAACACACACAAAAACAATGCGGCTGTGAATTGATCATATATGTGTTCTTTAAACGTTTAGCAGAACCTTCCGGAAGTTTTCTGATTTACCACCGTGATGGTTACAAGCAGGCATCTAAACAACTTTTTTTTTGCTACTTCACACTTGTTTCTGCTGAGGTTGTGAGTAAAAAACAAGGGGAGGGGTCAGGGAAAACCAAACAGTGGCTCCATCAGAAGGCTTTGTTTCAGCTGCAGAAGTCAGCTGTTTACAGCGCTGCTATATTCGTGTTGGTTACGTAACGTCTAGCCTGTTTCTGTTTATTATACCGGCTCGTAGGAATGTTGTGGTTTCGGTTTGGCCCAGAATCACAGATGAGTCCCACTTTGTGGTAAAAATAGTTTGATAATATCAGCATTTCTGATTTTATGAAGAAATTTCACAGCAGAAGAGAAACTCTGTCTAGGAATGGTGCCTCTAGGAATTCCCAGAGGCCTCCTGGCAACTGCTTGACTTCTTATAATTATATAATAATAATAATATTATTATTAATATCATTTCACTGCATTTTTTTAATTCATTAGCGAGTCAAATCAGCTGCTGTATATTTTCTAATTAAAAGCTGTTTCTGGACTAGTGGCTGTTTTTATAAAACATGTTTCCCCACAAAAATCACTAAAATTATCTTCTTTTCCTTATAAAGGTTACTCTGTTGAACTTGAAAGTCACAGAACAAGTGTAAAAAAATTTAATTATTAGTTTTTCAACTAAATAAATGATTTTAATTCAAAAAATGATAAGTTTTATCTTCCTGAATAAAATAAAGCCGAATCCTGAGCTTAAACGTTTCTGATGCACCAATAAAAACCTGTCATCCAGCTTCTGCTGCCTCAGCAGTGAACTCCTCTGAGATGTGGGTCTCATTAGGTCGTCATCATCAATAACGAGAAGTACAGTGTTGCCACGGGAGCTGGGAGCTGGGCCCAGCCTGCGACTGGTTGGTTGGCAGCACCATTAGCACCGCGTACAGGCGCCACCGAGCCAGACGGATCGGGACGGAGGAGGATTGATGGGTCTGGGAGGCGTAGCGGTGTTAGAGCGTTTGTTAAATCGGTGGGCCAGTGGTGTGGGCTGTGAGCGGTCCGGGGCTCACACACAAGAAAATGTGAAGCTGCTCATAAATATTTGAAGGGATGCCACCTACAGGCTCTGACAGCAGAAAGGGGGTGAGGTAGCTCAAAATAGAGGGTGAGGAATCTGCAGAGAGGGGAGGAAGTAGCTGGGAAAACCTCAGGAAGGAGGCTTCTCTTTATGTCTCCGTCAGCTCGAATGAACTCAAATGTCCCATTTTACTCACTCTGTGTTATCAGGTGGGATTGCTTCCATTACTCTGTGTATTTATGCGTACCTGTATGTGAAAGATTTCTGTTGTGGTTTCTGCAGCTTGAGAGCAAAGCTGGCAAAGCCACAGCAGCCCTGTCTGCCCCTGAAACCCTAGACCCCATCGACCTGAAGGTGGCACTGAAGAAGGAGCGTGAGGAGCACCAGCACCTCCTCGCGGAGTCCTACGCAGCAGTGATGGACCTAACCAAACAGGTGAAAGGTCAAACCTTTGAGCACAGGCCTGGGAAGCTGAAAAATATGATGTTTTGTTCTAAATCTCCTGATTTCTGACCAATCAGCTTCAGATCGGAGAGAGAAACTGGAGCAGGGAGAAGGTGGAGCTGCTGGAGAGGTTCAGCAGGGAGAGAGCTCAGTGGGAACAGAGACTCAGAGAGGCCGCGGCGCAGCAGGAGAAGGTACGGCACGCTGGTTTACTCTGAGATACGTGGGATGGGAGTTTACGACAGTAGGAGGACACTGAGGATAAATCAGAGTTTTCTCTTTACATCACAGCCGAAGCCGCTGGGCGACGAGTCAGACATGGTGGCTGCTCGCGGATCGGCGTTGCAGAGGTGAATGTTGAAGAGCTTACCGATTCATGCATGACTTCCATTTTTACCGTGTTAGTTTTACTCAGCAGCTGTTCTTGTGAAAAGGGTCAAATCCTCCATGGAGTTGGAGGCTGGAGAGACGGACCGTCAGGGCGAGAAGATGCACTTTGATGCCCCGCCTCTTTTTAATCGCACTGAGCTCTGTGACCTCACCAGGAAGAACTGGACCTACCTGACCAATCAGGTTTGGACTTTTAAATATTGCTCTTACATGTAACTGGTTGGCTTTAAGCTGATCCGTTTATGTTCTCTTGGTCCAGACCCCAGAGACTACGGACAGCTGTAAAACCTGGGACGGTCCCAGCGTCTCCCACAGCAGCTTAGTGGAGTCCCAGTCTGATCTGGAGTTTGTGCAGAGAAGCTACACCGCTCCAGATCGCTCCGGTATCCGGATCTACTACAGCCCTCCGGCTGTGAGACGCGTGGAGCCCCGGAGAAGAAACCTGGAACCCGTAGATCCTCCTCCACCTGGGAGCTCCTCTCTGGGACACAAAGACGCTCTGAGCTCCTTTCACACTGAGCCGCCAGCGTCCTCCTTCACTTCCTCCTACGAGCAGTGGCTGAGCTCGCTGTCCAAGCAGCACCGAGAGCTGCTGGAGAGCAGGAGCAGCTGCATCTCCAGCTCCATGCCCAGCATCGTCATTAGCAACGTGAGCTCCGGGGCGGATAACAGAGTGGTCGATGGGATGACGCCCACTTCTCCTTTCCACAACCTGGACATTGGAGAGATTTCAGCAAACTTAAGTGACGACATGAAGGAAATGACCAACTGTGTCCGCCAGGCCATCAGGTCTTCTTCTCTGGAGAGGAAATCCAGCAAGGAACCTGGAAATCAGGTAACATCATCTAATAAATCATTTATCTCTTTTATTCAGTTGTTCTGAAACAAGATGAAATTTATGTGCTTGATTGTTCTAACCTCTGCCCAGCTGGTGGGAGTATGCACCAGGTCCACTCAGACCTCTGCTCAGAATGTCAGCGTTGGGCTTCAAACGGAGAACTTCCCCAGCAGCAGGGGGGCGGGACTACACCCCAAGGCCTGGTCTCCTCGTCCATCTCCCGCCACCACCTCCTCTCTGGCATCAGCCCGGACTCGGCAGATCTCTACGTCTCTGGATAAAGTTCACAGCCGTATCGACCGGCCGTGCTGCTCCCCCAAATATGGATCTCCAAAATTACAACGCAGGGTCTCATCTGGTAGCTTTTTTTTCTTATCATTTCATTTAGCATCATTTAAACCCAGTTGACGGCATTATGGAGGATTTGCTTTCAGGCTCCACCTCCAGACTGGACAGCCCGTCTTCCAACAGGGACCGCAGCCTGTGGAGCCTCCAGCAGAGGCCTATTAGTGGGGGTGGGGGCTCGGCGTGGGCTCGCTCCACCACCACGAGGGACAGCCCCGTCCTGAATGGCCTCACCGATGGCCTCTCCAGCCTGTTCAGTGTGGTGGAACACTCTGGAAGCACGGAATCACTCTGGAGACCTGAAATAGGTGAGCATGTGTGAAAATTCATATCCTTTAACCTGAAATTACAGACTTTTGTGGATTCTTTTTTTTATTTTACTTGAAATGAAGCTAATGGGAGCTTTGTTGTGCTGCTTTAGGAGCCAGCCAGACCGCCAGCCCAGCTCGGCAGCCTCACGCTGCAGGAAAACCATCCGGAGCTGGGGTCTGTGGATCTGATTCCAGCTCCCAGCGGTATGGAGGACTGGTACAAGAGCTCTATGGGAACGTCTGCAGCAGCCGTAGCCCAGTAGGAGTCACCCTGCCTGGGGAGAGAGCACACAGAGACTCCCTTGGCAACCTTGGAAGCGTGAGTGTGTTGGGAGGAATCAGAGATGTGGATGAACCCAAGTCGGACTGTGTCCCAGCGGGAGTCGGAGGACCCGGCTGCGACACCGTGACTAGGATTGTCAACAAGAGGTTTATGAGGCAGACGGCTGGGGAGGAAATGATCAGCATCATGGGAGGAGGGAAGGAAATGACGAGCAGCGCCGCGGCCGCCGGACCAGGCACGGAGGTGAGGTCCATTAAAATTCCTAAAGCACCGTAGTTCTGTTTTTCTTCATTTACACAAATTCTTCGGATTCCCAGGAAGCTCCATGTGACTGCGCCGCTCAGTCTTGTGTCGCCCGACCATCGAGAGCAGCCGCACGCCACTGCAAGCATCGTCCGCAAGAAGCTCCAGCGGCAGCAGAGGAGAAAGGAGACGCCTGCGCCGAGTGACGCCCCCACGCAGAAATCTAAGCACATTCGCTTCCTAACAAACACCACTGCCATGACACGGCTCCTCACGTCACCAACAGTACATACACACCTCCAAGCGCACTGCCAAACCCAACACACACAGAGTGATAGCACACAGCTCTGACTGCCTGACAAACCTACTGCCACACACACACACACACAAACACACTCTTTCACACTCACAGACACACACAATCCATCTTGGATGCCAAGGACAGGTCCAACTTGACAAATCTACCAGCAAAACCGAACACGGACACCGTCACCTCCTCCAAACAAGAATTATTCTGACCTAAGGAGAGTTTAACAGGTATGATATCAGGACTGGATCTACTCAACTAAACCTTCTTAGTCCAGATCATTCATCAGAAGGACTTCACCTCACTGTTGAGTATCACTTGGAGCTGTAGGATAAACACTTTTACCAAAATAATCCATTCATGGGTTCCACATCATGCATGGATTTAAATGTAAATGATCCTTAATTTATGGGTTTGATGAAAAATGGGCTTGTTTTAGAGTGCAGGGAGGATGAAGGATTCATCCTTAAACCATCGAGGGTGAATCTGATGAAGACATGAACACAGCATGAAACTGGGAGCAAAACATACAAATTAAATCCATTTCATTAGAACAAACAGACCCTTTGGTTTGCATTTGGGTGAAAAACATTAACAGTAATCAAACATGCATTCAAGCCACAGCTGAGTTCAGTCTAACACTTAAAGCTTTGGTCTGTAAACTCTTCACTCTAAAAAAATGTTGAATTTACTTACATCAGTTGGTTCCACTACACTTAGTTTAAATGTGCAGAGAATTACATGTTGTCCTTTTACAAGAAAATGTACATTACTCTTTACATTTAGTCACTAGGTTTAGTGGACTCAGTTGACGTAACTTGGTTAAGTAAATTCAACAATTCATTTTTTAAAGTGTATCAAAATAATTTAGAAAAGGTAGCATAAATGTTTTTTTAAACAAGATTGTAAAGTCGGTGACATTTGCACTTAGAAGCAATGGAAGTTATAAATAATTTCAAGGATTTGTGAAATACATTTTTATCATTTTAAAAATATTTTTATTTATTGAAGTGTATTTTTTTTTTATTTTTAAACTAAATATCAAACAACTTAAGCTGGGATGTCTGTGCAAACATGAGACACAGATGTCTTGTTCTTTTACAGAGGAAAAGGTAAATTTGGACATTTTTTTCTTCCTTCTATTTATTAGTTTTATGTCCTACACTCTAAAAAATAAACTGCTGAGTTTACTTAACCTTGTTGCTTTAATGTAAAGAGTAACATACATCTAGTTTTGACATAATTTATAACAATGTATATTATTCTTTACATTGAAACAGTTGACATAACTTAAGTAAATTCAACATTTCCTTTCTTACAGTGTGGCTTTTTTCTAATCAATCAGCTGATTAAGTGCCTGTTAGTTTGTCTTTTAGTCGGCTCACACTGAACTCTAAAAAACACACAAACCAAACATCCTGTTTATTAATTTTATAAAGGATTTTATGTATCAGCTTGTACTAAATTTACAGTAAAGTACTGTATCTTGATGGAAAAACTAAATGGTGCAGAAAGACATAATATACATCTTTAAATGTCATTTTTATGTTAAGGAATATTCTGGAAACAGCGGTAATTTTTTTTTAATGATGACTTATTGTTAGTATGTTGTTGTTCTGGTGCTACTGGTTGTGTGAGTGGCAGCCTGACGATTGTGAGTCTCTACACACAGTTTAGTGACTCAGCAATCTAAAATTGGGCATTACAGTAACACACACTTAGGGAAACCCACAGTCTCAGTGCTGCTGCCTGTCTCAAAACCATCTGCACGAACCCTGAATGCCACACAGCTGGGTCTTCTGTTTTTATTTAAATAAATACCCCACTTTTATATGGATTTAGCCAAGAAATGTGGTTAAATTACACAGAACCTGTTATTTTATCTCTCATTATTCTCAATAAAGAGGCAGCTATAATTGGCATTAATATGTCAGACTTTACTTGTTGAAATTAAATTAATCTTAATAGATTTGAAGTATTTTAAAACAACAAGGAAACCCTTACTTACTAGGTAACATGTACTGGTACTGTTGGTAGAAACCATTTTACACTGTAAGAAATAAAATGTTGAATTTACTTAACCAAGTTACACACATTTACTTTTAAAGTAACACAGAGCAGTTTCCTGCTCCTCCTCCCTCCTGGTTGAAAGTGAAATTACAACTATTGTAAACAACCCTGCAGCAGCCTGCTGTAGCTAGCTCTAACAATGAGCTAACACTAACACGAGCCAACTAATACTAAAATAAACCACAAGGTAAAATGATCCACACTGTTGGACAAAAAATATTAATACTTACAAGTCCAGTAGCAACAAAGCCAGGTCACCATCAGTCCTTGATTTTGTAATCTACTTTAGCTCCCTCAAACTAGCATAGGCCACGCTGAGGTTCACTCTGGTTTTAGCTTTTAGCTTCACCTCCAAAGACATTACTCTCTTACTTCTGCCATAATGCCAAGAGAAAAAGCAAACATAATTTTCTTCGTCTTGTGCTTTTTATTGATGATCAGCGAACTGACAACGCTAACCACTAGCATTACAGCTAATAGCTGTAAAGCAGGTAGAGAGCATCCCTTATAGGGCACCTATCCACTCCACAAACTAGCCATTGCGTGTTTTGGTCAGCAAAGGGCTGCAGAGTGGTTTCAAATATGAAACAGGTCAAGTTTCTAACCCAACAATCACTGAGACGAATGTTAAAGCTGTAGCTTAAGTTTCTATTGCTACTTTAACATAGCAACGAATAAAAATGTATATTACTCTTTACATTTAAGCAACTGGGTTTAGTGGAACCGTTGACATAACTTGGTTAAATAAATGAAACATTTTATTTCTTCGAGTATACGAGAATGAAGAATTAGTTTAATCAAACAGTTAGCGTTTGTTCAGCTACACTGCAACACATATCAGTCATTTTTAAGTTGTTTCTAAGGAATATTAAATGATATATATAATTATGAAAATTACACATTATGGCATACCGTATACCTAATTTTCATTCTGAAATACAATTCAGTCTGTATTGGTTTTTTTTTTTCTGAAATCTTTAGAACATTTTTTCAAAAACAAACAAAAGAAAACGAAACTACTTAAATTTCCTATGCAGGATACATTATTACAATGCAGACTGTTGCTTTTAACATATTGTTCATATTTTAGACTGTTAAAAGTGAATTATTTATTCAAATATGATCAGTTTGCTGCTTTTTTTAGACTAAAAATCTGAAGTGTTTTAACTAAGTTGGGTTTTTACCTATTTTAACTGCAGAGATCCAAAATATGTCATTGGGAGACATTATTTTTATTTATTGCTGAAACTTCTTGGATGTCAATAACCCTTTAGGTGTATTTGTTTAAACCGTAGGGAGAAACTACGTTGAAGAGCAAGTCACCCCCAAATCAACATTTTTTTTTGGCTGATAAACTATATAAATAAGTGTCTAATCGTGCTGTAGACACATGTAGTCAATAATTTTACACTTTAGTCTTAGTTAATTTAAAAATGTTCTGCCTAAAACTGTCAGTGTTGTGCCGTTGTCAGGTAAAAACTCTACACTGCATTTGAATTTAAATCCGCCATCGCTATTGGTTAAGAGGTACACTATGAAGTTGGCTGGTACATTATGATGTCACAATGTCATTGTGAACCTGTGTGTGTATTTGTTAGCAGCTCCGCCCTCTCGGTCTGCGAGGCAACAGCATTTATCGCATTTTTCAAACAGGAAGTGGGAGTGGGGTAAGACTCTGTTAGGGGTCACTTGCTCTTTAAAGTCAGTCATTCCAGTGTGGCAGGGATTGTGGCAGGGATTTTGTTTTTATTTATTTTAAATACGTGTTATTTTGATCAATTGGTAACTTTTATTAGCATTTCTTCTCACATATATATGAAACTCTGGGCAGAAGGTTTACCAAATTCTGTTCTACCTCTTATACTCTGCAATCATCAAACAACAAAACCATATTTTTGTATAATTGTCATGAAAAATTCACGTTTTGATGACTTTTGTTGTCATTGAATCTTACACAAGGCCCCTTTAGTGCCTTTCTGCTACAAAAAGTGTCTTGTTTTTATTAAGCTATTTCATTTTTCTGCACATATTTGACTCAAAATAGGTACCAGAACATATTTGCAAATGTCCACGTGTGGAATTTATTTTAAATGTCAGAATTTGTTGGCTGTGTTTTTAGAATTTCCAGTTATAATTCAAAGTGCTCCCTTGGAAACTAACCTATTTTTGGGCAGTCGCTCAAGATGTTTACATCTCTTAGCGCTATTAAAGAATCTCACTCTTAGTCCTTGTGTTTATTCCCACATGAAGGAATTTGGCTGAAACATTTTAAATGATCATTTTTATTACTTTTTATATTAAATTTCTAACACAACACCAGATGAAACCAGACTACATCTCAGATCCTGCGTTCAAACATTTACTAACTGAGAAGTAATCCAGGTCACAGCATCGCCAGCCAATGAGGGGGGATGTCCTACCTTGCATGGCACAAACCCTCTTGTTCCTATGTAATCCTGACAACATGATGATTTCCTACTTGTGTGATGTTTCCATACCATTCATAAGATTATTTCATGCTGGGATTATGTAGATAAAACACTTAGCTGTTCTTAAAGGTAGCTGAACTTACCTGCTTGTATATAAGCTTTGTATAATCTCTCTTTTTAGTTTAATAATGCTTGATTTTTGGATAAAAGGAGATTGCAATGAAAAGCTGTCTATGATGAGTACAAGGTTAAGAGCGGTTTCCATACCATGCTCCGTTATTTTCTTTGAGAAAAGCTGAATGTCAACAGCTGATCTGATGCAGGTCGCTGTGGAAATATGTAGCTGTCTCCTTCTGCGGCCTCTGTACATAGATGCATTTTAAAGACGAATGACAAAATAAAAACAGCATCAAATATAATAAAAGGGTAAGAAAATCGTGTCCCACTAGGATTTTTAAAGGGTGCGTCTGTTTTTCCAGCAGATATCTTGTCAAACGAGATCTAACTGCCTCCTGTTTGTCATAGAAATCACAAATAAATGTTTCATTGATTTTAATGTAGTTTGTTGTCTTTTTTACTTTTCTACTGTTATTGCCAGTTGTCTCTAGAAATAACAATAGTTTCTGTGTTTTTCCAGACTTCAGATTATAATGAAACATTTGGATCATGGAAAGTATTTTTTTTTCCTGTTGAAGGGGAGTTTTCCTCTCCACTGTCGCTACATGCTAGTAGGAGAATTGCTGTAGTCTCTGACACAAGTCAGTGACTCGATGTGATCTGCTGGGTTTCCCTAGAAAGGAAACGTTTAAATGGCATAATGAACTGAACTCATTGCACTGATAAGTAGGTTCAATTGGAATGTTTCTGTGCGAAGTAGCTTGAGACGACTCCTGTCGTGACTTGGCGCTATACATTTATATATAAAGAAACGGAAGTGAAATTGAATAAGAAGTGAAATTGAATAAGAACGTACTGCTGTTGTAAAAGTACTTATTGTCTCTGGAAAGTTGAAAGAGTTTAGAAAGTGAGCATTTGGGTTTTAAGAGGCTTAGATATTAAAGCCAGGTTTATTCAGAAAAGGACAATCTGGCAACACTGTTATTAGCAGTAAAGCAGCCAAACTGCAGATTCCTTTTTAACACCCATATGTCTCCATGTGAAAATCTATAAAGACAGGAACGCAATAACAATGAGGAGACATTGTGGGGACAGAAAGGAGCCCGCCACAGCTTTGTAGACCCTGGCCAGTGCAGCAGTATTACATCAATCCAGCCTGGAGGAGCTAGTCTCTGAGCTGAGAGCAGAGCTGTGCTCCTAAATTCTGAATGCTTTAAAAGAGGTGGTTTACTTGTTTAACTAAAACATTTGCAGTGATCTCTAGTGGGAATGAATGTCTTGGGGGGGGGGGGGGGGGGGGGTAGTTCTGCTATGTGGTGGTGTTGCTAATGGTTAGCTTCTACTAGATGAGACGTTCTCTGCTGTTTCCTGGATGCTAAACCATCAACAGCCTTCCCCGTAGTGAGTCAAGATGGGTGAGTCCATGAATGTTAAGCGACAGTGTGATGTAGATCTGTCAGGCTTTTCAGATCCGTCTCTGTTCCTCTTTGACATGTCAATGGCTGTGAACAAAGAGAAACTGTAAATAAGTCATGAAAGTATAAAGTTACATTAAAACCAAGGACATTGTTGTTTTTCTTGTGAAATTCCCAATAAGTTTGATGTGTCACATGACCCTCTTCCTGTTGAAAAACAAAAGTTGGATCCAAGATGGCCAACTTCAAAATGGCCACCATGGTCACCATTCATCTTGAAAGGTTTTGCCCCTCACAGATACTAATGTGCCCCAAACAGGACGTTAAAATCACCAACCGTTCCCATTTTATTAAGGTGTATCCATATAAATGGCCCACCCCGTATTTATTTAGCCTTTTCTCAGAGTGCTGCCATGACCAGCTTTGACGGGCGTCCACCAGAGTCGCTCTTTTATACCAACATGATTTTTTTATTTCACTTCACAAGAACAATAATGAGCTACAATAGGCTCCCAGAGGTCCCAATCACAGGAAGTGACCTCGTCATGGCAACGCAAGTAAACAAAAGGAAATACTTCCTGTTTTGACTGTAGGGATGATGGGTAATGATTACTTTATGGTTCCTAAAGTAGGGAAATGTGTTGAAGTGAACTCTACAGGAGAAACAAGAGGTGGGAAGCAGCAGCTGCTCAGAGCTGGAGGTAAATGAGTTCTTGGTAGATGTACGGGTGAAGCAGGTCCAGATGAGGACAGCACCTGTGGATTCTGAGCAGAATCAAGGGTAAACCACAAGTTTAAGCCAAATCAAAGATGGGAAAGAAAGAAAAAGACTCAAGAAGAGCCAAGGAGAGTTGTCAAATCCTCATCATTCATTCCTGCTTCTAAAAGCAATAAAAAGGGTGGAGCAGAGGTGGGGGTGAGAGTCAGAGAAGGTTCTGGACATGGAGAGATCTGAACCAGAGACCCATGACATCAGCTTATTAGCTAATTAAATGTTACTTATAGTGTACCTTTAGTCTTCAGAGGAAGCATAACGCTGCTCTGCAACAGTCCTTTCACATTGAAAGTCATTGACTCCTTCAACTCTTTGATCTCTTCAATCTGATGAAAAAAAAAGACAAGATGAAGTCTGAGTTTGCGGCCAAGTGCACGACTGTTTTATATTTAGATGATGTAAGGTTTTTCTGATAAAACGTGCAAATTCAAGACTTTCCTCAAAATGCAAGAACAACCCAATCATGGTGCATTAATAATGAAGCAAGTGTGCATCGGCTTGTTCTCTAGTTAACTCTGTAGATTTTCACCAGAAGGTCAAACTCCTCCAAGAGTCTAGCTGGGTGCAGCTGTGGGATTATAGGAGCAGAATGTTATTAAAACAAAATATTTCATTTTATCTTAAATTTTAGGTTTATTTGTTTTTTCATTTCTGCCTAAAAAATCAAACTCTAGCTCACATTTTAAAGGCAGTTCTGGACTGAATTGATGAATTGATTTAAATGTCTGAGAACACAGGAAGTCTGCAGCGTCTGACTCAGGAAGCTCTGGCATTCAAACTATAGATCTATGCGTGTGTGTGTGTGTGTGTGTGTGTGTGTGTGTGTGTGTGTGTGTGTGTGTGTGTGTGTGTGTGTGTGTGTGCGCGTGTGTGTGTGTGTGTGTGTGTGTGTGTGTGATGCATGCAGTCAAAAATAGGTCAATATTAGATGAAGCCTGTGAGCATTCCTCCTGTGTGTGGGGAGGGAATGCTGGTGATGCTGAAGGAAAAGTCATGAGTCATCCATCATTTCCTTCCAAGCAAATAAACTTTTCACATCATTTTCTGAAGCCGTCTTCATCTGCTGCTCTTTTTTGTTTTACGAAGACATTTTAGTAAACTCTCTGCATCTCTGGCACTTAAAGGTCTGCTGAGAAATGTGTCTGGGTTCAAATCTACTCTGAGAGGAAGGGCGGGACTTCCTTTTCATGCAAACACTCAACTGCACATTGTCGGGCTTTTATTATCTCAAATAAGAACAAACACCTGACCTTTTAACAACAGGAAATTGGATTTCTGCAGCGGTTAAAGGGAAGGTTCGGCCCAGGCCTCCGCTCTCTCTGACCTTCTCTCCTGCTACTGTAGGTTTCTCAGGTGGGGTCAGAGGGGTCACGGAGCAAAGGAATCAGGCGTTACGGAGCATAAACTCCACCCAGGCTTTTCTATTCATGAGTAACATTGAGATGTCGCTTACCATCTACAGTTTGTTTAAAATGCACGTTTATAATTTATAAGACATTTTAAAAGAAAGAATTTTTCACTTTCAGATGGAGTTTGTCACTTTCAGAGGTCTGAAGGTTGAGTTTAAAGCATTAAATATTTAAATCCTGTCGTGTTTTTCCTCTCTTGACCCTGAAACCAGCAGACGGACGCTTGGCCGGTAGTTAAGAGTGATAACTGTGCCTGCACTGCCACCTGCTGGCTGTGTTTGGAATAGTAAACCATCTGCTGGTTAGGGAAATTTTATTTCATTTACAAACAGCTGTTATAAAATATTTTTTATTATTATTCTGTAGCTCTTATGAGTAGAGCGACTTTAAACTTTCATCAAGCTTCATCGGTTGTTTATTTTTCTATCATGATGAAAAGTTTAATGTTGATTTGTTTTAATTGTTCTCTTAATTGATGAACTTATTAAAATAAATCAAAGGTTACGGTTAACTTAGATTTAAAATGACAATTTATTCATCTTCATGCATCTACTCTAAATAAAATACTGTTAAGACAGAGTATTAGTAATATTTATTCCATATTATATTATTATTATTATTATAGCTTCAAATGTGTTTGTAATGCTTATTTTAATTATCAGTAACAACATTGTTCAGATTCATATAATTATTTAGTTGATCTAAAGCTAATTTGAGGAAAATTTACAAAATGTATTTATAAAATCAAAATAATTAGAGAAACATTAACCAATGATGAATAAAAGCTCTGAAAAAAACAAATAAAAGAAAACCAGAAAATGACAGAAAACAGAAATAAAACATTTAATAGTTTGAGTTTTATCAGCCATGATTTCAGTAAACCCAACTTACTTTTATTTATCTAATTAATAAGCCGTTTACCTGTTTGTTTTTCCGTAAAGTGTCAAGACTCTTAGCATTTGAATTCATTTCAAATTTACATTTTTTAACACCAAAATTTCTTTTCAGTTCATTTCCTGAGATGGTTTATTTTTTTAGACTTGGGAAGCTTGGGTTTTCTAAACGTTGCGTTTCGAGATCGTTTGAATCAAAATGTGAACGAATGAATCACAAAACGCTGCTGAGAAAAGCAACTATCAAGACCATTTGTGTTTTATTCCAACAAACGAGACGATAAAAGCTTGAAGACGACCAGAAACAGTAACGTAACACACGTCAGAAAACAAACACATAAACGATCGTTTATCCCCACCTCTAAATAAAATCTCTTCCTACAGGTGGCACGCCTGCGAGCAGTATTTACCTAAAAATTCTAACCAACAGAAACTAAAATGAGCCTTTTTTGCTACATAAAGCTACTGACTAACCAAAGTTAACGGAATTAAAAAGCTTTCACAAGTTTTTGTTTATATGTGCACATAGCCCACACACACACACGCAACGTTCAACGTGCTTCCTGGTTTTTCTGTGAGCGCCTTGAGGTCCAGAGTTAACGGCGCCATCAGAACAGCTTTATCACACCAGGAAATAAAGATACAAAACAATGTTTGAGATGCATAAAAGGCAAAAATGGTAAATATTAAGTTTCCGTGCATCTCTATTCACAGTATTCGTTAACAGGAGGTTTTCTACACCATCATTTAAGCACGTTAAAACTCGATCCAAACAGGAAGTGGTCTTCTCCGTGACTGCCATCGACTGAAAGGTCTTCCTTCTGATGGAAGAAAAGCCAACTGTGGTTATCTGGCTTCTTTTAGGGCTGACTGACGTTAACAGATAACAGGCGCGGTGATTTGATCTCAGCAGGACTGAGATCAAATGTGACCAACAGCAGCAGTGTGCCTTCTGGAAAAACTCTAAGGGTCGGTCCTTTAGTTGTTGTCAAAATCTGTAAATGTCTTGAATATTTAAAAAGGCCTAATTTCTGTGATAAACGATATTTCAAACCAACACGAGTAAAGAGAGGGGCTTTTCCTCCGTTTTATTTGTTGGGGGTGATCTTATCGAGTCCCGGCCAGGCCGGAACGTAGTAGCGAGGCAAAGTGCCCTCCATGAGTCTTTCCATCCACAAGCCCAGGCGGTCCAGTTTGTGGTGGATCTGTAGGGTGGACGTGCTGCGGGAGCGGTTGGATTTGCGAGCCGGGTGGCCCTCGCGGGAACTAGACCGCCCCTTCCCCCCCGAAGCGCCCCCTTCGTCCTCAGACGACTTGCTGTCCAGGTCTTCCCCAGTGTAGACGGGCTTAAACAGACACAGGCACTTCTTGTGGCCGTTAAGCGCAAGCACGTAGCCAGTGTAGTCCACCTTACGGTTACCCCCGTCGTCCTCGTCCGCGTCGATCTGCGCGGCGTCCTGAGTGTATTCCAGCAGCGTGTTCATCCACTCGCTGTGCTTGTCGAAGTTGAGGAAGGAGAAGTGCAGCGTCAGACTCCTGGGAGAGAGAAGACGGGTGTGAGCGTGAGGAGGTTTCGATGAATAAAAAACTCAAGATGGAGACGGTGAAGCTTACCCTGTGAAAGAATAAACCTCTTTGGCAAACTTGCTGAGCAGGATGTTCTTGGAGGCATCAGTGAGAACAAGAACGATGTTCATGTGTCCCGGTCTCAGCTTCACCAAGTTGCTGATGTAGGTGATGTCCGTCAGCTCCGTCACCTCCACAAAGTTCTTTTTAGGAGGCCGACTGAATGAAAACAAAAGGACAAAGCTTAAAGGTGCATGAAGTGAGAGTGACCTCCTGTGGTCAAATGTGGATACTGCGGTCCACGTATTGAAACAAACTCGTCCGGTCTCAGCGCCAAAAGATTCTAGATGATGGAATATAGATGAGTCACACAAGCTGATAAGTAGATAAATATATTTCATTGTAATTTCATAACAGAAAAAACTTGCTTGAGGTTTTGAGAGCTCACGGTTGTTTTCTAATTCACCTTAGCATTGTTAGCTCAACATTAGCTTCCAACCTGCTTCACCCAATATTAGAGTAAAACTAAAAGATGCCGTGCCTCCTTCAGGCTACCAGAAATAACTTCTGGGTGGCTCCTTTTACTGGTTTCCAGGAAATGTGTTTTAAAGTCACCGTTCCAACAAAACTGAGAAATTAGGCTGTTTTGGGGGATTATTTCACAGTAAAATTCCTACTTATTGCTCCTTTAAAAAGGTGTGGTTCATGGAAAACCATTTTTAATGTAATATGTAATAATGAAATATGTGTAGGTTTAGGGTAGACACGTCCAGAAATAATGGCATAGGTGATATAATGCAAAAAGATGGTTCTACGATCTCCGAGTTTTGGTAGATAATCATCACTTTATAATCCTTAAAGAGGCATTATGGAAGTTTGACAGCCAAAACATGTATAGAAATAATACATTTCTTCTTCATACATTCCCCTGCAATGCCCTGGTCCTGTAGAATGAGCCCTGGCATTTTTACTGTGATTGCGTGTTTTTCTGTAAAATCACAGAAAAGGAGAGCTGCTCGGGTCGAGCAGGCTGCTTCATGCGCGTTCACGCTCAGGCATCGCCCGTAGCGTTTGCTATCCGTAGCTTTAGCAGCAGAGAGTGAGGTAGTGCCAACTCAGAGACTTTGTCGCTGTTCCTAACGCCTAGTGATGAACCTAGCTGCATTTCTGAGGACGCTTAGCAACTTTCTTCTAGATATTTCCTGCAAATTAGCAACAAAATAGCCATTTTCGCTCCGAACCGTTCTTTGAACGTTGATTCAGCTGTCATCAAGGATGTAAATATTACAGATACAAAAGATGTTAGTGATGCTATAGCTCACCTAGTAAGACATCGGACTCTCGTGCGGAAGACCTGGGTTCGATTCTGGATGTGAACATAGTTTATTTAGAGTTTCTTTTTTACATTAATGGTATATTTTTTTACAGTAAGATGCCCAAATTTTTATTTGAGACTCGCCGAACGGCATTGAATTCACAGATAAAAAGATGTGGGTTCAACTTTCATTTTGGAAAAATTTTTCAAGCAAGGGAAGGGAATGATCTGAGCATGCAGGAGCACTGACCCATCATAAACCTTTGTCGGCTGTGCTGAAGAGAAAGGTACAGAACCACAGGGTATCTGCAGGTTTAAGGGAGCCAAATTTAAGACTTTTTAAGACCTTTTTCAAGGCCACTTTGACCAAATTTAAGATTTTTTAAGTTAAATTTAAGCTTAACAGGTGCTAACCACATCGCGAACGTGGGATTAGCCATCCAGTTACCAATAAACTTGCAATTCCCCATGGCACAAGCTCTCACTAGCTTAACCAGCTAATGTGCTCATCTAAAAATAGCCTCCTTTCACAACCAACTGAATGTGTACGGTTTTGCTTACACCAATATCATACACAAGAAATGCTGAACACTAACTAGAAATTCACGAAAATTTTATAGAAATAAAAGAATCTTGTTTAGTGGGCCTTTGGTAATTTAAGACCTTTGGAAACTGTATTTAAGGATTATTTGTAATTTTTAAGGATTTTTAAGGTCTTAAATTTTGAAAAGCAAATTTAAGACTTTTTAAGGACCCGCGGATACCCTGGAACCAAATTATTTAATTAATTAGCTGCGCGTTCTCCTGTCCTCTGTCCTCCGGGCCACACACACACACACACACACACACACACACACACACACACACACACACACACACACACACACACACACGGGACTGTCTCAGCTGTTATTTTTGTTAAGGAGTGTGCACGTACAGCATGCGCGCCTCGTGCACGAGCCTACTATTGAAGCTGCCGTTACGCTTTTGGCCTGAGGGGGCAATCGCGAGCATAAAAATTCAAAACTCCGTAAAGTCCCTTTAACGACCTTTGATTGTCAGATCACACGGCCCTATGGTGAAACTCTAGGATTTCAATAGCCTGACAGCGTGGCATCAGACTATCATGGACTCACCCACCATCTCCACTACAAACCTGTTCTCACCTGGAGGTACCAATTGTCTCAGATGATCCATTTTCCTCGTAAACGCCATCTTTTGCTTTTGTTTTTGTCTGTTTTTCATCACTTGAGTCGCTGCAATAAAACAAGACAAAAACAGTATGGAACTAGGATTGGGACAACATTACATTGAACTTGTAACATGTTTTGTAACTGTGACTTTTGTTTTGTAGCATTTAATTAATGTTTTGTAACACTTAACTTTCGTTTTGTAACAGGTAAATTAGTTTTGTACCATGTAATTTTCATTTTGTAATGTAACTTCGGTACATAACATGAAACTTTTATTTAGTAACTTGCAGAAAAAATCAATAAGTTTCAAATCACAACTTTCAAAACACAAGTCTCAGTCTACAATTACAAAACATTTTGTCCCAATTCGAGCTTGCGTCCGACAGGAATATTCTTGGACAGGAATCCAAGACCCGTGATTGGCTGGTCAGACAAAGCCTGTCATTGGTTGTTTGGGAAGGAAGCTAGAACTGGGACAAAATGTTTTGTACTTGTAGACTGAGATGTGTGTTTCACGAGTTGTGATGTGAAACTTGTACATTGATTGTTTTCTGCAAGTTACAAAATGAAAGTTTCACGTTACATGTCAAATGTTACGTGTTACAAAACGAGAATTACAAGTTACAAAACATGTTACCGGTTACAAAGCTTGGTACAAGTTACATGTAATATTGTCCCAATCCTAGTTCCATAAAACAGTAGCACTGTTACTTTAATCCAAACCATTTCCTGCTTATTTTCTTCTTTTCTACAAAGGAAAAGTGTGGGAGAAGTAAAATCCACCAACCTGAAGGCCAGGATCACCACAGTTCCAAACAAGATGAATAAAGCAGAGAAGATGAGGGACAGAAGAGGCATCATCTCACGCCTAAAAAGGATCAAAAGAGCTTTATTTCATGCAGGAAGCTTTTTGAATCGATCTTATTTATGTTACTATAAAGTCATCTTAGTTCCACCTACCAGTTGTTGTGTAGGATGTCATCGATGATTTCAGAGAGGTAGTCATAAGACGCATAAATCCACCGAATCACAAACATCTACAGAGTTCGAATATGAAACGGGTTAGCAGCACAGCACGGAACATTTTAAATAATCTGACTCTAATCTAAAAAACACACCGAGGCAAACTCGTTGTTGAGTTCAGGCAGCACGGCATCATGAACAAGGATGGACGGGTCCTTCTGGAGTCGCTCCAGCTCCTCCTGGAGACGGTGCTTGTCCTCTTCGCTGCCGTTCCAGGAGGTAACAGGCTTGAACAAAGCTTTACCGGCTGCATTACGCCTCTCCAGGATCACCACCTGCACACATAACCAGACAGACACAGAGAAGGGGAATAAATCAGATTACTAGATGTCAATTATGCTAAAAAAGAGCCGCTTATGAGCTAAAATTCTAACATTTGCACTATTTACAATAGAATGTAGGAGGAGTACCAGTGGTGCTGAAGGCAGGCTGTCTTTGCTGCTCATGAGGATGTCACAAAGAGGCTGTTGCAGCTGTTGGTACACATAAGCAAACCTCACAACTTCCTTGCTATTGGTGGACGCAAAAGAGAGAAAGGCCTGGTTCCTTAAGGAAAAGACCTCTTCGTCGTCTGTGATCAGCAGCACACAGTATCTGAGGAGAGGAGAAGCATCAGAAATGAGATAAACAAGTTTTAATTACCTCAAACAAGACGACAAGTTTCACTGTGATAACAGGTAAAAAAAAAAAGTTTAAGAGTTTCTTACTTCCTGCGTCTGTGAAACTGTTTGATGGGGCAGAGCTCGTCGAACAGCTTCTGATTGACGAGCCGCGGGGCGAGGAGAAACTTGTTGTTGGACACAAACTCATCTATTATTTGCTTTTTCATTCCTTTAGCCTGAAGAGTTTGGAGACATGAGAAAGCATGTAAGAAAGTAAAACTTTATTTATAAAGCACCTCTCAAGACAGAAGTCCGGAAGTGCTACACATTAAAAAAACAACAAGTGCCCGAAGTCTGAGCCCTGTGGAACACCATAAAGTAAATGTGTGACACAAAAGGGCAACGTGATGGAAAATGGTTTTAATTTACCTGTATGATGTCAGCAGGCTTGTCGATGTTTTCCTTAAATACCAGCATGGTCGGAGCGTAAGTGTTGATGTTGAACCGTTTCTGTAGATCAGAAGTCTCTGAAAGACCCTGATCTACGTAACCAAACTGCAGGTAGTCCTTATAGGCGAAAGCTGTCAGCTATGGGGATAAAAACACACAAACACAAACATATTAATGTGTTTTAAGTGATCTGAAGTAGTTTTTTTTAAAAACACAAGATAATGACTTACTTTGTACAGCAGAGGAATGGAAGGCACTTGGTCAAACAGAAGAACGTGTGGCTTGTTGAGATCGTGCCAGCTGTTCAAGAACTGCTGGTCAGTTTTATCAGTGACCTGAAAAGAGAAGACTCTGTTATGTTTTCTAGATTTGTGACATTCTAGATAAATCTAGATGAATTTACCCGCTCTACAAGTCTCTGTGGGAGAAGGTCTTCAACAAATTGCCTCAGGTGCTCTTTTGCTACAGCATAATGGAAAAATGTCACTTTGCCATTGATGACACCAAGAATGGACGGGGTGCGGTGAGCACCAAGGTGATTAGCAAGCCGCCTCTCATAGCCAACGTCAACCACACCAATTCCAACACCTGCAGAGACAAGACATTAAAGTACACCTGAGCAGATGCTACCGTGGGACTGGGTTGGACCATTTCATACCTAGACTCTCCATCTCCTGCACCACTTCTTTCCAGACTGGCTCAATGTGGATGCAGCTGAAGCACCAGTCAGAGGTAATCTTTATCAGGTATGGCCTCCTGTAGCTGTCAGGCACCAGTTCGTTGACATACTGGTTGAAGTGGAGAGTGTACTTGCTGTCGGTGAAGTCTCTGTGGGCCCTGCTGTTGAACGGGAAGTTGAAAAAGGATTCGTCAAAGTAGAAGCTTCCCTGCCGGTGGCCATAGCGACCGCTGCCATAGGGCTGGGTGTCATCTGTCTGGCCGTAGTGATCGTAAGTGGCACGTTTGTCCTCATTGGACAGAATCTGGAATGGAGGAACAGATGTTATACACACGTTTTAAACCATTTAGGGAAAAGGTTTTGGGAACTCACCTCATAAGATTTAGTGATCTGGATGAACATATCCTCAGCACCTGGATTTTTGTTTTTGTCGGGATGCCTTAGGAGGAAGATGCACATTAGTTTAAGGAACTGAGGAAAGAGGATCAGAGCAGAATCAGGTCAGGGTATTTACCATTCTTTTGCAAGACGCTTGTAGACCTTCTTGATCTCTGCCTGGCTCGCAGTCCTGGTAACTCCTAATGTTTTATACGGGTCTATTTCAGAGCCCGCATTGCTCCATCCTGCCAGCAGCACAGACAGGACCACCACCACCACAGCCAGAGACATCATCCCTGCCATCAGTTACCTTAAACGTACCAAAAGCAACAAAGGAAATCAGGTTAAATGAGCTGTGGACCCTCTCTGATCATGACACGAGTTTTAAGACGGGTTACAAATCTGACATGTACACCCGTTTGTCACAAAAGGTGAGAAAACCGAAAAAGAGGCTGGGTAGGATAGGTAAATGACAGCAAAAGCGGCGGTATGCTACTTCTCGAAGACAAAACGTTCAGGCTGATACGGTCGGTGGCGTCATCACCTCGGACAGATGCGCACAGCTGATATGGACGACCACACCACATATTCAAGCTCCTCGTTCTTCTGGTTAACATTAACAGCCAACCGTCCAGGGTGTGTTCCGCAGCATCACACAGCTCCTCCAGGGCAGGCTAACGACAACCTGCTGCTACGAAGTGGTAGTCCAGAAGGAGGCGCTCCATCTTCAGCAGTCGTCATGGGAAACAGCTTGTTGTGTCACACTTTCTTTGGGTCTTATGTAGTTGTAGTTTTAATGTTTTACTGTGAAGTCCGGTGGGTTTGAGCCAAGTAAATAAGACACCGCGAGCTTTTTGTCTGAAAGGGGGACTTTCCGTGATAGCATATGAACGCACTCTATTTTTTGGGGTCACGTGCCACTGATTGACCAATCATAGTCGGCGCTGATGTAAACAAGGAAGTGGAAAGCGCAGCCGGAAAGAAAATACGAGTAAAGAGCTTTCTGTTGCTTGTAAATGATTCGGTTTCAGTTTTACACACGGGTGGCGAGATTTAGGACACTGACTGACCTATGTCCAAACCGAATAACTAGTCAGGAATAGTTTTGTTTTACCTACGTGTCACCGCTTTGTTACCGCGGGCAGGATGGAGGAACAACACAAAAACATTCTTCAGCGGAACAGGACTGGTTTGGTGAGAGATTTGGATCCAACTAACCTCTATGACGCCCTCCTTGAGAAGGGGGTTTTCACCCACGACATGATCGACGAGCTTCGGGTATTTGATTGAACTAAAGGTTAGTTTTTGTTTTTTTTTATTCAGAACTAATGTTACAGTTCCTCCCACCAGATCGCTGGAACAAGAAGAGATCAGGCCAGACAACTAGTCCGGGACTTGGAAACCCGCGGGAGTCGAGCATTCCCGTTATTTCTGGAGTGTCTCCGGGAAACGGGTCAGCAGGCTTTGGCTGAACTTTTACAAATTGGAGTCCCAACTGTTCAAGTCCACCCTGCAACACCCACAGAAGTGGTCCGTCCTGTTGTGGAGCCCCTCCCAGTTAGTGAGTGCATCACACTAAAACTTATAATCTTTCATTTTACTGAATAAAACTGTATTTTCGTGATTTTTTGTTTCATAGTTTCCCCCATTGATGTTGATAAACACAGAATTGATCCTGTACCTGTCCACCCAGTACAGAGACCAACTATTACTCCCAGCCCACGTAAGATAAACATTTGTTTTAAGTGTTATTATGAGACATTTAATCATTTATGCCTGACTTTTGTTATTACCACAGCACCTGAGAAGGAGTACTTCAGACCAAGGCCAGAGGGCAGGACACGGCGGGATAGTCTTCAGGTAGGGAACCGTTTATGTTGCACTGATTTGATTGAAATTCTGATTATGCCCTAGTTTTTTGTTTTTTATTTAAATGATTGATCCATCTTCCTCTAGTTTCTGTTTCTCTCTATGTATGTTGCAGAGCTATAAAATGGAAGCCAACCCCTGTGGCCACTGTCTGATCATAAATAACGTGGACTTTGAACCCCAAAGTGAACTCAGCAACCGCAGAGGGTCCAACGTAGACTGTGAGAAGTTGGAAAGTAGATTCAAGGCGCTCAACTTTATTGTTAAAGTCAAAACAAATCTGAAAGAAAGAGTGAGAATTGTCTTCTCTAACTTCTGTTTTCATCTGAAACAACACAGGAAGTATGAAAAACTTAACTGTTGTCATTGACTTTTAGCAAATCAAACATGAGCTGTCTGCTTTGTCTAAGAAGGATCACTCCCAGCTTGACTGCTGTGTGGTTATCATGCTCTCCCATGGGACTGAGGTAAGCTTTCTCAGGATTTCACTCATAAGAGTCCAAAACTTTTCATTTTTTTCCCCACCAGATTTATTAAAGTCTGTGATCTGGATCACATATAATCATATCTGTAGGTGAGTCATAGCCGCTTTCCTGGTGCCGTTTACGGCGTGGACGGAAAACACGTCACAGTTCAGAACATCACGCTGTACCTGAATGGACACAACTGCCCGTCCTTACAAGGGAAGCCAAAACTCTTCTTCATTCAGGCCTGTGGAGGAGGTAAAGTCACTAACAGCAAAAAAAAAAAACCTATTTATCCTCTCAAATGAACAAATTAAATTTAATTCATCCTTAAGATGAAAGAGACACCGGCTTTGAGGTGTCCCCCGACGAGGTTCATCCCTCCAGCGGAGGAGAAGACGACCAGACGGACGCCATCCCAACATCGTCCAGCAGCGATTCTCTCAGCCTGTCGGATGAGATCGACGCCCGAACCTCTCTGCCCACCCCAAGTGACATCCTTGTGTCCTACTCCACTTTTCCCGGTGCGTAAATTACCATGTGTTCATTTAAAGAAATAACAGCATCAGTTTTCTTGTTGCTCTAAAGCCACTTTGATCATGTGACCAACTCAGGTTATGTTTCCTGGAGAGACACTCAGGCAGGTTCTTGGTACGTGGAGACTCTGGACCGCATCCTCCAGGAAAACGCTGCTACAGATGACTTGGTCACAATGCTGGTGATGGTGAGCTTCCTTCATCTTGCTGCCATGAAAGAGTCTCTTTTTATCCATCCAAAGATTTTTAATGTAAAAACAGCTGATCTGACTGTTTTGTTTACAGGTTAACCACGAAGTTTCCCAAAACTCTGCAAAGGGGCTTTACAAGCAGATGCCTGGTTCCTTCAACTTCCTTCGGAAACTTTTCTACTTTCAAGTCTCAACATAGTGACTGTATGTGAATATCTGACGCTACAAAGCAAATTCTTTAGTCAAAATGTACAAATCTGAACTGTTTTGTGACTTTTGTTATACTGAAATAATATTTTCTTGTGTTTTTCTGTCATTTGTGATCCTCCCAAAATGTTTAAGAGCTAAAAGACTTTTCTATGACCGTTATCTCTGTTTTAAAGATGGCTGACTGATTGACTAAGCATGTTGTAAAATGTCAACATGGGATTTACTTTTCATTCTCAACTATCTTCATGCATCTTTTTCTACTCGTAATTCTTTATTAAACATTTGTAATCCATGATGTTCTCTTGGATTTCAACATAATCTGCATTCTGGCTGAGTTGTTTGTGTAATCTGACTAGCAGCCAGGTATCAGCATGCTATAGAAACACCTGCTGCAGGCTAAAATAACGGTTTGTTTCGGTCTCCCCTCTGCCACTAGAGAGTGCCAAATACCACAAGTTAATCTATTTCCTTCTGGCCATCATTATGTTAGTTTAGTTTAATATTTATTAACCCAAAACAATGAAATATCAATCAAATGGGTGTTCCTGTGACATTATTGTTATCTACACAGCAACTCACGATATTATTCTACAAAGACACACAGTGGGACGTTGCAGTGAAAAACAAATGTAATCTTATAAAATAAACACATAATAAACAATAAATCCAATAAAAAAACGAGTATATACATAAACTACTACATAAATAATATTAATAAAAATATAAATAATACTTTTCAGAATAAATAAATATATAATCAAAATTAAAAACCATAAACAAATCTACTTTAGTCTATAATAACACAAATAATAGAAAAAACAGTAGAGTATAGAACAGGACCACCGTTACTCCAGACAATTATTAAATGTTTTTGGTGTGATTTTTATTAGTTTATTTTAGTAGTGTTGAAGTGTTTGTTTGTGTGTGTGTGTGTGCGTGCGTGCATGTGTGGGCATCCTGGAGACATCCCAAAGAAGACCTTTCACATAAGAGATGAACCTCCAGTTGAAACTGCTGGAAAGTCTACAAACTGGTGAAGCTGTAACATGTCTATTTAGCTTTTTCTTCGTGAAGTGAAGAAATGTTTTGCTCTCTAAGATAAATTGTGTTTTTCTAAACGTCCAGAGTCCTCCAGGGAAACTGCCTCCCGTAAAACCCCCCCTCAGCTTTCCTCCACTGAGACCCTACTGACCTGCTGTTGTGTGTGCATCAGCAGCTGTAAGCCGGCCAACAAACTCCATGAGCGTTATAAAAGCCGAGATCTTAAATCTCATTCTTGTAACTGATGCAAAAATATCTTATCTTTCAGTCTACTCCCAGATTGGATGTCTGCCTTCTAATCCTCACAAAGTTTTTGTTTTTCTCATTTCTATCGACTCCAGCTGGATGAATGAGAGCCACGGGGATCAGATCCAAGATAATGTTGCACAAGAGGCTGGCCCACACCCGTATGAATAAGTACCGAGTGTGAGCTCCCACTCCCATTCGCACTGACCTCTCCTCAGTCGTGCACAACCATGCTCCTCTTCAGCACTGTGCTCTGTGAGTATATCTATATGTGTGTATTTAAGCTACAGAACAGTAAATGTTTGCATAAAAGTCGAAAACGTCTTAACTTAAACAGTTTTATTTAACGGGGATTTTCTTTTTCAGTGCTAGGAACCTCTGTGCTTGTGAACGCAGGTAAATATGTGTGCATTCAAATGCAAATCAACATCTACATGTTGCCTTTAAACTTTTGTGACTGTTATTTTAGGGTTTTCAGCAGAAACGGTTACGACCTGTCTGGAGAACGTGGTTCACCGTCTGAGCTGTGGTACGAATCTTTATGCAGCAGTATTAAGTTTTGTTTTGTAAAATCTGTTCAGGTCTTGTTTTTCTCTCCTGGTTTTTAAGAAGACTTTGGAGTGATCAGTGTTCAGACATCGCTGTACGGACGTGTGGACAGCTCCGTCTGCAGCGACGGAAGAGGCCCAGATCAGGTTTCTGACACGGACTGCTCCCTGCCGGGGGCTGTTGATATTGTCAAGAAAAGGTGCACATATGATGTGATTTACATAGAAATGTGCAGATGTTGTTTATTTAGATTACATCTAGTCCTCCGGTGGTGCTGAGTGAGTTTTGATCCTCTCTTTTCTCCCTGCAGATGCAACGGGAAAAAGGTGTGTGAGCTGAGCAGTGATGCTTTTACATCTGATCCCTGCAGGGGAACCGCCAAGTACCTGCAGACCACCTACACCTGCCTGACAGCCAGTCAGTGTCATGTTTAACGGTTACTATGCTATTTCTCTGTGTGTAATCTGGTTCTGTGTAATCCTGACCTAAAGCCAGCTGGATTCATTTGATTCTTGTTACTTTTTTAGTTACTAGTGTGACATGTGAGCACTCTCTGGCGCACCTGAAGTGTGGTAAGGTCTCACTTTAGATGTTGTTTCCATGTCAGACAAACAAATGGGTGATCCTGTCATTATTCCTGTTTTCATTAACAGATGTAGGACAGATCATCTCTGTCTACGGTGCTGATTATGGACGCCGAGACCAGACCACGTGCATCTATGGCCGACCCATCTCTCAGATCCAGAACACAGCCTGCTCTAATCCCACCAACCAAGTTGCTGACAGGTAGTAATTAACTTATTCTATCTGCAAAAAATATCTAGATGTTTCTTTCCTTAGAGGTGTTTCACATCTGTATTCAATTGTGTGGCTCCACAGCTGTGAAGGGAAAAACAGCTGTACCATCCAAGCCTCCAACTCAGTGTTTGGAGACCCCTGTGTGGGGATCTTCAAGTACCTGGAGGTGGCTTACGCTTGTCAGTGTGAGTCTCTGGTTTAAATTTGCTAAAAGAAAAAAGAAATGCACGTTGTGACATCTGGTAAATATTTGAAAAGTTAATTCTGACAATTTTTTGATCCCTAAACAACTTTTATACGAGGGAAAAGATCCTATTTATATTTTCTGGTTGTAAAATATTTGCACCTTTAGCACATTTTGACTCTACAGACGTTTAAAACGATCTTAAAACATTTCCTTTTTTCCTTTTGCAGATCCATCGAACAGCCAAGGCGAGACTGTGTAAACACGTCACCTCACAATGAAGAGGCATTAAACAAAATGCTTAAACCAACAGTGACATGTTTATGTTTTGAATGTTTGATTTTTGTATTCCTAATAAAAATGAAATCCTGCAGCTCAAGAAAAGCTTCCAACCTTCTATCCATCAGGAGCTCTCTTTTGTGTTTAGCTGAGTGATTATTTTTACAGGAAGGAAAAATAAAAGATAATGGGAACACATACACACACACACGCACGCACGCACACACACACACACACTTCCTGGTGTCTGCATGTGGAAGGAACGTTTTTTATTTCCATGTACTGAAATCAAAAAAACCTGTTAATTGTCTTTTTATAAATTTAAAATAATAAAAAATATATATTATAAAATAAAATATTTCAATACTCATCATAAATTCCACCAGATGCTCTCACATCACCATCACCATAACTACATGCAGGCGATTATTGTTTGTATCTTCTCTGTAAACTCAAAAACTTTTGTTGCAATTGTTTCAGCAATGCTGGAAGAAGCAGCACAAATTTAAAAATTCATTTAAAATCAAAATTTCTTTGCAAAAATCTAAAAATTCACAGAAAACGGTTATCATCTCAGCTAACGACCCAGTTTTGCAACCTAATTTATCACATTTTTCCAAATCCAGTGCTTGCTCATGCTGCAGTTGTGTTGTGTCCGTTCTCCTGTTATGCAACCCTGTTTGTGAAAAGCTCTTCATAATTTTTTCCTGGACAGTTCTGTTGTTGTTGCTTAAAGTGGAAACAGGAGCTTCCCATCCAGCGTGAGGAAGCTCAAGACTGCAGCCGAATATTCGCCAGGATTGGGAACATGAATGGAAAACTGTGGAAAATGAGATCTGAATGAGTGCAAGTCGAATAACAACAGAACCGGTGCAAATAACAAAAAGCAGCAGGAAGGAAGGGAAAACGGTTTTCTGGTTTTGTTGGGGGCAGTGATGGTTAGAGTCCAACAGCTGCTGGGAGGAAGGACGGGCCGTTCCTTCATGCTCAAGGATGCAGCAGTCTGCTACTGAAGGAGCTCTCCAGGCCTTCTGTCCCCCAATTCCTGCACTGGATCAAGAGGACATCCTAGAACAAAGCTGGGCTTCTTAATGAACATATCTAATCTCTCAGCTGCCCCAACAAACCACACCCTGAAAGATGGCTGAGATCACTGAGTCAAAGAAGGTCTTTAGGAGCACCCCTGTACCCCAAAGGACCTCAGTCTCCTCAGCAGGTAGAATCCAGCCCAGTTTGTTGTTCAGGTGAGAATTCAGATAAGTCATATGTCCATAACCTGGAGGTTCACTGGGATTACTCTGTTGGGCCTGCACCTGCAGAAACCCACCACCAGCTCCTTGGTTTTCTCCGCGTTGATCAGGAGGTGATTCTGCTGACGTGTTCCCAAAACCCCGTTTTCTGTCTGCACTCGAGCCGTCCTCACTTGTGATGAGGCAGACTACAGCAGAGTCATCAGAGAACCTCTGAAGGTGTCAGCCTGGGGAGTTGGAGACATCTGCAGTGTAGGGGTTGAAGAGGAAAGGGGCCAACACAGTTCCCTGCGGGACCCCCTTACTACACACCAGCTCATCAGAAACAACCTTATGACCTTTTCCACTAGAACCGACCCAGCATGGCTCAACTCGGTTCAAAGCGGTACCAAGGTGTTTCCACCAGGTTGCATTCCTGTTTTAGTGTTGAAGTACCTCAAGTGTACTAATCCAGACCAAAAATGACCCTAGACTGTCAGTCATTGATTACTTGGTGGTGGAGTCACTGGTTGCCCCAGTGTTGCGCCTTGATGCCAGCAGCCTTTTGCGGGTTTCTTTTTTTCAGTCTGACAAAAAGCCGCAGACTAAGAAGAAAGTTTTGGCACAGCTGCTGTCGAGTTATTTTTAAATCCCTTAACCCTTAAATCTGAAATGAACACACACACAAAGGAGGGAGGTCATTTTTACGCTGTGTGGCCAGAGCAGCGGAGGGAAGACATGACAAAAACCCCTCCGGGTCTCCGCCATACTTCTCTGCTCCTCCTTGTCCCACAGTATATTTTACTGAAAAGACAGGACGAAGAAGGCGGGGCCTTCTCGAGTTACAGACACTAACATCACGTTCCAAGACAACTCCGTCAGGTGGAAAGCCGTTTAACCTAGGGAGTGAAAACAAGGTCACATTTCCTTCATACACACCCAGGTGCATTCATTCAACAGAGTTTCCCATGGGAGCGTTACTGATAAATCAGACCAAGCTGGTCTGAGGCAAGGCCAAGTCCTTCCTGTAGAGACTGATAGAGACTAGCAAAAGGATGAACCTGCGTTTAATCATTCTTAATGAAGCACCAGATGTTTTAGCAGTCAAGACATTAATACCACTTCAATAATAATATCAATTTTTACTTAACAGCTGCCACATTCTCCACTTTTGGGTTACGATGTTTTTGTGTCCCAAATGACCTTGTGCTACTTTTCACACTCTGGGCTCCACACCGCTGTGAAGCCACCCACCAGAGCCCGCTCTCCAGGTAGGATGGTGCTAAAAGCACCAGAGTACTTTTCCGACTCTCGTACCCAAGTACTTTCCGCTGAAGTCAGTAACTTACCGATAATTTTACTTTTACAACTGACCGACATCGTTTAGTTTGAAAAACAAACAATAAAGACCTTTTCAGAATCTTTATTAGCCAAATATGTTAAGAAAGGAGCTGTACAGAAGTCAGTCATGTTAACATCTGTCCTCAGGAAACACTTGATAAAAAAGTTTATTAGATAATTTAGTTTATTATTAGTTTGTTCGTCACATGAAAACTGTCAGAGCTCTGTTAAGTAAAGAATCAAATCAAAATATTCAATTTAAATCTGATTTCTTGGATGTAATTGGCTAAAATGACGACTACCAAATGACAGTCAAGTGACTGATGTCATTGGAGAGGTCCGTCTTGGACGGGTAGACGACCTTCAGGTTCCCGTCTTGATCGACGGTTCGGACCTGTTGGACAATCAGCTGACTGGAGGTTTCAGTGGTGGCGGCAGGATCCTCCCCGTCTGACCCCGCCTCCTCCCGATGCTCAGCTGTAAACTTGTTTAACTCCGCCATTTTCTGTGGGAAATAAGGAAATCTGCCAGTTAAACGGAGGAACGACAACGCTTCCCAACAGAATTTCATCATCTCTCCAGAGAAAAGGAAAAGCTTAACGTTCAGCTTTGGGAAACACCAACACACTGACTTTGCATGTTGTTTTGTTGAAAATTGAGCAACATCAGTGCACATTTATATAAAAAAGAAAATATCTACATTTGTTAAACTTGGGAGATAAAAACAAAATTCTACTTCTTGCATCTTCCCTCATAAACATAAGCTATGCCAAGATGGATGGAGGCTGAAACACCATTCAGAGAAAAAAATATAAAACTTTATATTTTTTTTCATTTAGCAGATGCTTTTGTCCAAAGTAGCTTAAGAGTTTTTGACCTATGCTGTGTTTTTGGGCTGTGGGAGGTAGCTGGCATACCCAGGGACAACATCCCTGTAAGAGTAATCCTTCACTGCCACCCACAGGACAAACCGTAAACCGATGCTGTACCTTTACGAGTCATAATAAACATAAAAGACAATTTCATAGCCCGGGAAAAGAAAAGACAGGAAATATGAAGCTTACTACAATCAGAGCATCCATGACATCTTTACAAGTCTGTAAGTTGGCTGCACTTGTGACCTCGAGGAACAACTCTTGGGTCGTTTTCTTGATCTGCAACCAAATACCACCTTAATACGTCATGAAAATACACACAAACCTGCTATGCATCTTGTGAATATTGCATTTTTCTACACTCATTTAATTGTGCTCTATAAAACGCTGACGATATCTAATTATCACAGAATATCAGCAGTTTGATTTTGATATTCAGGAATCAGTGTGAAATACATGCACAGACCTTGGTTTTCTCACTGTTGGTGATCGGTGGGAAAGAGATCACATCTCCCTCTGCATCCACCAGGCAGGGGTAAAACGATTTACCTTCTAAAAGCTGCAGGTATCTAAAAAAGAAAGGGCAGTGTTGGCAGAAATAAAGCAAACCTCAACCTTCTTCCTCCTTTTTACTGCTTAAAGACCGAGTTCACAGTTTTTTCAACGCATCTGCAGTGGTCTCTAGTATAAACAAAAGCCAGTTGTGAGTTGATCTATGTGGGGGGGGGGGGGAAGCTCTGGCGCTCCTGTTTTAAGAAGTAGACATGAGCCAGAGGAGAGGGGAGAAGAAAACTGCAGGATTAGGAATCTTACTTCCTGATATTCGGACATCTCGCCTCGGATTGGCTAACAGCATCGCGACTCTTCCATCGACTCTGTTGAGGTTTTATCTCCACAAATAACACAAGCCTGGCAGAGTTCTGCTGTGTGGTGGAGTTGATAATGCTAACGGTTAGCTTTAGGGATGCACTGATCAGGTTTTTTGCTGCCGATCACCGATACCAATATCAAAGAATGCTGATCACCGATACCGATATCAAAGAATGCTGATCACCGATACCGATCACCGATACCGATCACGTGGATTGGCCAGAAATTTTCTACAGCATTATGATGAGTGCTACAAACTACATAATCTGGGAATAAAGGAAATGTAACCTAATCTAAAATGGTCTGTATTAGGGTTGTCACGGTGTGAAAATTTAACCTCACGGTTATTGTGACCAAAATTACCACGGTTTTTGGTATTATCGCGGTATTTTTTTTAAACGTGCTACATTTTCACACAATTAAATAAACCCTGTATGTCAGGAAATATTATCCTCAGTTTGTGTCTAAATTTTGCCTAAAATGTGTTATTTTGTAATTATGTTGTTTATTTGTTTACATTTATTTCCTTTAGTCTTTAAAATACCAATATTTGCCCATAACTTCTTATTTTTGTCTGTTGATGTCATCATTTTAAAAATATTAGATCAGATGATACTCAGTACTCAAGTAGCCTTCTAATCAGATACTTTTTTACCCTTACTTGAGTAATAAACCCTATATCAGGAAAATATTGTCCTCGGTTTGTGTCCTTCCAGTGAGCTTTGCAGATGTGGGAAAATGTCATCAGGCAGTAACCGTTGTTAAATTCATAATTATCCTCGGAGAGAGACCAACTCTTATCTGCCCCTGGGAGCCCCGTAATGCATAGCGTCATTTCAACATGGGGGTGTCCGCGACACGGTTTATATGCAGGTAGCGGCGCTGCGGCTGCTTTATATATCGACTCGTTGCATTCTCCCTCAACCCAAATCCTCGGATCACGCATTTTTGCTAAAACGCTAACGTTAACTAGCCTTGTGTTGACTGTAGAGTTGTGGGTGATGGTCACGCAGATGTGTCATGAGATTTGACTCCTGGTGTCTCCTCCTTTGGCCATTATTTCAGCTTTAGCTTCAAGAAAGTTTTGGTTGTAAACATCAAAGGGCGCATGTGCTGCTGGCAACTTCAGCAGATGATACGGTGGCTGGTAAGGGTCACCGCGCCTACACTGCAGCCATGGTAAACCCACCAAGATCATAGTTTTTTTTAAAACAAGACGGTTGTTATTACTGTCAACTTTTTTTTTTTTTTACCGGGGTTTACCGGTCTGCTTTGATCTAAACTCCGATCAAAACCGATAGGGGCGCTATCGGCCGATTGGGATCAAATGCCGATCCATCGGTGCATCCCTAGTTAGCTTCTACTACTCTGCTCTTTCCTGGGTGCTAAACCAACAACAGCCTCCCCTGTTGCAAGCCAAGATGGGTGAGTCCATGACTGCTAATTTGACAATGTGGCACACGATCGACAGCTTTTTAAAAAAGAGCTTTTCCTCGTCTGTTTTCTATCAGAAGCTACAGCGGGAAATAAGGGTAGACTATTTTCACATTCAGCCTGCATGATAAACTCAGAATGACTGACTCTGACCATATTGGAAAGATAACAAATAAAAACAGTTTCTCAGTGAACTTGGCCTTTAAGGAAATTCCAGGGCTTGAGAAAGAGTCCTAGGTGGTACTGACTTGTGGAGACCTGTCACATTCTGCCTCTTCTTCTGCTTCCTGAGCTCCTCAGCTTCTAAATGAAGGTGTCTTATCAGCTCGACGGCAGTCATCTCTCTCCGGCCCAAGGGCACAATCTGACCGAGAGACAAACTCGGCGTTAAAATGCAAAACAAACAAAACAAAACAAAAAAAAAAAAACTGGAAAAAAGACTTCATGTTCTGAGATTCACAAGGTCCTGATGCCTCTGCAGAAGCCCACCTTCAGCTGGGTGGGTGGTTTCACGTCATAAGCCAGCGGGCCTTTGAGAAGCTGTGCATCATGGGTAGCAATAGTCGCAATGGTTCTTTTACCACACAGATCATCGTGGAGTTTCGTCTGTAAACACAGATTTATTAGCAGCTATCCCTTATCGGTGACATTCTATGAACCTCACCAGGTGTTGCTCTTACCTGAGCCATTAGGAACCGTTTGAGAGCGTTCCCGGACTTTAGGTTCATGCCTCTGACCGTGCAGCACACCAAGTACGGACGTACGTCTTTGACCTCAGCGCTGACTTTGACCGTGAGTGCTGTGGGAACATCTGAAATGTGGAGCACCTTCACGACCATCCTGTTCAGTTCCTCCTCCTCATCCTCATCCTGTTCTTCTGTCTCTTTGCCCTTCTTCTTCTTCTGCTGCTGCTTTTTCTTCTTGTCAGCACTGCGTCCTCTGTCAGCATCAACGCCCTCCTCCCCCTGTTTTCTCCCTTTCCCTCTGAGGTAGTCCAGGATGGACTTGGTTTGACACCCATTGACCATCTTCTCCAAACGCTTGTCGCTCAGCTTGTTGCCTTTAAAGTTGATCTCCTTTAACTTGGGGCAACTGCTCAGATCAGAGGGGATCTCTCTTAATTTGTTGTTGGAGACATCCAGAACCTGCAGAGCCAGAGATGAAACACATACATGAGTTAAAACAAACAGGAAGCACGTTTGTGTTTTTATTTGGATTAAACTCATCCGAAGATGGAGTGTGCCTACCTTTAGAGCAGGCAGCTTGTGAATTTCTCCACATAGCTCTTCAATTAGGTTATCAGAAGCCACCAGGGTGCTGAGCAGATCCAGGTTCTCGGAGTAAAGATCAGGAGGAAAACGGGTGATTCGGTTCTTGGAGATGTTGATGGTGGACAACTTGGTGCACTGACTCAATCCACCCGGAAGAACCTCCAAGCAGTTGCAGCTCACGTTCAGAGTGTTAAGCTCCCTCAGCTGAGTTATCCCCTCTGGCAAGGCCTTAAGGTTGTTGACGGAAAGATCCAGGACCTTCAGGGACTTCAGGCTGCCGATGACTTCTGGAATGATGGTGAGCTTGTTTCTGCACAAGATCAGGCTTTGGAGGTTTGTCAGATGTTGGATGTCCTCGTGGATCTCTGTCAAACTTGGGCACTGGCTAACCTCCAGATAATTCAGCAACTGGAGGGAATAAATGGAGGAGGTGAGTCCGCCGATGGAAGAAATTCTCTTGTCAATAGTATTACCCTGTAAAACCAGCTCACGCCTCTTCTCCGTGGCTGCTTTCTCTATTTCTGGCCATTTCTCCATGTCATCCACGCTGCTTCTGCACAGGACATGGATAAAACAATCGAGAAAGGCTACTTCCGTTTGTATATTTCAAAATAGCGGACGACTGTTGTGAACTCGTTGTTTCGTGGAAAAACCTAAGAGCTTATTCGCCTAAACAAACAAACAACGTTGAAAAAGTAAGTTAATGTAACTAACAGAAATTTGACGTATTCTGTGTCACTATGTAACGACATGTCAAACTCTTACTTTGAAATAAATATTCAACTTCCTTTTTTGGTAAGGCATTATTTACGGCCTAACGAACATGTCAACACACCTTAATAAATGCTTCCAAATTCATATTAATATTTAAATTTCAGCTTTTACTAAAGTCTGAAATATTTAAAGCTACAATAAACACATAGAAAAAGCGAAAAGGGGGCAAATAAACCAACAACAAAATAAAACTACACAGACCAGAATTCCTTGAGGCAGTTTCACAAGTGCGCATGTCCGGAATTGATGTTGTCAGTGGTGGTTATGGAGATGAGATGGGACTACGAGCAGTCAACTACACGGTAATGTTGCTGGTAAGATATCTTTAAGAAACGCACAATAACAGTTTTATCTTCGTTACACTGTACAGTTACAAAAGGTATTAAACGATTAAATTGTAGAGGAAGTGGAACATTTCTTTAATTTCCGACGGTGTAGGCTTCACAATGCAGGTACTGTTAGGTTATTAGCTATGCATACTTTAGCTAACGACCCCCCCCCCCCCCCCTTCCCAACTCATTCCAGCCTGCTACCAATTTAATTTATGAGTGTTGTTTGTTCTATATGCGGGTTTCAGTAAAGTCAAAGTGAACTGACTAAGGTCTGTGCTTTAAATTGATATTTGTGTCTTTAAGTGTGCAACTTTGACTTCTCAAGTTGACGTTTATGTTACTTTTTAGGCCTCTCTGTTCTCACCTCTGTTCTTACATATTTTTGCACCACACATACAGATCCTGTGGTAAATGTTCAAACTTTAGCAAAATCTCTTCATTAAAAAATGTTTTGTTGTGAATGTTCTAGCAAGTCATAAGCTGAACTTGGAGGGTGAGTTGAGTTAATGCTGTCACCTTTGCAGCATCTGTAAATACTAGTTTTTAATTTAAAGGTGCCACAAGAAAGAATTCTGCAGTGAAATAACCACAAAACAGTCTAATTTCTCAATCACGTTGGACAGATGGTCACATTAAAACAGAGTTCCTTCTCAGCTGCCTGGGTAGTTGCCAAAGAGAGATGTAAATCTTTGTTTACAAACTGTCCAGCTTCCATATTTCCTGGTTCCAGAGCCAATCACATGTGAGCCTGCAGGGTTGCCAAGTCTGCTCAGATGCAAACACTGCAGTTCAGCACCAGCTGAAAATACAGCAGCTTTGTGGACTGAATGTTAGACAGTGAAAGGAAAGAAGTGGACCAGAAGTTATTTCCGTCAACTTTAAGAAGCCACGGGATCCTTTTGGTTTACTCTAATATCGTGTAAAGAAGACTAGAAGCTAACGTTGAGCCAACAATGCTAGCAGTGAATTAGAAAATTATAATCAGCTCTGAAAATATGTCAAGCTGCTTTTCCAATGACCAACAACCTGAATTAACAGTGAAATGTGTTTATATACCTGTCAACTTACTGTGTATGACTCGTCTTTGTTCATCATCTGGAATCTTCTGGCTCTGAGTACGGACTAGTTTGTTTTGATATATGAGCTGCAGAACCCATATTTGATCACATGATGTCATTCTTACTTCATGCACCACTGAGTAGCTTTGATGAATAGTGGCAGCCCAAAGAAAGCTTCCTAATTTTTCTTAATCAGTATTAAAACACTTCTAGAGTTTTATTACATAGAACTGAACTCAACTACTTTGGGGAAAGTACAAACACGCTTTTCATTTCAGCAGATAAAGTCATGCATACAAACCAACACACATACAAGAGCATTATTAATAATATGGTGTATTGTTGGCGGGTAGAAGTTTAATCTGAGTTTATAATAATAAAAGTACACTGGAAAGACCTTCTTATCCCTCTTTAAATGTCATTCCTTTCAAAGGGAAAACTTTTAAAGAAACATTGATTCTCAGGTATGAAGGGAGTGCAAAATGTTAGTTAGAATTGGACACACAGTAGAAAACTACAGAACAGTACCAAATTCACCATTGGAATAGTATTTAGTATAGTTTTTACAGTGTATAGTTTATGGAACATCAACATTATGTGTGCATTTATTCTTATTATTTGCAAAATAATAGGTTAATTATCGTGTTTTTTATTTAGTGCTCATCAGAGGAATGCCCAAGAAGATAGGATTTATTGTGGTCAGCTCTTCGAGTCATGAGGACAAATTCAGTGCCAAGGAGCTAATGGTCCACGCACCCACAGTCCATGGCTGGAGATCCAGCAGGTAGTTTAGTCTTTTTACTTGTTCTTACCCCCCCACCCCCCCAAAACTAACTTTTATTAACAAAAATCTTTTTCCAGGCTGTGCTCCTTCCCCCAGCACATCACCCTTCAACTGGTGGAGAGGAGCAGGATAAGGAAGCTGCAGCTGCTGGCTCACCAGTACCTGATCCCAACCAAGGTGGAGTTCTATATTGGAGACAGCCTTCCTGAGACCAGTCCACCAGGACTTTCTGGACAACTTCAGAGGCTTGGGTGAGTCTGCAGACCTGGTCAGGCTCAGGCTATAATAGTGTTTTTAAGGATTGATGTAACTCATTTTGCTAGGCTATATGAGAGCCTAGGGCTGTTTTTGGTGATGCGTCAAAATTAAGTTGATTCAATCCTTTATGAAAGTGGTGAAGTGAGTTGTTGATTGATAGAAATCTTTGGCCTTAAAGCCTAAAGGGTAATGATGGGTTTTGTCTTGTTACGTGAAGCTAATAGCTGACAAGTTTCTTTCTCGTAACCAGGTATGTGTCTCTGGCGGATAACGAGAAGACGGCTTTTAAATCTCGGGAGCTCAAGTCGGTCCACGTGGATGCCGCTGGAACGTATCTGAGAATAATGCTGCACAGGAACCATCCCAACCGTTACAACCACCACAACCAGGTAGTCCTGCATCAGCATCAGTCCCACCTCCTGCAGTTTGGTAATCCTATCATGTATTTGTGTGTAACCTTCTAAAATAACTTTTTTCAGCCACCTTGGAGAGTTTTTCCCATGCAAATGTTATAAATACATTCTAGGAAAAGCACAGATATTGTATGGGAATATTAAAATCAATAAAAAATAATCTAGCTTTGATTCCTGTTGGGGAAAAGAAACTCTTCATCTCTCAGGATTACATATGAATGTGATTGAGTGCTGTCGCCCTTCTTTTCATTAAGGTGTTTTTCTGTTTTCAGGTTGGTTTGGTTGCCATAAATGTCCTTGGGGATCCTCTGGATGGCAGCAGCTCCTTAAACACAACAGTGAGTGCTCTCCTCGTGGAACTCTGTGCTGACCTTACATCTCTACAGCACTAGATGGCGATGTTGAGCCTAAAGCTCCTTTCCGTTTGTGATTCAGGGTTAATTAGTTAATTTATACACATATTCGCACAAACTGAACTCTCTGTGTTGAATGCAATTATAATTTATTCTAAATAATACGCAGTTTATTTATATTATTTAGCTTGAAAACAAGAGACTGAAATGATGACATTTACTGTATATTACAAGTATTTGATATAATGTGTTGGTGATAATTTAGCCTTTAGCGTTGTAGAGTGTAGCCTATGTTCACACAGGTGGGCTGATTATACAGAGCTGTATATTTCCCCTGTGTTTACCTGTGTGTGTGTAAACGCGTCAGACATGCAGTCATGAGAGACAAAGGGAGGGTACTATGTAATCCAACAGGAGGCCTACAGTTAGCGTAACCAGATAGTCCTGCAGATGGATGGCTCGGAGAAGGGAGAGTACCTTAAAATGCACACACACACACACACACACACACACACACACACACACACACACACACACACACACACACACACACACACACACACACACACACACACACACACACACACACACACACACACACACACACACACACACACACACACACACACACACACACACACACAGAGAAATACATGCAAAGACATGAACACCCACTTGCACAGATTCCAGTGAACAGGCTGTGCATTGTTGCTCCTTTAATCCAGTGAAGCACCTCCATCGCAGCAGAGATCTGGCCCATCCAGTTGGCTGGAGCGCTCCTTCTCCTGTTTCTGCTTCGCAAGTGGAAATTATGTTTGTTCTGCATACGAAAAACATTGCAAATATAAATGGAGGATGGTTGGTTAATTGCTACCTAAAGAGTTGTTTACCCAAAGCTACACACACCTTATGAAGATGTGCATGACACCTCTTTATTTGCTCTCCATCTAACCTTACACTAAACAGTACCACTTCATAATGAGGCTCCTCTCATAAATGGCTATAAGACAGTTTATAGACATGTTATTAATGTATCGGCAACATGTTATCAATCATTAATATGTATTTATTATGCATGCATTAATGATGGGTGAGAAAGAGAGAAACCAGAAAGATTTTTTGATCAATAATGAGCCAAATCTGTTATTTTCCTTTTTTCTCTTAAATAATACCTAATAAATCTTATTTATGATTCGTAACATGTTACAGATTCATTAGTAATATATTTATAAACTATTTATGAGGGGAGCCTTATTGGAAAGTGGTATCCACTAAGCTAATTACTGCTACCTTACTCTTTTCTCTTGTTGCCACAGCATGCTTTGATTTGTCAGATCAGAAAAAACTACAAATGTCATAATAAAATGAAGGTATGTTTAGTTTATGCTGGGATCTATTTATGATATAAGACATTCTGATATCAGCCGCTGAGTCAAAGTTAGAGACTTTTGACTAAAATCAGCTGATCTTCAGGGTTAGGGTTTCACTGGTGATCTGAAACTCAAACACCTGATTGTTTTCCACAGCTTGGTCCTCGAGTGCATCATCACCAAGCAGCAAACAAATAGACGTATAAATCTGACATTTTTCTTTCGTTCTTTTGCTATAAGTGCTAACTGATGTTAGCAATAACAATTTTCATGTATTTTTACATCCAGAAGCAAACTTTTCAAATAAATCAGAAAAATAAAAGAATAAAGAATTCTGTTATTACATTGTTTTAATTTTTCAGAATCTGTTAAAAGTGGAATCGGTGGATCAGAACCATGACCAGAATCAGTGCAGTGAAAATATTTTCTGGATGCTTTTAAAAAGACTTTGTGTAATTTGTACCGTTAATCTCTGGAATTATCCATCAAAATGTTGTTGAAAGTGAATTAAACAAAGCCCAGTTGTTGAAAATTATTGGCAGCTTCGTAAAACATAATAAAAATCGGGTCTAAAACACATGGAAGTGGGTCTACGCCATATTAGACACCATGTTTCCTTCTACAGGAGCCTGTGAGGACAAAAAGCATTTACTGATTTGTAACAAACGATTACAAAATTTTCAGCATTCATAAACATTTTACACATTTATCTCTTCACTCGTAGCCAGTGATGAAAGGGAGTCTGATGTGTTTGTCCTTTTGCTGGAGGTTGTGATCCCCAGGGCTTTTTGACCCTAATGGCCCTCCGTTGGGAAGATCTTACTCAAACACAAAAATACAGCTCTCTTGCAATGATTTAGGTATTTACTGCCCCCTACCGCCATGGAAAATACACGCAGTCACTTTAAACATTTTATATTAGGCTGCGGTTAATTTTAGAATAATAAATGTTAGTCATGAAGAATCATCCGTCTGGCTCTATAGGTTTACAAAAACACATGCAAAGTCAGAATAAGGCAGTAAATTTTACTCCTGTGTGTTCAGAAAACAACCTGTTAGCGTTTGATCGTCTTTTTATTTAAGTAGAATAAAAAGTGTCTTTGAAATGGATAAAAATGTAAGATTTTCAAAGTATTTAATGAAAAACAAATGTAATTAAAAGAGTCTTGATGATAACCAGACTGTGTTTAGCTAATGAGGTAATAATACCAGTATATTTACCTTTATTAAAAATAAAACTTCCAAACTGACCTTTATTACTTTGGTTTTCATATTTCAGCTCGTGTTACAAAAGGGTCGTGCTACGCTGTATTCCTGCGCATCGCTACTCGCAGTTAAATTTATACTTAAAAACAAAGATGTCACTGTTTTTATGCAAATCATTTTTCCAGTTCAGTGCCATCCGTCTGACAGCAAGGCCCCACTTGATGTGTGACTTCACGTCTGAATTTTTTAGTGTAATTTAAATGGTATGAACACTGAGAACCTAATTCCTACTGCTTAGTTTGCATTGAAATAAAATCCAATACCTCTGCAGGCTAAACTCAGTATTTGCTGCAGTTTTTCTAGATAAGTTGTCAGAAGTCTTTGTGACCTAATGTAATCGGACAGAAGAGTCTGGAAGAGGATGTGGCATTCTACAAACCGAAGCGTCTTTATCTGTTTTTACATGAAGGAACTGACGTTATTACAGTGAGTTTCCTTATAGAAGAATTCTGCAGCACATGCAAATAGGAGACCCTTTCCTACTTTGACTATAATCATTTCAGAGTTTCATGTATGTACTTCAGGATTAGTGGACAGCTGTTAAAGTCCCACTAGTCATCACACACTGGTGAAATGACTTCTACGCATTTGACCCATCCCCGTGGGGAGCGGTGAGCTGCAGCTGTGGCTGCGCTCGGGAGCTATTCGATGGTTTAACCCATGGACGTAATTTGGGGGGGTGGGGGTGGGGGTGTCCCCCCACTTTTTCCAAAGTCAAGTTTTGACCCCGGCACTTTTTACCATCCAAAAACAATATTACTTTAAATTAAAGTGACACTGGTTGAGCTTTAGGACCACGCAGAAACATTTATGTTGAAGCCTGTTTCCCATTAGAACATACTGTAAAGACCCCCCCCCCCCCCCCCCCCCCCCCCAATCTAAAGTGAAAATTACGCCCAGTCCAACCCTTTAAGCTGAGTGTCAAGCAGGAAGGTATTGGGTCCCATTTTAAAGCCTTTGGTATGAACCGACTGGAATTTGAACCCAAATCTCCCAATCAGGGCAGACACTCTACCACAAGGCAACTGAGAAGGTGTTAAGCTGACAGGAAGTTAACGAGGAAACTTGTTCTTTTTCATGTGAAGAGCTTTTTTGTGCAGAGGAGTGAGAATGATGTCAGCAAACACCATTTTTGTTCCTGTAAATATGAGCTTTCAGTGGCTTTCAAGGTGATTTGCAGCATCTGTAGGGAATTGTTGAACCCTTGAGGGAATGAGTAATGTGAGTGTGTGTGTGTGTGTGTGTGTGTGTGTGTGTGTGTGTGTGTGTGTGTGTGTGTGTGTGTGTGTGTGTGTGTGTGTGTGTGTGTGTGTGTGAGAGAGATTTTTAGGGTTTAGGCTATTTGTGGTTAGGTTGTTTGCTGTTTATCACCTAAACTGACAGATTAATTGAACAAGTCTCCTTAAAGCGACCAACAGCTGTCTGTCAGATCTTTGCATAGCACAGTATTGCAAAATTGTACAGTAGATGCACGTGTGTGTAATTTGTCCATCTGTTTGCCCCCAGCCAAGCAGAGAGCAGCTGATTGAACACTACCTCACCAGCACCCAGCAGGAATCCGCCTTGGACACGACTTTCATGGGGTGAGGCTCGGCCGTTGAACCCTGGTTCCTTTGTCTCGTGACAATAACACCATTCAGGCTGGAAGACAAACGTTTGAAGTCAATGCAGGTGGTGGCCTGTGCAAAGAAAAAAAAACATTTCAAAATACGTATATATTTTTTATTGCATCAACCCCCAAAGATGGTTCACCTCAAGGTCTCGCCCTCTTCAAGGGAAGTAAGGAAGAAGAGGGTGGGGGGTCATTAAGTACTTTTTTTCCCACATTTGTGAGGAATTGCACAATGGCTAGCCCACTGAACTGATTATAAAAATGATTTAAAATCTATTAAGAGCCTAGCCATAATGTGAAAAAGACAACACCCTTTTTTTTAAATGGTGTCTTTGATCTAAAAGAGAAAATCTAAATCTTCTCTTTCAGCAGCCTTCTGCATGAACCTTGTTGCTTGCTGTTAAAGATAACATGAATGTAACTGAATGACAATAAATAAGAGTCTTGGTCACTTTCTCACGCATTTCCTGCATTAGCCGCAGAAAGAAAATACACGTAAAAACGATCGGATAAAAAAAAAACAGATTCTTTGATGTCACAGGGGAAATTAGTATTCATGGCCCTGCCCACTTTGGCTTGTGTCCGCAGAAGCTTGTGTTGGTTTTGCGTCCAGAAGAGAGCAGAGTGTGTCTTATAGCAACTGTTAGCATTAGCCACTCCACAATTATTAGTGGAGATAATGCTAGCTTTTTTACCCAGGAAAGCAGAATGAAGGCAGCAGAAGAGTCACATGGAAGTTAGCCAATCAGAGGAGAGAATTTAGCATAGAATGAATTTTAATGAGTAAGGCTCAAAATCTTGTCATTTTTGCACCCCTCTCCTCCGACAAACTTCTACCCTCTGAAACGGGAGCACAAGAGTGGTTTTTACACAGAAAACGACTCACAAGGCATTCATTCATAGAGCGAATTTACTGAAAACACAAGTGAATGAGACTTTTTTATTTTCGAACACGTAAAATCACATCCCAGCTGTGAAAAAATAAAAACAAAGAACATGTTGAAAAACATAATCTCACTTTATTCAATTTATAATCAAAAACAAATGCATTTGAAAGGGGCTCAAGAAGAAGCTACAGCTTATCCAGTCCTGTCCCGATTTCTCATTTCACTTTCTTAACCACAAAAAAAGGTAAAATCTTAAAATAATTATCAATACAAAATCCAATGCCTATCCAGCTGGTTATATTTTTATCCCTTTATATGTATTTGTGTAACTGCTCATGCTTACACATACTAACGTAGATGAAAAAAACTCAGTCACAATTACACACTCACCCTCTTTCAACTATTTCAAACATTTGTGGTCTTTGTGATTTGTTTTGCTTCAGGAAAACTGAGAGCATCTCCCCATTTGACGACTTGGCCTTTGATATGTACCAGGACCCAGAAGTCGCTTACATCATTCGCCTCTTGGACCAAAAAAAGCACGACATGGTCCAACAGGAGAACTTTGAGGTGGCCAAGATTCTCAAACAGGCCATTGCAGATGTGCAAAAGGTAAATGAGCGGCTTTTCTGATTTTAACAGAATTTTACTGCTCTAAATAGCGTTCTTTTAAATCATTTGATGTTGCTATGACTGAGTAATAAAGATAAGGAAACACTTAATTCAATGACCTGAATGACATAAAATTAATCTCCGAGAACGAAGTAAGGAATCTTGGCGTTATCTTCGACCAGGACATGACATTCAAATCCCACGTTAAACAGGTTTGTAGGATTTCCTTTTTCCACCTTCGGAACATTGCTAAGATTAGATGCATCCTTTCCAGGAGTGATGCTGAAAAACTAGTTCATGCATTTATTACATCAAGACTGGATTACTGTAATTCATTACTCTCAGGAAGTCCACAGAATGTAGTTAAAAGTCTTCAGCTTGTCCAAAATGCTGCAGCTAGAGTTCTGATGAGAATTAAAAAGAGAGATCATATCTCTCCTGTCTTAGCTTCCCTACATTGGCTACCTGTTAAATTCAGAATAGATTTTAAGATCCTTCTTCTCACATATAAAGCTCTTAATAATCAAGCTCCATCATACATCAGTGATCTGATTGTTCCATACGTTCCTAACCAAGCACTTCGCTCTCAGACTGCAAGTTTACTGGTGGTTCACGGAATATCTAAAAATAGGTTGGGAGGCAGATCTTTTAGTTATCAGGCTCCTCTCTTGTGGAACCAGCTCCCAGCCTTAGTCCGTGAGGCAGACACCTTGTCTACTTTTAAGAATAGGCTTAAAACATTTTTATTTGATAGGGCCTATGGTTAAAATCTGATGTTAGCCTAAATCTGGACAAGTGGGGGAGTAGAGGGAGGTGGAGTGTACAATCGGTAGACGGCTCTCCCTTACCCTGCCTCCAACATGCCTCCATCTATAAGGCTAGGTTATCCAGAATTATCTCTGTAGTTATGCTGCTATAGGCTTAGACTGCTTGAGGATACACTGATCACTTTTCACACTCTACTACTTTCTTCTACAATCTGCTCTTTAACTGTATTATTTCCTGCTATTTCAGATGTTAGCTTTATTTTTCTCTAAGTGTTTTTCTCCCCAGAAGAAGCTACAATAATGTTCTGCTGAGCTGTGGTGCCCTCATGGAGGGGGCCATCGTCTAGCACACTGCAGCTAACCACTTAAACATTCTCCCTCTCTTTACTTTCTTTGACATTGAATGTGCTACTACTAGTTTACCCGTTTAATTATAGATTCACTAGGATAAATACAATAAAGTTTATCTCTCACCAAATAGAATATTTACTAAGAAATCACAATGTAACCATAGAAACACCACTTGATATACATGTTGTGTGTGTGTGTGTGTGTGTGTGTGTGTGTGTGTGTGTGTGTGTGTGCGTGTGTGCGTGTGTGCGTGCGGGTGGGTGGGTGTGGGTGTGTGTGTGTGTCTGCTCTGTCTTCTCCATACCCAGTGAGTCGTGGAGGATGGCTGCTTATACTGAGCCAGGATCCTCTGGAGGTTTCTTCCTGTTAAAAGGGAGTTTTCCTCTCCACTGTCGCTTTATGCTTGCTTAGTATGAGGATTGCTGTAAAGTCACGGACACCCGTCAGTAGCTTGATGCAATCTGCTGGGTTCCTTATATAGGAACCTTTTATCTGATTGGCTTAATGAACTGGCCTGTATTGGAATGTTTACTATGTGATGTGCCTTGAGACGACTCTTGTCGTGATTTTGCGCTATATAAATAAAATTGAATTGAATAGAATAGAACTTGATAGTGGTTGGTGATATCTTGATGTCATCAACAAGCTGCTATCACTGAAACTCCTACTTCTTTCTTCTTCTTTAATTTACATCTTGTGGGTTTTTACAAGGATCTTGTGCAACAGAAGCAGTTTAAACATTGTTCAGATTCCTGTTACAGACTTTCTTTGTGTGCAGCGTTACCATGCAGTCCATGAATTCTTAACAAGCCCAGCAGCTGCAGACAGGGTCTCTGCAACTCACAGATGCCAGCTCGTCTGTAACCAGACTGTAAAGGGGCTCGCGGATGTTAATGGTTGTTAGCATGACACGTTAGCATCATGATCATGGTAGTTGGCCAAGACAGTCATGCAGAAAATCTCTTGTATCAGGCTAGCATTACATGTTTGTAGATGTCTGCCAATAATGGAGGCATTTCTTTTACACCTGCCCCTTCATTTTGAATATGTAGCTGTGTCCAAACTTTATTTATATACTGTAAATGGTAACTGTAGTACTTTTCAACTCAAATATATGAATAATCAGAGCAAATACGTCTTTATTTTCAAGGAAAACTTACGAATTCAGAGACAAAGAACTTGTTAGACCAAACTTTAACTTGCTTTTCTTTTATCTCTAGTGATGCTTTTTTAGTCAAAGTAGCATGAGATACATACTAACTTATGGGCTGTATATTATGTAAATGTTCTCACTTTGCAAATACATTTGCAAAGTGAGAACATTTGCCTGATTCTTCTACTGTTCTTTCTGTTTGAAAGATTTTCTTCTGAAGCTTGAATATGGATAGGAGAAAGCTGTAAGTGGCATCAGAGCGTCGGCTGGCATCTAGTCCATGTTGAGATGGCTGGAAGCTGCTGTTCAGTTTCCATCTCGTAAATCTCGATGACTCAATTCATGACGTACTTGGTTCTGTAGAACCAGGGCAGACCTGCCCCATGCTAAGTCTGAGGCGATCCCCAGGAGAGGAACTGCAACAGCCATACATTCAGCATGCATCAACAAAAAGAGAAAAGGAATCACCAGACAGTTAACGTAATGACAGAACCTGCAGTACCAGCTTGTTTACTTCCGCACATCCTGGACTTTTCCAGGTGGGAGAGCGTTTGGCTCGGTACGATGTGGAGAAACGGTGCGCCATCGAGAAGGAGGACTACGACTTGGCCAAGAAGAAAAAGGAGCTGATGGACGAGTACAGGAGGACTGTTTACCAGCAACTTGAAGTGCACAACCTGCTGGACGTCACGGTGGTCAGCTCATACCTTGAGATTAGCTTCATTTTCTTACACACAGTGTGTTCCTCTTGACTTATTTAATCAAAGTCTAATTATTTTCTCTGTTTCCATGACATCACCAGATCACCGGAGCGGCAGGGTCATCCCCAGTCCTGGGCCCCCCCACACATCTGCCTTCTCCAGGCCCCACCAAGCCCCTGTTGTCCACAGACCCTTTCAGAAAGGGGAACAAAATAAACTCTCATCAGCATCAGCTGCCAGCCAAACCAGCTGTTGTGTCCAAACACATCAGGCCACCTGATGCCTCCGCAGCTTTACCCAAGATCGACGTACGCTCTCTCCTCTTCATCAAATGCATTCACCTCCTTTTGTCACACTATCTAACAGCATCAGCAGGCACTTACAAGAGTTTGATTACTATTTTCTCACGAGCGATCCACATGCTCCTACTTGCTTGTGATCCCATATTGTAGTAAATGTAATCAATCTCTGAAGCTTCTTTGGAACTGACTAAACCTGTTGTGCTTGAACCCAAAGCACCCAGGGAGATTATGACCAGCAGACACTGGTTTTTTTCACTGCTAACACCGGCCTTACTACAGGTTTGGGTTTCACTATTTAATTAAAAGCGTGGAACAGTTGGCTGACTGGTGGCTGCCAGCCTGGCCTCAAGGCGGTGCTTTGAGCCAGCAGGGTGCCACTTGGCCCACAGGAACAAGAGACGGAGCTCACAGTTTGTTTAGAAGAGAGTAAACAATTATTGTTATCCTGAGGCTGAATGATCCTCAGGTACAATAACACCACCGAGAGTTAAAGACGAGTGTGCAAGCTCTAACAGAAAATGTATTCTTTTCTCAAGATTTGAATGATATTAGGAACTTATGTTGGGTTTCTGTTGGCCGTCTGGTGGTAGGTTACAACTTTGCTTTATGATGAGACGCCACTGCCGGCCCTTCAGAGGCCATTGGAGAGCATTCCAAGCCCGGCGGCAGAGCGCCCCCCGAAATGTGACGCTCAGAGGACTTCACAAGGACCTGAGCCGATTGGAGAACCAGAACTCCTCACAGAGACGGCCCAGAGAGAAGCTGGCCTCGCGGTAGAAGTCTATGGAGAGAGACTGGTAGGGAAATCTTAGACAAATAGACGTTTCTAAAACTTTTCCAACCCCACAGCAAGTCATTTTGTCTTCTATCCCTCCTCAGGTTGCTGGGGCATATTCTAAAACCTGGTGCCACAGGGAAGATGCTCTTGTGACCGTCCACAGCAAACTGCAGTTGTCTTCCACGGCCGCCAAGGAGGAGCTGAGAAACATGATCAGAGCTGCTGTGTTTTTGGTGAAGATGGCTCTGCTGGATAAAGTTACACCTGTGAGTCATTTCCTCTAAAGATAAACGTCCTGGTGTGAAATCCAGCCCCGTTGGGTCTCAGTGGACACCTTACAGCAGATGTCATGCTTAGAGTTTCTGTTACAAACAACATAAGGGGGCACTCCCCCCCCCACCTCTATAACAACTGGCTTTTCAAAATAAACATTACAAATAACTAAACTCAAATAGAAAATTCCCCTTTCTGCCTATCAGCTCAAGTTAAACGAAGTTAGATTTTATGCTAACGCTTTCTCTCCCACTTTAGGTTTTCCATGCATCCCTGAAGCTGCTGCGGTTGCTGGTCCAGCTGATCCCAGGTCTGGGTCTGGGTCAGGCTGAGGTAATCCACTGCATTGAGCAGACGTTTCCTCACTTGCTGTCCAGAACCGGAGATCTCGCCAACCGTGTACGGGCTGCAGCCGTCACCTTCATCCAGGTGCGAGAGTCAGATGTTAAAGCTCGTTCCAAAACAAAGCACAGCTCAGGACAATGTTATCTTTCACACTCACGGGGTGTTTTTATTTGCTTAAAGCATAGCTGATTTGTTTATGTGACATAGGAAATGTGTTTGCAGAATTCCAAGGATGCAAAGGAATACGGAGTGAAATCCGATGAGAAGAAGAGTTGTCCCCTGGAGGGTGGGCCTGAAAGTCAAATAGAAATAAAGTGAAGGGTTTACTGGTGATGGATGTACCCAGTGTGCAGCAGTACCGGGACCAGAGTGAATAGGGTGTGTATGGGGAGCATGATTGGGTGTCCGGCTTGCATTTTTGTAAGTCTTGGGTTGTATGTGTATGTGTGAGCATGAGGGAGGGAGTGTGTGACTGTGTTTGTGTATGACTGTATATGTCAGGTGGGACCTTTGACTCCTCCCCTCTCCTGGGACTTCTTTTGATGATATAGATCTTCGTCCCCCCTCCCCCTGCCACACCTGGTGTGGGGGGTTGTGCCTTGGTCTGCCTGAGTGTTCGTGGCAACCGGGTCTGGGGGTTTAAGATTTTTGGCATCTGCCTGATAGATCCCGGTGGCTGCTTGGTGGGGTCTGGGTCCCTGGGCTCTGCTGGGTCCCCGGTGGGGGTGGTCGCCCCTGGGTCCCGGGTCGCTGGGTCCCGGGCTCGGCCGGCTAGGGGGTGGGAGGCTGCGGGCGGGCCTGTGGGCTTGCCGCTGATGTCTCCCGGGACTCTGCCGGCTGCTGGTTGTGGCCCCCCGGGGCAATCCTCTGTGCCTCTCGAGGGGGGCGGGGGCCTTTCTGGTTGCAGTCTCCTTGGGGTTCCTGTGTTCTGGGGCAGCGCCTGGATCTCTGGGACTTGGAGCTCCCCCCGTCTCCTGCGTATCTTTGGGGGGCGGATCTGTGGTCCCTCACACTCTCTGTTGGACGCTCCTATAGAGAAACCTTACATGAACAAGCGCGTGTACGCAGGTGCTCACATGGTGCTCTCAAAAGTATGGACTTGGGCACGTTCAACACAGGTCTTAAGACTATGGTGGGCACTTAATGCACTGTGATTTATTATCGTGATTCTTCAGTTAAACCATGTTGATTATATATTTCTTCATCAAGTTGACGCAGTGATAGCTAGATCTTGTATTGTTGTTGTGTCCCATTTTTTTTGTTCTTTTGCTTTTTTTTGTCTTTTTCTGCAGGTCTAGAAGCAGACTCTTGTTCATTATTGTTTATCTTTGTGGACCCCCCCCCCCCCCCTCTCTCTCGCCCCACCTTTTGTCTTTTCCTTTCTCTTTCACCTCTGTCTCCGTGTCTGGTCGGAATTATAAAGCATTCAAAAACAACAACAATAAAGTTTTAAGTATCAGGCGTGACATTAAAAGCAGACGCTTTGATGCTCCACCTGAGAGTAAATCTGTAAGGCTTGTTACCAGCATTCAGACATCAATTCTGCTTGCTTCACAGCCAGACAGGACACGGTAAAAAAAAAAAAAAAGAACCGGAGATCTCGCCAACCGTGTACGGGCTGCAGCCGTCACCTTCATCCAGGCGCGAGAGTCAGATGATAAAGCTCGTTCCAAAACAAAGCACAGCTCAGGACAATGTTATCTTTCACACTCACGGGGTGTTTTTATTTGCTTAAAGCATAGCTGATTTGTTTATGTGACATAGGAAATGTGTTTGCAGAATTCCAAGGATGCAAAGGAATACGGAGTGAAATCCGATGAGAAGAAGAGTTGTCCCCTGGAGGGTGGGCCTGAAAGTCAAATAGAAATAAAGTGAAGGGTTTCCAGAACATTCAAGCTTAATGACGGCAAACCAATTTAAAAAAAACTTCTGAGTTTTATACGTTAAATGGAAAAATAGAAGCATCATGGAAACACGATTCTAGCTTCCACGTATTCTTATTCGCTTTCTAAGAAGGAAGAAGATGGAAGTACCTAATTTGTTTTAAAATGTCCAAACAGTAGATAAATGCCAAGCTTGCTGACAGCTCTGTTGCTTAAATATTTCAGGGAAAGTAGGGAGGTGATGTCATGTTTGCATCAGCCTCTAAACAAACTTTGTGTCCTCACCCCGACTGCCCACACCCATTCCTTGCAGCTGGAGGCGAGCCACCAGTGTCCACCAGAGAGGACACGATGGGTGTTTTTGGGTTTTGATGCTGGTAAGCATGTGCTGTTGGGTGAAACCAGAAAGTATCCGTCAGCTTGGGATGCGTAGAAAACGAGGGAAATGTGTGTCTCAGCTTTATGTAATCTGTTCCAGTGAACTCATATATGGGTGTGTTTGTGGGAATGGGAGTTTGTCCCTATAACCGCTCACACTCATGAGACTCGCCTAGATTCTCCGATGAGGCTAAAAAAATGAAGTTAACAACAAGAGAGGGTTTTCCAAGAACATTCCACTAACTAGGAGACCTGTTATATCTGCTGTGACTTGTCTTCTTACCAGATGTTTGTGTTGAAGGATTAAATGCCATGCAGCGCAACGCAGGTATTTATTAGGGGCTTCGAGCTCACATTTCACTCAGCGTAAAAGCATACGTCGGAAAACACATCAAATATGTCCGCCTACATTTCACAGTCATTCCTCTGTTCTTGTGTCGTGTCATTTAGGAAATTGCAGTTTTGAAGGATGTCCGGGCCGTTCAGATAATCCCAGGTGAACTGGTGAAGCCTTACAAATCCAACTTCCCTTCTCGTCTGGCCCAGAGTCGGGCCGAGCTGATCAAGAATTTACTCGTGGATCTGGGTTTAGAGAACTCGGGCTTCACCCTGGAAAATGTCATCACGGTAAATTAAACACACCTATGTATTCGTGTTATTTTTATCGTTGGATCGATCTGGTGTTTTGGGAAGGGTCGGAGGTTTACGAAATGAAGCTGTGAATAATTCAGATGAAAAAAGAGAAGCTGATATTTCACACATGACAAAATGGAAGATAAATAAAAACACTTTTTGCTCAAATGCACCTTAAAAAAAGTTTGCAAAGATGTAAGTGATTGTTGTTCAAACATGCACAAAAGGGTCATCAGTACTATTATATATATATATATATATATATATATATATATATATATATATATATATATATATATATATATATATAATAGTACTATATATATATATATATATATATATATATATATATATATATATATATATATATATATATATATATATATATATATATATATTAGTGGTGGGCATAGATTAATTTTTTTAATCTAGATTAATCTCACTGTAATCTTGGAATTAATCTAGATTAATCTAGATTAAATGGCTCATTCAAATTCTGCCAAAGGCATATGTGTGTGCTACCTAGATAATGAATAAAAGCAAGTCTTTGAGAATGGAGGCATATTTCTTGTTTCAATAATGCATCACAGACTGATAAAGCAGTTTTACTACGATAACTGATGATGAAAATAAATAATGATCAATAAGTATTTGTGTTTAATAGCTGTTTATTCAGTTCAACAAATTCTGCACTGTAGGTCTACAGAATAGGTCATGATTAACTATTTACAGTCAGTAGCATTTGGTCAATCAGACCAAGCTCTATTTCTCCTTCTTCCACCAGTCACTCAAGCAGACCAGCTTGTTCACATTGTCTGGTGACAAACTAGATCTTCTCTTCTGCACAATATGGCCTGCTAAAGAAAAAAGTATATAGATATACACACACACACACACACACACACACACACACACACACACACACACACACACACACACACACACACACACACATACACACATACATACATACATACATACAGACATACATACAGACATACATACACACACACACACACAGAAACTATTTGGCCTGGGGAGGGGGTTAAATTTCTGGGGTGCCCTTCCAATGCCTCCCTTTAGTTTGCATGTAGGATCGCCTCTGGTGAATAGGAGAGAGCTGGAAATGATGCCACAGCTCACCTGTATGTGTCACACAACCTCCCTCTCAGCCGTCAACCTCCTCTAGGGAGGCACCGCAGAGCCGCTCAGACTCCATTACCCAACATCCCTAGCGCCAGGCTTCCGTTTCATGTCACCCGCCAAATCTATATAAGGAAGTGCCGCACAACGCCGGCTCACTCAGTCATCGTTCTCACCGAACTTAACCTAGAGTCCAAACCAGATCAGCTCAGATCACGAAGCCTGTTCAGATCAGACCAACCAGATCAGTCCAGCCAGATCTCAGAATCCTGCCTGTTCGTACAGATCAGCTTCAGACCAGGAGTCGCCGTGTTCAGCTGTGTCACCATACAGCTGCGCACCCGGCTCCCAGATTAAACAGCATGTCCATTCAACCCGGCGTCAGTCACTCCGCGCTTGGGTTAAAAGCCACGCCACATCCAAACTCTCGCCCAGCTCGAGTCACCCCGTTACAGTATGAGCAGATGCCAACTGTTGCTGTTGTTGTCTCTGAAAATGGCAAGGGGAGTTATCCTAGCTCAACTTTTCTAAACAAAACGTTTATTATTACAGGTGAATTTGAGTCGAAGCCACATGAACAACGACCTGTAGAAACAATTTATCACTTTATCACAATAAACAGCTGCTAAAAGAGCTAAACTTAGTTGGAAACCGCACCTGTCTGAGAAAGTCTTGTCTCGGTTTTCTCACATCCGAGCGCTGCTTCGGCCGCGGACGGTGAAGTGTGGCCCGGGGAAAGCCCGGCTGGAAATGTCAGAGGTAAACAAAACAAAATAAAAAGAATCAAAGTCGGATTTATGGATTAAACTCTGGTGAAAGTACATAAATTATTTACTTTTCCCGCGCGATGAGAAGGGAGAAGCGCTGCTGGTGGCGAAGGTGCGACTGTTCGGCTGCATGGGGAACATTAAACTCTGCGAGCCTGGCGTCCGTCCATACGTACGATGATCCGCGCCGAGTATACATCCGCGCCAACCAGATATCCATCCGCGCAATGTGAAAGCCATCATAGCTTACTTAGTACAGACCCAGATCCCAACCCAACTTTGAGAATAGATTAACGGCGTCATTTTTTTAATCGCGCGATAAGACTGGCTTTGCCGCAGCGCGTTAACGCCGATAACGGCCCACCCCTAATATATATGTATATATATATATATATATATATATATATATATATATCAGCATATTTCTGGTTTTAGAGACCGAAAGGAAATGGAATAGAATAAAAACTCATTTAATGTCAGTGGAGAAGTTTCATCTACATACATAGATTTTATGGTAAAATGACGTCAGCTGGGGCTGCCAGAATGGTACCGTAAAATTATGGGTAAAACTTATTTTTCATTTACAAGAAGGTATTTTTATTGCTGTTTTCACTGTTAAAACTGGTACTGAAGTCAGTATTTTACTGTAGAAAAAAAAGTTTTACTTGGGGCAAAAAAATAATTTTTTTACTGTAAAATGAACATGAAAATAATCTATAAAATAAAATTTGTGCCCCTGAAAAAAAAAAACGTTTTTCCCACTAAAAACAAAGTTCAAAAGATTTTCCTCATTACATGCAATCAATCCATAGAATTAAGTAACCGATTAACTGCCATTGAGCTCATAAATGGTCATAATAGCTTTACCTGCTTAATTGCTGTTCATGTCTTTCAACTGTGCTTATGTGTGTGTAGTAGTCAAAGCTTTGAGTCAGTAATGACATCAGCATCAAACAGCAGCACAGGCTTCAGGTGGATTCACGAGTCAGATCAAGGACAGACACTTCCCTCTGACTAATGGTTCAGCCAGATCTCACCTACATGCCGCTAAGCACCCTGGGAACCAGGAAGTAAACTCCTTACATTTTTACCAGCAATAAAAAGCTGTGTGTGTTTCAGTAAATGTCAAAATCATAGTTTTTTACTGTTTTAATGATGCAAGAGTGCTTTACTGTAGAATAATGTAATTTTTACAAAGAAATTTTTTTTCACAAATGACTGTTTTCACCAATTAATTTACATACAGCAACTTCATGTAAAATCAACAGTTTTAGATAGTTTTATAGTTTTTGGTTTTAAGCTTTTTCACTGGTAAATATAGGACTACTTTTACAGTGTAAGAGCAGCAAAGAATATTCAGGTGATTAAAGGATAAAAGGATGCACCGTGAATAGAATATATGTACAGACATGGACTAAATCGTTAGTACCCGTCAGTCAATGAAAGAAAACCCACAACAACAGTCACAGAAATCACTTCAATCTGACAAAAGTAATAATAAATAAAAATTCTATGAAATTTAACTAATGAAAGTCAGACGTTGCTTTTCAGCCACGCTTCAACAGAATAATTTAAAAAATTAACTTGTGGAGCAGGGCTGGACAAAAATGATGGTACTGCTAGTAAAGGGACATGTTAATTCAAGGTGTGTCCACCAATCAGCATCACGTTCCTACAATCTTGTAATCAGTCAGCGGGCCTTTGAATAGTGCTCCAGGCAGTCGCTGTGTCTTTGGTGACATGGTGTGTACCACACTCAACACGGACCAGAGGAAGCAAAGGAAACCTTCTGATTACAGGGTGGGCACAGCCCCTCTGACACCGTTGCCCTTCCATGTTTTACGTTAAGTAATCCGACACCAGCTACTCTCCGACTCTCCTTGACTGTCTACCTAAGCAGACTTCCCGTAAGTTTACTTAGCTGAGCCTGTGTTGTCACTGCTGGCACCCACATCATTCTTTAGTTTCCATCAGTGACCTAACACCCACATACAGTTCAACCAGCTGTAGACTCAATGGGACAGGCCTAAATGCTGCTCTGGCTTGGCTCTCTTCCCCTCCCCCCGTTTAGCCCTCCTCCTCACTCTGCTCGATTCGTCAGTGAGAGCAAATTGTCAGGTTTGTCATCAGAGTTTCTACACCTTTGGAAGTCAAAGGCAAACAAGTGTTAGTGAGCGGATTGCGTGTTTGGACAGGCTTGCTAATAGCTAGACCCTTTTGTAGTGGCGGCCTCATGTGTTTGCTTCACATACATTGTCAGTCTTAATTGAGACGTGACACAACAGCTGCTTTCTGCCCAGACTGTTAAATAGCCGGACTGGCGTGTTAAAACCAGAATTTATCTACTATAAATTAATTGAGATGCTATAATAAACAGTTACATTTGATTCAAGCATCATTACCCTTTTAACTCAGAGGTGGATAACAACCCTGAGAGCACTCATGTTTCATATTAGTTTGACTAATTTATTTACGTGTGTGTGTGTGTGTGTGTGTGTGTGTGTGTGTGTGTGTGTGTGTGTGTGTGTGTGTGTGTGTGTGTGTGTGTGTGTGTGTGTGTGTGTGTGTGTGTGTGCGCGTGCATAAAGTGATGAACGCCGTTATTGTTTGTCTCTAAAAGTCTTAACAGAAGTTTTGGTTTTCAAATTAGTCTGTGGCCATAAAACCTCTCTACAAAACAATGGTTGTGTCGTTCTAATGTTGTTGTTTTGTGCTGTCCTTGTTCAATAAATCCAAACCTATAAACCACTTCACAAGGTTGGGTAAACATCCGCAAGGTTATTAAAATGTTTTGGAGCCTCGTTGTGTTTATTTAATGGCATTAAGAACAAGACACTGAAATAATAACTCCTATCTGATTTAGTTGAAAGGCAACAAGCCGTGCTGTGTAGAACTAAATAATTTGTTCTTACCCAAATCTTTACCTTCCTCTGACTCCCATATATTAACCCACATCATAAATAACTCCCCACTGGCTCCTGAAGATGTACTTACGGGATATTCAGTTTAAAAATATTCAGTATTTCCTAAAGAAAAATGATCTACCGTTTCCCTTTTTATTTTTAATTAGAACTTTTACTTAATTTGGCAAATACAGCAATCACTCAGCAATAGTTGAGACATTTTTTCATTTTTGGTGATGTTATCTGGGTGATCTGCTTTGAGGTGGGGGAGAGTAAAAGGCAACGAAAAGGGGACGCGATTAAATTTCCAGTAATAAAGTGAGAAGTGGTGGGTGGAGACAGCAGAATAATGGTGGGGTCCCCAAGAGTCTCCTGAGCAGAGGTTAGGTGACTTTTGACAGTTTACGTCTGCATGTTAATGTTCCTCGCCGGCAGCTTTATCTCTGTCATGTGACTCACTTTGTTGATATTTATCTGTTAATGGGCTATTTTCACACCACAATGCTTACAATTCATTTACTAGTTTTGCTGTGGAGCACAGTAGTGCTGTGTGAAAACTAGGCTGTTAATTCAGCCATGTTAAGGTTATTACTATTTCTTCTAATCCAACTAATGAATAATAGAATAAAGTAATTCTCTCACTGTCTTTATTATTTTTACTACAAAGAAAATAGAAATAGAACAATATTTGTCCTTTCAAAAATTAACTAAATGCAATTTTGCTCCCACTTTTAACAGTTAGAGGTAGGGTACATGAAAACATGGAAATGAAAAAAAAAATCAAAGGTCCAACCCCTTTTTGTTTGCCCTCTCCCCCAAGCCACACCCCAAGAATATAGGAAAATGCCAGAAGCAACGAATACTCTCAAACAACGATAAAAACATAACATCTAATCTTTTTGACTCGTCGTTAGTACTTTTCTGCCATAATTTCTAATGTAAGACACCTGCGTAAGTGTATTAAAAAATGTGTTAGCTAATATAGCTAGCTAGGTTCAGACTTTGTTTCCTGTTCAGCTGTTGTAAGTCGAGAGTGCGCAATTCATGCACAAAGAGGGGTGTTTTCAGAGGAGAGCGGGACAGTCAGAGGGCAATTTGATTGATGTATTATGATTCGATTATTTTGAACATGCCTCACTTATCAGTCCCATGGTAACGATTACTTTAAAGTGACCGTGTGTATTTTCCCTAGCGATAGGTGACAGTATATATCTAAATCATTGCAAGCAAGCAGTATTTTTGTGTTCAAGTAAGACTCTACCAACAGATAGCTATTAGGGTCAAAAATCCCTGGGAGCGCAGTTTTCGAGCGAGTACTTTGTCAGATTGTTCAACTTCCAGCTAAATGACAAGCCAGTCAGACTCCCTTTCATCACTGTCAACAAGTAAAGAGGTAAATGTGTAAAACAATAATGTTTATGAATGGTTAAAGTTTTCTAACAGCTTGTTACAAATCAGTAAATGTGTTTTGTCCTCATGGGCTCCTGTAGAAGGAAACATTGCGTCTAACATGGTGTCATCCACAGACTTGGACCCGCTCCCATGTATTTTAGACTTGATATTTATGGTTAAATGTTACAAGGCCGCCAATATTTTTCAAAATCTGGGCATCATTTAATTTATTTTAAACATTTTGATGGATATTTCCAGAGGTTAATGGTAAAAAAAACTACACAGAAGCTACGTTTACATGTGCACAAGTAATCGCAATAAATGCTCTATCAGATCAAAAATTGTTCATGTAAAGACGTCAATCTGAAATTCCTGATCCGATACGGCCCAATCGGAATGAAATTTCACTCCGATCGAGAGAGGTGGTTTTGTCCAATCATCATTTCGATTGACGTCCATGTACACACCCATTCGGTTTGTTGGAGTAAAATAATGCACACTGCGCGTGTGTGCAACTTCAGAGTGACATCTTACCGCCTTTGCAGCTGCTCAGGACAAGTCAAAAAACATGACAGGAGGTAAACAGAAGTAGTCCATAATAAGGGAAAAACACAAGTCAACAACAGACAAAACTTGAGAGTAAGAAAATAAAATCCGAGGGCAAAGACGTGCGGACAAGATGGCGTTTGCTTACATTTTCATTCCGGGAAAGATAACTCTGCACATGCTCAACCTATTTAATCTGATTGAATGCTTGTATACTCACAGCATGATCAGATCATTTCAGTTAGTGTCCATGTAAACAGAGATTTGGGATTTCTGATCGACCAAGATTTGAATCGGAACGGGGGAATTTGGTGCATGTAAATGTAGCTAGTGTAACTTTCAGTTGCCTTTTCTGTTTCCCTTTTTTGTCACAGGTAATTAGAATAACATTGAAACGGTTTGTTTTATGATAGTTCTGTACAGCAGCATTGGAGCACAGTACAAAAGCGGTCCGGGAGCTGGCTGTGAGCATCATCTTATCCATGTATCAACAGCACAGAAGAGCCGTTCTCAGCTACCTTCCACCCAGCGATGCTCCAACATGGAACAAGTTTCTCTACAAAACCCTCTTTGACGGCTTTGCAAAGCTTGATGGCAAGCTGGCAGAGACTCAGGTGAGTAAGGGTTTGTGCAATGTTAACAAATGGCAGTCATTCAAGGGGGTAGCTGGTAGACGGACAGTGAAGCTGTCAGAAGTAATAAATGAGACCTCATCCTTTTGTTAAAACTTGAGTTTTGTGAGGAAAAATTAACATCTTTGGGGGAATGTGACCACCTGTGGCCAAAAACAACCGTTTGATGATTTGTTTACGGAGAAAACATCAGATTTAACCCTCATGATTTTATCCAAATACATTTGGTCTCTTGTTAGTGGTGCTGCTCTGGACCATTGAGTAACCAAATCACACTTGAGTTTAGGGAGCACAAGTTCTAGGGATGTAAGAAAATATCAACACAGAAATGTCGCAGTATTTTGTGTTAAGCTACTGAATTGATATTTATAAGCAGTGTATCAATATTTTGTATTGAGAATTTACATAAAGACATTTGCTGTATTTGACGGCTCTCCCTGGGCTGCCACCTTACCGTGGTGGAGGGGTTTGAGTATCTCAATAGTCCTAGGAGCTAAGTTGTCTGAGGCTTTCTGCCTCTGGTAGGGTCACCCATGGTAAACAGGTCCTAGGTGAGGGATCAGACAAAGAGCAGCCCATAGACCTCATGAGGAATTATATAATTGGAAACCGTGTTCCCTCGCCCGGACATGGGCCACTGGGGCCCCCCTCTGGAGCCAGGCCTGGAGGTGGGGCACGTTGGCGAGCGCCTGGTGGCCGGGCTTTCACCCATGGAGCCCAGCCGGGCACAGCCCGAAAAGGAAGTGTGGGTCCCCCTTCCCATGGGCTTACCACTCGTGGGAGGGGCCAAAGGGGTCGGGTGCAGTGTGTGATGGGTGGAGTCGAGGGCAGGGGCCTTGGCGGTCTGATCCTTGGCTACAGATGCTGGCTCTTGGCACATGGAATGTCACCTCTCTTGTGGGGAAGGAGCCTGAGTTGGTGTGTGAGGTTGAGAGGTTCCGACTAGATATAGTCAAACTCACCTCAACGCATGGCTCTGGCTCTGGAACCAGTTTCCTTGAGAGTGGTTCTTTCTACCACCCTGGAGTTGCTCCCACTGAGAGGCGCCGAGCAGGGGTGGGCATACTTGTTGCCCCCCATCTTGGTGCCTGTACGCTGGGGTTTACCCCAGTGAACGAGAGGATAGCCTCCCTCCGCCTACGTGTGGGGGGATGGGTTCTGACTGTGGTCTGTGCTTATGCACCAAACTACAGTTCAGACTACCCACCCTTTTTGGAGACCTTGGAGGGGGTGCTGGAAAGCTTTCCTTCTGGTGACTCCCTTGTTCTGTTGGGGGACCTTAAACGCTCACGTGGGCAACGACAGTGAGACCTGGAGAGGTGTGGTTAGGAGGAATGCCCCCCCCCCCCCCCCCCCCCCCCCCCCCCCCCCCTCCGATCAAATTCAAGTGGTGTTTTGTTATTGGACTTCTGTGCCAGTAATGGATGGTCCGTAATGAACACCATGTTCAGACATAAAGGTGTCCATATGTGCTCTTGGCACCAGGATACCTTAGGCCGCAGCTCGATGATCGACTTTGTTGTTGTTTCATCTGACCTGCGGCCGCATGTCTTGGACACTTTGGCGAAGAGATGGGCGGAGCTGTCAACTGACCACTACCCGGTGGTGAGTTGGCTCATATGGTGGGGGAGGATGCCAGTCAGACCAGGCAGGCCCAAACGTATCGCGAGGGTCTGCTGGGAACGTCTGGCAGAAGGAGCTTCAATTCCCACCTCCGACAGAACTTCCAAAATGTTCCGGGGGAGGCGGGGGACATTGGGTCTGAATGGACCCTGTTCCGTGCCTCCATTATTGAGGCAGCCGACCGGAGCTGTGGTCGCAGGATCATCGGTACCTGTCGTGGTGGCAATCCCCGAACCCGCTAGTGGACACCGGCGGTTAGGGATGCTGTCAAGATGAAGAAAGAGACCTATCAGGTCTTTTTGGCCTGTGGGACTCCAGAGGCAGCTGACGGGTACCGGCAGTCCAAGCGGAACGCAGCTCTGGAGGTCACCGAGGCAAAAACCAGGGCATGGGAGGAGTTCGATGAGACCATGGAGCAAGACTTCCGTACGGCTTCGAGGAGATTCTGGTCCACCATCCGACACCTCAGGGGGGAGAAAGTAGTGTGCTACCAACACTATCTATAGTGGGGACGGTGTGCTGCTGACCTCCACTCAGGACGTTGTGGATTGGTGGGCAGAATACTTCGAAGACCTCCTCAGTCCCACCAACACGTCTTCCAGTGAGGAAGCAGAGTCTGGGGACTTTGGGTTGGCCTCTCAAATCTCTGGTGCTGAGGTCACTGCGGTGGTTAAAAAGCTCCTCTGTGGCGAGGCTCCGGGGGTGGATGAGAGCCGCTCGGAGTTCCTTAAGGCTCTGGATGTTGTGGGGCTGTGTTGGCTGACGCGGCTCTGCAATATCGCATGGACATCGGGGGCAGTCCCACTGGACTGGCAGACCAGGGTGGTGGTCCCCTTATTTAAAAAGGGGGACCGCAGAGTGTGTTCCAACTACAGGCAGATCACACTCCTGAGCCTTCCTGGTATAATCTATTCAGGGGTTCTGGAGAGGAGGGTCCATCGGATTGTTGAACCTCAGATTCAGGAGGAGCAATGTGGTTTTCATCCTGGCCGTGGAACACTGGACCAGCTCTATACCCTTAGGGGGATCCTGGAGGGTGTGTGGGAATTTGCCCAACCAGTCTACATGTGTTTTGTGGATTTGGAGAAGGCGTTTGACCACATCCCTCGGGGGGCCCTGTGGGGGGTACCGCGGGAGTATGGGGTACCAGGCCCTCTGATACGGGCTGTTAGGTCCCTGTGTGACCGGTGTCAGAGCTTGGTCCGCATTGCCAGCAGTAAGTCGGTCTCGTTCCCAGTGAGAGTTGGACTCCACCAAGGCTGCCCTTTGTCACCAATTCTGTTCATAACCTTTATGGACAGGATTTCTAGGTGCAGCCAAGGTGTGGAGGGCATCCGTTTTGGTGGCCTGAGGATCAGGTCTCTCCTTTTTGCAGATGATGTGGTCCTGTTGGCTTCATCAGAACGTGATCTTCAGCTTTCGCTGAAGCGGTTCACAGCCGAGTGTGAAGCAGCTGGGATGAGAATCAGCTCCTCTAAATCTGAGACCATGGTCTTGATTCGGAAAAGGGTAGAATGCCTTCTCCGGGTCAGGGATGAGGTCCTGCCCCAAGTGGAGAAGTTTAAGTGTATCGGGGTCTTGTTCATGACTGAGGGAAAACTGGAGCATGAGATCGATAGGCGGATTGGTGCTGCATCTGCAGTGATGCGGGCGTTGTACCGGTCTGTCGTGGTGAAGAGAGAGCTGAGACAGAAGGCGAAGCTCTCAATTTACCGGTCGATCTACATTCCTACCCTCACCTATGGTCATGAGCTTTGGGTAGTGACCGAAAGAACAAGATTGCGGATACAAGCGGCCGAAGTGAGTTTTCTCCGCAGAGTAGCTGGGCTCTCCCTTAGAGATAGGGTGAGAAGCTCAGTCATTCAGGAGGGGCTCGGAGTAGGCCCGCTGCTCCTTTACATCGAGAGGAGCCAGTTGAGGTGGCTCGGGCGTCTGGTCAGGATGCCTCCTGAACGCCTCCCTGGTGAGGTTTTCCAGGCACGTCCAACAGGGAGGAGACCTAAAGGTAGACCCAGGACACGGTGGAGGGACTATGTCTCTCACCTGGCCACCGAACGCCTTGGGATTCCCCCAGAGGAGCTGGTCCAAGTGGCTGGGGAGAGGGAAGTCTGGGCCTCTCGCCTTAGGCTACTGCCCCCGCGACCCAACTCCGGATAAGCGGATGAAAATGGATGGATGGATGGATGGACATTTACTGTATTTCTTTTATGTGAAATTCAAACTCCGACTGCTAGGGGACAGCAGGAACAACGAGATCTCGCAATAATACGTAGCTCCCAGTCTGAGTTTTCCAATTAAATTCAGTGTTTAAAAATTTCAAATATCATCTGGATTTTGGTATCACAATACCTCATATAGTCCCCTCTGTATTGCGTTATGCTTTGCAACTCCAGACTCTTGCCAATACACACAATCATTATAAATTCAGCCCGTTAGGAGTTTTAAAGGTGTGGAACACTGAAAAACCATTTTTTAGTAACTATTTCACAGTTACTCAGAGTTTTTCACGCAGGCTGAACATGAAAACAGTTCCTACACCTATCTCCTGCATTAGGTTTAGAAAATCTGGAGAAGATCTACATCACACCGTCACTTAACATTCATGGACTCGCCTGTCTCGACTCGCGACAGGAAAGGCTTTTGTTGGTTTAGCGTCTAGGGAACAGCAGAGAACGTCTCGGCTAGTAGCTGACCGCCAGCATTAGCAACTCCACCTCACAGCAGAACTCCTCCAGGCTTGTGATTTTTGTGGAAGTAAAACATCAATTTCACAGAGCTCAGTGGTAGACTCGCATCGCCTTCATCCAATCCGAGGCAAGAAGTGCAAATATCAGGAAAAGGGCCCGAATCCTGCCGTGTTCAACACTACTTTAACGTGGCATTGTGCTAGTTCCTGAAACAGGGGCATCTGAGCTTTTTTCCCTCCCGAGTACGACTTGCAAGGCATTCATTCCTACTAGAGATCACTGCAAATGTATTGATTAAACAAGTGTCCCACACCTTTAAGCTTATGCATCTTAAAGAAACACCTACAAAAGCTAAGTGGGACTCGTTTGAAAATAACTTGGGCACAAATGACATGATGGACCTGCATGGTTCTAACGGGTTAATGGTGTGACATCTTCCACGTAGACTATAAAGAAGGGCAGGAAGCAGCAGTCTGGAAAAAAGGAGACTGGGGAAATCCACTCCCTTCAGGAGCAGCTGGCCGTCTTAAAAGACATCACAGTAGGTGGAGCTGTCATCAGTCTGCAGTGACATCATTTCCCCTCACTATTCTAATTGGTGTTTGTGATTTAACGCAGACTTGGTAGAGTTTTCCTCATGTAGGTGGTCACAGAAATTCTGAAATCTTTTTGATTTTTAGGAAAAGGAGAATGAAAGCACCAAAGGACAAAGCCCTAAAAAAGAACAACACAAAGACATTAAAGGGTCTGTAAAAGGAGCCAAAGCAAGTATGTATCTGTGTTTATTTATGTAACTGTCTCACAGAAATGCTTACTGTATTAACCCGGCTTGGAAGTGGAGTTCGGGGGGGAGGGGGGTTACCTGAACTCCGCTCTCTGAATGGTGGGAGCAGTGCTTGAAGAAGAAATAAATAGGTGCTGTCACTCCCCTTAGAAAAAGCATCTTTAATCTGCTCCTGTTGTAAAACTACGACACCTAGACTTTTCAGACCTGGACTGGATTATTCTAGACCTGGTGTCACCAACTCCAGTCCTCGAGGGCTACCATCCTGCTAGTTTTCTATGTTTCCTGTTCTACCATACCTGAATGGAGTAATTTAATATTCTCCTTGCCATGTTTAACTCTGCACAGGCCTGTTAATTACTCATTTGTTTCAATCAGGTGTGTAGGAGCAAAGAGACTGCACATGTGCAGGATGGTAGCCCTCAAGGACCGGAGTTGATGACCCCTATCCTAGACCGATAGCAGATTCCGTAAAACATTTTTACTTATTTGTAGTAAAAAGAAATTTTTAGCATTTTTTGTCGTCTGGACCCCATTAAGACTGGTCTAGCTCAAAAACTACAGATCCTGGACACTTAACCCTGGACTGGATTATTGTAGACTCATAGAAGATTCTTTAAAACTTTGTTTCTGATTAGTGAAACCTTTATCTGATAATGAACAGCCTCTTTCTACAGTGGAGGAAGCCTTCTGCAGACGCATCTCCTTTTCATGGATACAAAGTCATCAGTGAGGTCATCTGATGCTGTGCTGCTTCTGAGCTGAGCTGATGAGAAGCTAAAACAGACTTAGGCTTATATATAAATATGGATGTTTTCTTACATATTATTTACACACACACCCATAATAATACTATGGGTTGGAAGGTTAGTACAATATAAGACACAGGTGAAGGTTTATGCATTTATTAAGACTTCTTAATAGACAGAATTATCCTCTCTCCTGTCTCCTGATCAGCAGCAGCTGAGAGGTTAATGCCACAAAGTTGTTTGTTTTTTTCAGCAACATGCCCACATTCAAATGAAGCACTCTTGTTTTGATATTTTCTTTCTTGTGTTTGCTCACTATTTCCGTTTGGATGTCATCCATCCTTATGCCTGTGGGCGCGTTTAACCACTGGTTGGTCAGATTCAGCTGCCATCAATCATTGTAGGAACGTGCATGGTGTCGGATAACTTATCTCTTTTTTTTTCTCTCCTCTGCCTGGGCCAACAGAGCTAGCGCGGTGCGTAAATCAGTGGAAAAACTCTAAATTAGACGTGGCCGTACCGACCCACTTAAGGCACTGTTGGGGGGGGGGGGGGGGGGGGGGGGGTGCTGCAGGCTGCCCGATCATATGATGGGGATCTCCGACGGGTGGGGTAGGGGGGTGAAAGGCCTTCACCGGCCGTTCTGGGATTCTCCAGAACCCACTGATGGCCAGTCCACCACTGTGAGTTCAGTTAAAAGAAAATATTTAGTTTATTTTTATTTTCATGAAGGTTGCAATATTGCCTTCAGGCAAGAGACATCGATGCCAATCGGGAACCCCCCGATCAGGTTATACTGATGACATCCTTTTTTTGTTTCAGGTGTCACAAAAAGACCACAGAGCTCGACAAGTTGTGGAGAAGATGGTGTTCAACACTCCATCAAGTATCTGGACAAGTGAGTAAAATTAAACTCAATGCAGATTTTCACATCATCTGTCCCCAAGTGTCGTCCAGCAACAATAAAGGCATTAGCCTTTCTCTCTCTCTCTCTCTCTCTCTCTCTCTCTCTCTCTCTCTCTCTCTCTCTCTCTCTCTCTCTCTCCCCCAGGTGTGTGTGTTTACAAAAGTTTCACAAATCAATCACTAGACCTACATCTACTATTAATTAACTTTTTGAATCAACTCCATTCATGCTGAACCTAATTGAGAGCTCATATTTTATAAGATGATGTTATTATTACATAAGATCATCTACTGCTGACGGTGTGTTTTGCTTCTTGGCCTTCCATAAAATAAATGTTGGGTTTTTTTGTGAATATTTGTCTCTAATAGTTCACAAGTCCAGTACTTTGTGCTAGGCAGTTGCCCTCCTGTGGACATTTCAGCTTTAATTCATCTAAATGTGTTCATTCAAAGTCTGAAAACATCTTTTCAATCTCATTTCAGCTTGTGTATATTCTGTGGTAAAATAGACGAGTCCTTCACGGAGGACGGGTTGGACATCCACTACTGGAAACAGTGTCCGATGCTGCGGCGCTGCGATGAATGTAGACAGGTATGGTACTGTATTTCCTACAGAGGTTGGCACCTTTTTAGTTGATCTGGAAACGGAATTTCCCAGTTTGGTTAATCGACCCGTCGATGATTTTCTGTGTTCACAGGTTGTTGAGATAGCCAGTCTGACAGAGCACCTGCTGAGCGAATGTAAAAACATGTCAAGGTTCAGTCAGTGTCCACGCTGCTCAGAGGCCGTTCCCACTGAGGGTCTGACTGCTCATGCCCAGGGTCCGTCCTGCAACCGTAAGTTTTCCTCTTCCTTCCTGTTGGGAATGGAATCGCCAACGCATTAACCAAACACACCTCGACATCTGTTATTGTTTTTGTTTAAATGCAGCCCTTCATTTATTCTATAATACACTGTGAGAGCATAAAGGAAGGACCAGATTTGGAAATGTTTGATCTCTATGGGGAGTGGCTTAACTGAAAGTCCACTTTTACATTCTCCCATGTGACTTAATGCTTACAAGAAAATCTACAAGAGTGGAAGCTGGAAGAGTAAAATCAATGCTAATTGGCCAAATGGAAGGTCTCATCCACTTGTTTTTTCAATGAATGTGCTTTGGTCTCTAGCATGAATGAATGAATGCCTTATGAGTCATTTTCTGTGGAATAAAAACTCTGGCGCCCCTGTTTCAGACGGGTTAAGTTTGTCGGAGGAATGAGGGGTGAAAAACAGCAGCATTACAAGTCTTACTCATTAATTTATCCCCACAAATGTAACAAGCCCAAATATGTTTCACCATGTTGCTAACGGTTAGCTTCTACTAGCTGAAATGCAATCTGCTCTCTCCTTCCCCTAGGCGGTCACAAGCCCAGGTGGGCGGGGCCAGTTCGCGGCTAATGCAAGTGATGGGGGTTGAAGTGACTTTTCACATTCAGCATGCCTGTGCGACTCTGAGTGAAGATCTCATTAAACGAAACTTAATGTTTTTCATCATTTGGTGCTTAGACGCCTTTAGAGGGACTTCTCTTTGACTCTCGAACTCCATCTCACATCCTGCTATGCTGTTTGGAGCATTTTGAATTACCTTTCTCTGCGACTCTGTTTGTGTAAACAAAAGTGGATGAACGCGTCTTTGCCCACCTTTGGGCGTGGATGGAGAAGTCAGATCTGATCTGTGTGTGCTCACCTGTGATTGGATCGTCCAGGACACGTTAGAGTTCTGGGTTCTAATAACCAGACTGTAGACTGAGGCGGTGTGAATCCTGTCTGGGCCTGGTGAGGTCTTGTTCTTCATTTCTAAGACTCCATCTTTAAATATTTTAGCTACAAAGCCAACAAACGTACAGACGGCACAATGTTACTGTCTGCTGTAGCAGAGTAGATAAGACACTCTTCTTATCTGTCACTGTTTGCAAACAGTTTGGAAGTTCCCTCTCAGCCCACTTTAAAAACTCTTTCTTCCTCACTGATGACAAATATTTTATTTCCTCAATTAGATTAATTACTGCATTTGTTTCAAAAGACACAGATCTCATTTTGCCCTCCGGCGCAAAGCGGGCTCCAGCTTGTGCAGTTTTTTTTCCCTCAGCTCTTTATTAGTGTTAAATTTCTTTTGAATTAATTTAGCTTTGACAGTTAGATCATTTCAGTCTGCAAAGAAACAAAGATACATTTGACTTTTATAGATTCAGTTTTTTATGCCGAACTCGAGCCCTCTGGCCACATACAGGTGCTGGCCAGTAAATTAGAATATCATCAAAAGGTTGAAAATATTTCAGTAATTCCATTCAAAACGTGAAACTTGTACATTATATTCATGCAATGCACACAGACCAATGTATTTCCAATGTTCATTACATTTAAATTTGATATTCATAAGTGACAACTAATGAAAACTCCAAATTTGGTATCTCAAAAAATTAGAATATTCTGAAAAGGCTGAATATAGAAGACACCTGCTGCCACTCTAATCAGCTGATTTACTCAAAACACCTGCAAAGGCCTTTAAAAGGTCCCTCAGTCTTGTTTTGAAGGCACCACAATCATGGGGAAGACTTCTGACTTAACAGCTGTCCAAAAGACAATCATTGACACCTTGCACAAGGAGGGCAAGACACAAAAGGTGATTGCTAAAGAAGCTGGCTGTTCGCAGAGCTCTGTGTCCAAGCACATTAACAGACAGGCGAAGGGACGGAAAAAATGTGGTAGAAAAAAGTGTACAAGCTCTAGGGATAACCGCACCCTGCAGAGAATTGTGACGACAAACCCATTCAAAAATGTGGGGGAGATCCACAAAGAGTGGACTGCAGCTGGAGTCAGCGCTTCAAGAACCACCACGAGGAGACTCATGAAAGACATGGGATTCAGGTGTCGCATTCCGTGTGTCAAGCCACTCTTGAACAAGAAACAGCGCAAGAAGCGTCTCGCCTGGGCCAAGGACAAAAAGGACTGGACTGATGCTGAGTGGTCCAAAGTTATGTTTTCTGATGAAAGCAAGTTCTGCATTTCCTTTGGAAATCAAGGACCCAGAGTCTGGAGGAAGAGCGGAGAAGCACAGAATCCACGTTGCATGAGGTCCAGTGTAAAGTTTCCACCGTCAGTGATGGTGTGGGGTGCCATGTCATCTGCCGGTGTTGGCCCACTCTGTTTCCTGAGGTCCAGGGTCAATGCAGCCGTCTACCAGGAAGTTTTAGAGCACTTCATGCTTCCTGCTGCTGACCAACTTTATGGGGATGCAGACTTCACCTTTCAACAGGACTTGGCACCTGCACACAGTGCCAAAACCACCAGCACCTGGTTCAAGGACCATGGTATCCCTGTCCTTGATTGGCCAGCAAACTCGCCTGACCTTAACCCCATAGAAAATCTATGGGGTATTGTGAAGCGGAGGATGCAATACGCTAGACCCAACAATGCAGAGGATCTGAAGACGACTATCAGAGCAACCTGGGCTCTCATAACACCTGAGTAGTGCCACAGACTGATCGAGTCCATGCCACGCCGCATTACTGCAGTTATTGAGGCAAAAGGAGCCCCGACTAAGTATTGAGTGCTATACATGCACATTCTTTTCATGTTCATTCTTTTCAGTTGGCCAACATTAGAGAAACAAACATTTTTTCATTGGCCTTTAGAATATTCTAATTTTCTGAGATACCAGATTTGATGTTTTCATTGGTTGTCACCTATAAATATCAAAATTAAACGTAATAAACATCGGAAATACATTGGTCTGTGTGCATTGCATGAATATAATGTACAAGTTTCACGTTTTGAATGGAATTACTGAAATATTTTCAACCTTTTGATGATATTCTAATTTACTGGCCAGCACCTGTATGTGGACGGTGGCTCCATGCACTTTAAAAAAAAAATTTCTTCTACTTAGACCTTTTTATTATTTATAGACACTTGATATTGACTTAAAGTAAAAAAATATATATAATAAGTTGTCTTCTTTAATTTGTTTGTAAAGTTGACAACATTTTAATTTAATTTAATTGTTATTTTATTAAAATGTTATTTAGACTTCACCAATCTGTAATGGCTAGATATGTATTTTTTTCTTCTAAATCACACCAAATACAGGTTTGGGTCCCAGGAGGTTAAACTGGTTCTCGGTGGGACAACGAAATGGAAAACGTTAGTTTTGAGTTAGTGTCGTATTCCCAGTTTGTACTTTCACCTTTCAGTGAGGCTCTTTCGTTGATTTTCGTGGAGTTTTTAATTGTGTTGCGATTCATTTTAAGGTGTTTGTGTTTCAGCCCTCGTCTCAGGAAACGGCTCCACCTCCAACCACTGCTCTTTGTGTCATGATAACTTTCCACCTGGAGAGGAGGTGAGATTTTTGTCTTAAGTTATTGTTAGAACATATGAAATGAAATGTGTGTCTTTTCCCACGTACTGATGTTCCATATCAACACAGAAACTAGTCATCGAGTGATTCAGGGTTTGGGAACAAACAGGTGTTGAGGTGAAACTTGTCTATTGTCATAATCATTTTCAAAGGAGTTGCAGCTTTTGTTCATTAAAGTATTTGTATTTTTTGTCAGAATATTTAAAAAATATATATTTTTTGCTACATTTTGGTTCAAATTTCTTCATCTTTATTTGAACTAATAGGAAATAATTATTAATTGCTGGTCAACCAGTTTCAAGACTGGACTTAAACAGTTAGAAAACCACCGCAGGGGAAGGACTTTGTGAATTCCTTCTGTAACGTTTTAGTCCTCGTGTTTCAGTGCGATTGGAGGTGCATTTGTTACTAATCCTTGTTGTTCCTGGGCAGTTTTAAAAGCACGTTTTTCTGCCTCACAGAGATTTTAACAATAGAAGCTCGCTTTATTATTATTTTGTTCTGGTTTCTATCTCAAGCCAAGAAAAACTGGAAAATGTCTTTGAGAACCGTTATCAGCTATTTAAAGACCAGGAAGGAGTGTGTTTGAAATGTCTGACTCATGCTTGGTTAATGAAATGTATTTATATTTGACAGATGTTCTTTACTGATCTAAAAAATTGAATATTAATAATTTTACTTTTTATATCAACAAAGGTCATTTTATCGGTTATAGATTGTATTAATGTTTATTAGGGATGTTGGATATTACCAGCTGATATTGGCATTAAATAGTAACATCAGAAATTATTGGTAGGCTGTGCAGTGGTTAGAGCTGTTGCCTTGTAGCAAGACGGTCCTGGGTTCGCTTCCCGGCCTGGGATCTTTCTGCATGGAGTTTGCGTGTTCTCCCTGCGCGTGTCCAGGGTGTACCCCGCCTGATTGCCGGTTGACTGCTGGGAGCCCCCCCCCCCCCCCCCCCCCCCCCGCGACCCTGCGTGGACAAAGCGGGTTCAGAAAATGGATGGATGGAAATTATTGGTTGAAATTGAAGTAGTTGTCATAATTTGCACAAAGTATCTTTAAAGTTTGTGTGCAGGATAGGAGTTATGTTATAAAATAGAGTTTTTCTTTATTCATATTTGGTTGGGGATCCTGCATATATTGTTATCAATTTTTAGTTCCATTAGCCATCGTCACACACTTGTGACCCATCCCCGTGGGGGCGGTGAGCTGCAGCAGTGGCTGCGCTCAGGAACTATTTGGTGGTATAGAAACGTAAGATTTAGACTATATCAGGACATCAGCTATTGGCATACCGCATACCGTCGATGAATATATTCGATATCATCTGTCGGTGTATCATCTATTGGTAAATGGGTGTTATGATTGATGACCAGCTGAAGTTTAAAGATAATGGTGCCTCTGTCACTTGTTCATGCCGCTTCGCGCTGTTACAAAATACGAAAGATCAGACCGTACCTAACGCAATATGCCACCCAGCTCCTGGTGCAATCTACGGTCATCTCCCGCCTCGACTACTGCAATGCCCTTCTAACTGGTCTTCCAGCCTGTACTGTGAGACGTCTTCAAATGGTCCAGAATGCAGTGGCGTGTCTGGTCTTCAATCAGCCTAAAAGAGCACATGTCACCCCTCTTTCATTAAACTCCATTGGCTACCGCTAGCTGCTGTAGCGGTCACACTTTATAGCGTGATGACTGGCTGCAAATTAATTATGACCAATAAGATGGGATGATTCCATATAAATATGAAATATCAATCTGATTGATCTTTGAATGTTTAATTAGAAGATTATAGTTACTTTTACTTGTTCAGGGACCATAAACACACTTCGTATTAATTCAGACAGAGTCAGGTATAGTTAAAAAGGAATTTTATTCTTTTCTAAACTAATGATTATACATGACAAGATATGAATAATGAGATGTGATGGAGTGGATATGCGGTGATGGAATGTCATGTGTAGGTGGTGTGATGTAAGCTAGGTGTTTATCAGAATCTTTGTATCTGAAATAAATTGGGAAATCTGGGTGTAAAAGAATTTATTTTCTGCTATAAACTAGAGAGTTGATTATTAATAAAACAGCATCAGACACAATCTGTTGTGTCTACAAACTCTGGCAGAGACCCCCAGCAGATCTGGACTGTCAGAAGTCGGGTGGACCTCACGGCACCTGGATTTGTAGATTAAACTCCGATACGATCCGTCCAGTCTTGAAATGTCTCCAGGTCACAACAGTAGTGGGAATGCTTGTTTGCGTCCAAAGTGGATGTGGCTCTTAGGGAGCCGTCTGGCCGTGTCAGCTTGCAGCGTGCAAACAGGTTTTCTGTATGTCAAAAGAGATGTCTCAAGGATGCTTGTTCCGAATTGGCCGGTTCGGAACTCCGCTAGAAACTGACTTAGTCGGGAAGTAATTCTTGTTTTATCAAACTAATTTGTTATGATTTCTGACATATTCTGGCAAATCAGAATGTGCCATGTCTGGAAGGCTTTACCAAAACATTCCTCAGAAAGCCACACCTTCCTTCGGATACAAGATTCTTAACTCTGTGAATAAGAATCTTTAAACGTTATGTGAGGTGAACCTTAACCTTAATTTGCATCTAATGAAGATGTGAATGAGTGTAGATAATGATTAACTTGTTAAATCAAACACATACTGATCATAAGATCTTCAATGGATCATTGTAAGAGCAATATTAATTTCAACTTCATTGATTTAAGCACAGATTATTCAAACATTTCATTTCAACTTCTTGTTCATTCAACCATACTTATTAAGTTGTAAAGCCTTGTAGTATTCATGTAGGTTCACTTTTAATCAGAGTGAGGAATCCAGCAGTCTGGGCAGAGCGATGAGGCTTTTGCGGGGGACCTTGACAGTTCATTTATGTCTGCGTTGAAGAACAATGAGCAAAAGATTGATTTGTGTGTCTGGATCCTCCAGCTGATGTAGCCTTGGCTTTGCAGCTCTGGAATGTATGAAAGGTTATGCTGTGTCAATTCGATGGTGAAAATTGACCCTTTTTATTCATTACACTGCACACATCAAATCGCTAGCACTAGCATACAAAGTCCTGGATGATACAGCTCCTATCTACTTGAATCCTCTTGAAAAGGCTTACGTCACGGCCCGGCCACTCCGGTCATCAAAGGTTCATTGGCTAGCAGTGCCTACACCACGCTCAGGAAAATCCAGACTCTTTTAATGCGCCGTTCCACTAATGTGGAATGGCCTACCAAGCACTACTAGAACAAGAGCTTCCTTGTCAATTTTATTATATTTTATTTTTTTGTTTTATTTATTTTTTACCGTGTCCTGTCTGGCTGTGAAGCAAACAGAATTGATGTCTGAATGCTGGTGACAAGCCTTACAGATTTACTCTCAGGTGGAGCATCAAAGCATCTGCTTTAATGTCACGCCTGATACTTAAAACTTTATTGTTATTGTTGTTGAATGCTTGTAATTCTGACCAGACACGGAGACAGAGGTGAAAGAGAAAGGAAGAGACAAAAGGGGTTCCACAAAAATAAACTATCAATGATGAACAAGAGTCTGCTTCTAGACCTGCAGAAAGAGAAAAACAAACAAAAAAGGGTCACACAACAATACAACAGGAGCAAGCTATCACTGCGTCAACTTGATGAAGAAATATAAAATCAACATTGTTTTACTGAACAATCACACGATAATAAATTACAGTGCATTTAGTGCCAACCACAGCCTTAAGACCTGTGTTGAACGTGCCCAAGTCCATACTTATGAGAGCACCATGTGAGCACCTGTGTGTGTACACACGCTTGTTTATGTAAGGTCTCTCTATAGGAGCGTCCAATAGCGAGTGTGAGGGGCCACAGATCTGCCCCCCAAAGATGTGCAGGAGATGGAAGGAGCTCCAAGCCCCAGAGATCCAGGAGCTGCCCCAGAGCACAGGGACCCCAGGGAGACTGTAACCCATCCCTTCATGACCACCATGCACCCATCCTCTGATGGCTACTTCCAGCAGGATAATGCACCATGTCATAAAGCTCCAATCATTTCAAATTGGTTTCTTGAACATGACAATGAGTTCACTGTACTACAACGGCCCCCACAGTCTCCAGATCTCAACCTGATGGAGCATCTTTGGGATGTGGTGGAACGGGAGCTTTGTGCCCTGCATGTGCGTCCGACGAAATCTCCATCAACTGAAAGATGCTATCCTACCTATGTTGACCAACATTTCTAAAGATGCTTTCAGCACCTTGTTGAATCAACGCCACGTAGAACTAAGGCAGTTCTGAAGGTGAAAGGGGGTCAAACACTGTATTAGTATAGTGTTTCTAATAACCCTTAGGTGAGTGTATATTCGGGTCAATATGGTATATTAACATATTGGACATTGGTATATATCAGATATCAGTAAAAAGCTGACATTGAACATCCCTAATGTTTATACATGCAATGGAAGCAGTTGGCTTTAAATAGCAATGAAAAAATAGGTAATGTAAGTATGTAATAGCAGCGTTTTTCAGCCAATGAGAGAAGCTTTCATTTCTCTTTGTCTCTTTTGGATTTCTAAGAGTAATTCTAATGAAAATTGTAGAAATAAATGAACTTTATGCCTGTTTTCAGAATACGTGCTGTTTAAAAACTAATTCAATTCAAGTTTATTTATATAGCGCCTAATCACGACAAGAGTCATCTCAAGGCACTTCACAAAGTAAACTATGCTGCTCTTTGTTGTTGCCATTCCCCAAATGAGTCCGCATGATTTATGGTTCAGGAATATTTCAAGGGACACGATTTCTCAGTGGAAATCAGCACAGACAAAAGGTTTTCCTACAGATTAAACTAGAAAATGGACATTCTTGTTTTACACACCCAAAGAGAAAGGTGAAAATTTTCACAGATTCCTTTTGCTTGAGCTCTGAGCGTAAACTCAATGAAAGGCTGCAGTGTTAAAGAGAGGGTGTGAGGGAGGGGGACCACTCCGGCCTTGACTGGGCCTACAGTCACCTGTGGTTGTCAGCAAAGGTTCCTGGTGAAGCTGAGGACTGACTGAGCCACTCTTGTCCCTGCTCCAGGCCTGGAAGGCTCACCTCATGGGCAGAGACGGCTGCAAACAAAACTCACGCAGGACCACCGTGACCCAGAGAACCCAGCCAGCACAAGGTAAAGCTTTCATTCACCTTTGGACTCGTAACTACCTCCCCAGAGCGTGGTGTGTTAGCAAAAGACAGAGCCGACGTGAAATTTAGTGTTGTAGCGTTTCTGCTACCGTCCTCTCCCTCAGCATGTGGAACAGACAAAACCGAATGTGGAGCGAAGTGTTTCCCATTCACCTTCTAGTTTACACAGGTTGATTTGTTTTGCACCAGAAGCCCAGATGTTTGTTTTTTTCTGTCTTCTGAAAAAGTTCCCGTTCCAGCATGTGATCGTAGCCCTTAAACTCTCCTGACATACAGTATAGTCATATCTTTTCATGGGAAGCTGACATCACAGAATGTTCCTGTTTGTAGTCACATCACAGATGATGCAGGCGGGTTTGTTTTTGGAGCATACATGACTCAAAGATCACAGGAGTGTTGGTTTTCCTCCTGAAGGGAAGTTTTTTTCTTCTTCTTCTTTTCTTCAAATGTTGGGGGGTTTCTGTGTGTCCAGGCAGGGCTGCGGGTGGAACAAAGATGAAGCAGGCCTGGTCCGTCGGAGCTGGACCCAGACCCAGAGTCAGACCTGTGGGCAGAGGCAGCCGGATCCCAGCTCTCACACCTTTGATCAAAAGAAACCCACCTGGGAAGCGCTGAAGCTGGTTCGTCACAGCCTCCATCACTCGCAGGGACTGAAAAACCCCACTTGACCAAATCAGAGTAACATAAAGCTGGATCCAGGTCAGAGACACTGCTGGGTCTCTGAAAGTCTTTTTATTCAAGAGTAAGAAAAGACAAACTTGACCCGTTACGTCACGCCTGTGGGATCGGTAAACATAAGACTTCTGCCATCTGAGGCCTCTGGGAAGGCGTTTAGAGCTCAGAGCCGGAACGTGTTTCTGCTCGGTGACTAAAGACAACATAACAGCTGGTTTTTAGTCCCTGGTATTAAATAAAAATTCAAACATCCTCGATGCTGCTCTTCCCTTGACCCGACTAAGGATGACTTTTGTGTTTCGTAACAAAACAAAGCCTCTCTGGTTTGCCATCTCCATGCTGAGACAACGCTGACATCATCAAGGAGATTTGTTTATCACAGGATATTTAGTAACTTTCTGAGCACAAAGGAATACTTCTACTTTTATTTTTTGAGTTTAATTTAGAAAAATAACACATTTAGAGTATTCTCACTTCTTTAAATCTTCCAAATGTTGTGGTATCAATGAACGTCCAACTGGTCTCCACATCTTACCAGAAAAACAATGAATGTACCTTTAAAAACCCCCTTTTACACTGTAAGAAATGATACGTTGAATTTACTTAACCAAATAAAGTAAACTGGTTCCAATAAACGTAGCTGCTTCAATGTAAAGAAGAAAGTACTTTTACTTTTAACAACATTTAACAACGAATGTTAATCTTTACATTTAAACAAGGTTTTGTGGACCCAGTTCACATAACTGTAAGTAAATTTAACGTTCCATTTCTTACAGTGTAGAGCTGAGAGGAAACCCGAGGTTGAGGCTCGGGTAAGAGCAGAAATCTTTCCTCCATGGCAACCGTGAAGACAAATCTTCAGTCCAAAAGCCGTTAACAGCCTGGTGACGCTTTTCTGGTCACCATCTGCTCACATGTTTTCATTTTACTGCTCCTTCTAAGCTGTATGGAGCAGCGCCTTGCCAAAGGGACGATGTTAATAAGCAGAAACAATATGTATGTACTCGATTATTGCTTACTGACAATCTTGAATGGAACTGAGAGCAACAAACCATTTTTTTGGCTTTTTAAACAAAAAGGAAATTGTAGAAGACGTGTTGAGTCTAAACTGAACCCAACAAATATGAAGCACTTTAGAGACAGAAGATGAACAATCACCTCATATATCTGTTTAAAAAAGAAACAGAATAAATGTTTTAATGCCTGAAAAGATGTCAGGTTTTTCTTTGTCTTAATAATTGTGTAAATGTTGCATATTGTGTTGTTTTTCCTCCAGTTTCACAGATGACTACACTGTAAGAAATGAAATGTTGAATTTACTTATTCATTTCAACTGGTTCCACTGAACCACGTTGCGTAAATGTAAAGAGTGTTTGTATTAAACATAATGTATATTACTATTTACATTTAAGGCACTATAGTGGAAACAGTTGAAACAAATTGGTTAAAAATTGTTAAATTCAACATTTCAGGTCTTGGTGTTTCAAAAGCCTGTTGATTTAACACTTATGTGGATTTTAACATTTCCATCCTTTGTGTTAAGATAGTAGTAGTGGCACAGTTGTGTGTTTAATGGTGCTTTATGTGCACTCTAGTCAGTATTTTCTTTATATTGCTATAGTTTTTCTTGCAAATGTAATAAAGATGTGTTAAAAAGGACTTTGAGGTTCTTCATTTCAACATCACATGGGCAAAAACCAACGTGGCCTAATAATTAGATTTATTTTTCCTGCCAAAGATGAAAATGTTAAGATTTTTGGGCAATAATTTAATGAACTGTTATCAAAGATTTGTAAAACGGACATAAAAGGGGTCTTGTACCTTTGCCTTATGGGAGATTTGATGGATTGGTTGATTGTTTCTGTCATAAGATGATCGCTATGCAGACAAACGATGGCGTTTGCGGGGATGTAGCGTGATTAGAGAACCCAGACGCAGAAGAGCGAGCGTTGGGAGCTGCTGTCACGCTGTTAATCTAGGAACGCCAGTGCAAGCCCGGCTGGAGGGGGGGGGGGGGGGGGGGGGGGTGCGATGGTGTTCCAGAAAGTAAGAGAAGAGCTTACTTTTATGTGGATGGAGTAGGGTGGCTTGATAGTAGAGCATAAACGCTCGGAACTGGAACATGGATTGAAGAATCGATGACTGTTTCCTCCTCTTCTGGCTTTTGAGGGTGACGGTGATGATGTCCAATTGCATGGAGTGAGGGATGATGGGAGATGGAGTTCTAGTCTGTGGATCTGCAGGCGGCGAGGACGTGACAGTTTCATAGTTTTGGTATTGAAAATGAATTTTATTCTAATATCGGCTAAGAAAAGGGGTCCCTCTTCAGTAATGTTTGACGTATTTAGTCACAATCTAGAATGATTCCCACAAGTCGACTTTTTAGAACAAGTCTGTGACGGTTTGTGATCCAAAAGCTGGTCAATAAAGCGCCATCACTTGGGATTAGACTCAACATTTAAAGAAGAGATTTGAAATTAATGAAACAAAACATTTTTATTTGCATCAACAAATGCAGTTGAGGGCCGCAGAGAAGCACTTAGAGGGCAGCAAGTGGCCCCTCGGCCACACTGAACAGATGTTAAATGGATATTTCAGCATTAAAATAACATTTAAGCTTAAATTTCTCAGCAATGCTGCACAAAACCCACATTTCAATTAAAATTAAACAACTTTGTTAATGAGGCTTAAATTACATGAATCAGCAGCGTCAGTTTCTCTGGTTTTAGGCCTGATTCTGTTATTCATAACATAAAATAAGCTATCAATTTAAGTCAGGTATACCCAAATAAGTTTAATCTCAGAAAACAAAATCCAAACAAGAAGAATAATCACTTTGTCATCCCCAAATGGTTTATTTGATCCTGAAGGTAGAAAACACCTGAATTTTTTAAGTCTTTGTGCATTTACACAAGTGAACTTATAGGATTGGGCTGCACAGTGGTGCAGTGGTTAGAGCTGTTGCCTTGCAGCAAGAAGGTCCTGGGTTCGCATCCCAGCCTGGGATCTTTCTGCATGGAGTTTGCATGTTCTCCCTGTGCATGCGTGGGTTCTGGCTTCCTCCCACTGTCCAAAAACATGACTGTTGATTGGTCTGTCTAAATTGTCCTTAGGTCTGTGTGTGTGTGTGTGTGTGTGTGTGTGATTGTTTGTCCTGTGTGTCTCTGTGTGGCCCTGCGATGGACTGGCTCTCTGTCCAGGGTGTACCCCGCCTGATTGCCCATTGACCGCTGGAGATACCCCCCCCCCGTGGACAAAGTGGGTTCAGAAAATCGATGGATGGAACTTATAGGATCATGTTTTTAGATTAAGACCATTTTAAATGTCATGAAGAACTAAACAAATAGAAATCTTCCATGTTTGATTTAAGAGCTTTAGTGGTTTCACAAGAGGTCAACACGCTCCAAGTGTTTCCAACACTTTTATCTGTCAGACAAAAATGCAGCGTCCGGTTTATCAGTGGAGATCAGGGCTGCTAAAAACCACCGATAAGACTCAGATTGGATGAAATGTCTGACATTTAAAAAAAAGTTCAAAGTGCGCAATCTGACAGTCCAAATGGGCAAACGTGCGCGCTCAGATGGAGAATCTTTGCGCGCAAACCAGATTCTCGTCGTTTACAAAGCTCCACATCCTGAGCAGCTCCTGCGCATTCAGTTTGTGCACCACGATGAGGTTCCTGTAAAAGCAGGGCTCGCTGTTCATGCGGCTCACCTTGTGTCTGGTGATGCCGAAGGTCCTGAACCCCGCGTGCATCTCCGGGGCCACGCTCAGCTTCTTCAGGCACATCCCCAGAAACACGTCGTCAATCGGGTACAGCTCCACGTCCTCCGAGGCCACGAACAGCCTACTGGCCAGCTGGGAGGACATCACGAACCCCCCTCCTCCCACGTAGGGCGGGTAGGGCTGGTCGTACAGCTCTTTGGGGATGTAGTATTTGCTCTGCCGGTTCCGGATGGGGATCGCTTTGGAGATGGTGTCCCCCACAAACAAGTCGGCCTCTCTGCGCTCCTCCACTTTGTAGTTGACGAGCTCCAGCAGGTTGTGGGGGTTCACAAACACGTCATCGTCTCCCTTAAATATGAACTGCACGTGGGGGCAGTAGATGTTGAACCATTTGAGAAAGTTAACCTCTTTCAGGGTCAGGTTAAAGAACGTATCCATAAAGTCCCACTGCAATATGTCCTTGTAGATCACGTCCTCATATTCGATCAGCTTCTGGAGGTTTTTGGTGTCTGACGTCGGAGCTCCAAGAAGAAATAAGGTTTTGATTTTCCTTCCACCCACCGTCAGCTCTTTACCCCAGGTTTTACGCACAGCCTCCCGCCGGTCGTGCTGCTCGATGACGGACTTGATGACCATGAGAAGGTGCACGTCTCCATCCGCGCACTTCTCCGGGTGGTTGATGAGCATGGGGAAGTACCTGCAATGTCTGTGTAGAACAAACTGGTGAAATCTCGGGTCCAGACGCCGGAACCACTCCTGGGTCTTCACCGACGCGTCCTCGCTACAGTTGAGAACTTGTGCGTCCCAGTACGCAGCGCTCCCTTTGGTCACCACCGGATGGGGGACCCGATCGCTGCTCGGCTCCGTGGCATCTGCGCTCCAAAAACTATTTTTCACGGGGCTCTTTTTCAATGGGAAGCAGTCCGAGCCGCACCAGCTCGCGTCCCTCGTGTGTTTCAGTCCCGTTGCGTATTTCTCTGACAACTTCAGCTTCTGAATCATCAGAAAAGATCCAAACACCAGAGACAGACTCAACAGGGACTTCAGCAAACCGCCCCGCTTCCTCCGAAAAAAGTGATCCATGACTGTCACCGCGGCTCCCAAGGACCCTCAGACGTTGGACGCGTCGCCTTCATGGTGTTTCACAGCTGCTCGCCCGAGCGGAAGCTGCCTGCGACTGCGGAGTTCTCTCTCCGGGGGCCACTTCAGCCCATGACTGCGCGCACTGGGAGAACCAGACGCATGGCTCCCAGCCTTTCGCTCTCTTTATTCTCAGTGCAGACTGCAGACCTGCTGCCTCACCCTCCTCACCCTCCTCACCTCCCCAAATATCCCCTCCTCCATCCGATGACTCGCAATGGTCCAAAACCAGCTGGTTTCTCGTACCCAGCTGGGGAATTTTGTCTTCTTAACACCCAATATGCATGCGTAATGGGGACATTTATTATCAACATTAGACACTGCACATTTCCCTTGATCAATATGACTTGGACTTTGAGACTAAAAGCTGTTAGGAAAATATTAATGGATTATGATAAAGTTCATTTCCACTTGAAATGTCCAATAATACAGAAAATCTTTTTTTTTCACTTGGAGCATTATTAATAAACCCTTTTAATCAAAACAGCGTTTAGATTTTTAGTGGAGTTGTTTGAAAGCACGTTTTTATTTGAGCTGAAGAATCAGAATATGTCCTATAACTGATAGTTTTAATAATCAACTGGCCAGGATCTCTTCTGATAACATTTAAACTCGTTCCAGCATGGAGCTGTATAAATCAGATGACCCTTGACCCTAATGCCAGATTAGAATCTAGACCTTTCAAGTGTCTACAGCGTCTTTAGGCACAGGTATTTTAAAGGAATTCCATAAAAAGTGAATAAATAATGTGTTATTAGGTGTCAAATAGTACATTAAGACTCAGCATTTTAGAAGCAATCTTTCACAAAATAGCAGAATTCCAGCTACGTGGGTTTATTTGTAAAATATTTATTTTTATTTAGATGCACGTTTCTTATCGTTGTCTTAGAATAATGTTTTGTATTTTTCTGGCTGATGAGAGTTAAGTCTCGAATTTTTAAATTAAATGTGATTTTATTTTTACCCAGTCAAACATTGATAGTGTGGGAAACGGTTTCTTTGCAGGATGCAAACACGAGTGTATTTTGTATTACCAAAATGTTTTATGTTAAGCATTAGAAGTATTCTTAGTAACGGTATGAACAGAAACGTTTGTATAAAATGAGCCACGAACTCCATATCCTTAAACGGGACTTGGGGCCCTCTTGTGGACATGTCTGACAATTGCATCTCGTTTGCGTGTTCCACTTCCTGTCTGCGACCTCGTGACCCATTAACTTTTATTCCTTTTTCAACAGGGAAGGTGGCGTCAACAGCGATCGTGTTGCTGGATTCATTTACAAAAGGTAATCGTAATCTTCCCATTTTCATAAAATAAAAACATGCATGTGGGAAGCTGTTCGTGGCAGCTTAATTCTAAAGCGGAAGTTTCCTTTCAAAATAAATTCAAAACTACTTTATACCAAACATTATTTTAAAACATATATTAGAGTAGCTGTTAAATGTGATTACGCTAAGACGGCTTCACACGTGACTATTTGTTACTCCACTTACACAACTTTTTTCAATGACTAAAAAAAACTCAATTCACAAAGGCACTTACTCTTTTTACGTAGCGGGTAACTGAGCCGCAACCGCAGAATCAGGCCGACTGCAGATTCAGGCTTGTACTGTTTTTTGAGACGGCGACCTCTACAGGACCAATGTGTAACTGCAACTGCAGATTCATAACTAACTGCAGATTCAAGGCAGCAGACTTGGACACCGCAGATTCACGCCTGCTGCAGATTCAAACTTCTGCTGTTAGATATAAAAAAATTTTAATTTTCGGTGAAGTTTATTAAAAATTGTTTATTTGTTGTTAAAGCTTCAGTGAAGTAGTTCTCAGAATACAAATTTGAAAACTCCTGAGTAGCTTTTAATAATAAAAGCTTTAGGTAAAGCAATTCAAGTCAATAAGACCTAATTTAGAATTTTTATTTATTTAAGATGTTAAAGTATAAGTGTTTATATGATTTCTTGCTAATGTGAAAATTCAATTTTTGCTCATTGATTTTGTCCATGATGTATGTCTAGAGATGTTTATTTGGATTTTGGAAATGGAAAGATGTTGAGGGATAGAGCAATGAAAAGCCTTGAGCTTCTCCCTATTCCCCTTTAAGGACCAAAGAGAAATCTAAATCCTCTAAATAAGAACTTTTTATTTTGTATTTGAATTAAATTTGTTTGAATAGTCTGAAGTGAATAAATAAATAAATTGTATATTTATTTAATTGAAGTTGTTTGTAGAAAAAAAACCCTTTTTCCAATTTTCCTGGTTCTGGACATTCTTAGATCAATCACCTCGTAACACCCTGATGGACCAAAACACGTATTTAATTCAATTCAATTCAAAAATACTTTATTAATCCCAGAGGGAAATTGATTGCTGTAGTAGCTCAGAATAATAATAATAATAATAATCAAGTCATCGAAGAGTTATTGTATATTACAATGGCTGTTGACAGGAAGGATCTCCAGTAGCGGTCAGTGTTGCAGAGAAACTGAAGAAGCCTCTGCTGAAGACACTCTTCTGTTGTCGGACAGTCTTGTGAAGAGAATGCTCAGGGTTGTCCATCATTTTCTTGATTCTCTGGAGAATCCTTCTTTGCATTATCTCCTCCAGTGGTTCCACAGTCGTCCCCAGAACAGAACCAGCCTTTGTTATTAGGCTGTTGAGCCTTTTCAGGTCCCTGCTTCTGATGCTGCTACCCCAACAGACGATGGCTGAAGAGATTACACTCTCAACAACAGACTTGTAGAAGATCTGCAGCATCTTGCTACAGACACTGAAGGACCTAAGCGTCCTCAAGAAGTGCAGTCTGCTGTGTCCCTTCTTGTAAACGGCTTCGCTGTTCTTTCTCCAGTCCAGTCTGTTGTCCAGGTGAACTCCAAGGTATTGGTATTCCTCAACCACCTCCACTTCTTCTCCCATGATGGAAACAGTGTTTGACTCCACCCTGTTTCTTCTGAAGTCTAAAATCATCTCCTTTGTTTTGTTCACGTTCAAGGTCAGATGATTGTTTCCACACCATGTCACAAAGTGCTCCACCAGCTCTCTGTACTCAGCTTCCTGTCCATCTCTGATACACCCGACAACTGCAGAGTCATCTGAGTATTTCTGTAGATGACAGGTCTCTGATTTGTACTGGAAGTCTGAGGTGTACAGGGTGAAAAGGAATGGTGAGAGTACAGTCCCCTGTGGTGCTCCAATGTTACTGATCGCCTGGTTTGATGTGCAGTTCTTCAGCCTCACAAACTGTGGTCTGTTTGTCAGGTAGTCTTTAATCCAGGCGATAGCTGAGGCCCCCACCTGTGTCTTCTGGAGTTTCTGGCAAAGTACATCAGGCTGGATTGTGTTAAATGCACTGGAGAAATCAAAAAACATGACCCTCACAGTGCTGCCTGCTTTGTCCAGATGACAGTGGATTGGTTGAAGCAGCTGGATGATGGCATCTTCAACTCCAACTCCATGGCGATAAGCAAACTGCAGCGGGTCCTGATATGTTCTAGTTTGCTGATTCAGGTGGACCAGCAGGAGTCTCTCCAGGACCTTCATGATGTGGGATGTCAGGGCAACCGGTCTGTAGTCGTCATTGACTGATGGGCGAGTTTTCTTTGGAACTGGAACAAGGCAGGATATCTTCCACAGGACTGGAACCTTCTCCTGGGCAAGGCTGAAGTTGAAGAGGTGCTGCAGAATCCCACAGAGCTGCTCTGCACAGGCCTTCAGTACTCTGGGGCTGACATTATCTGGACCTGCAGCCTTGTTCCTGTTCAGTCTCTCCAGCTGCCTCTTCACCTGACTTCTAGAGACAGATAAGTGAGAGGGGGAGGTAAATGGAGCAGCAGCATCTCCTGACTTGGTTGAAGAGAGATTTATAGAACCAGAAGAGTCCATGACTGTGTTAGAGGACAAAAGAGCTGGTGTATGACAGGAAAATGTTGGATCAGAGGAGGATGGGATGTCTGATTGGCTGGGGACAGGCGAGGAGGATGCTGGGTTTGTTCCTGAACTGAACCTATTGAAGAACTTGTTCAGTTCATTGGCTGTGTCCAGGCTGCCATCTGTGCAATCCTTCCTCTGCTTGAAGCCTGTGATCTTCTTCATCCCTGACCAGACATCTGATATTGTTCCTCTGTAGTTTGTTCTCCAGCTTCTTCCTGTATGCCTCCTTGCTGTCTCTGATTTTGATCTTCTGTTGCTTTCTCTGTCAACGTTTTGCTCCCGCTCTGCACCCACGCTTCTTGCATTTTAACTCATTTGGGATTTGTGGCTTCAGTTGAGGTATTATTTCAGCCTTCCCAATGTTAATCAGCTGCTCCCGATTGTAAACCAGCTTGTTGCCATGGCTACGCATCATAACAAATGCTCAAAAAGTGAAAAAATAGCAGTAAAACTCCTCCAAGCTTCACAGCACCAGAAACAGAAAAGTGAAATGTCCAAAAAATACCGTTTTTCTTGAGAAACTAGAAGAAAAATTGTCCAAGAAAAGGCAAAACTTACATATAGTCAACAGATATGGCTCATCAATTCAATGCAGAATACTGTGGAACTTTGCAACGATGAATTGAATACATTTTATTAAAGTAAAACTTTATTTAAAACCCAGCTGCATTATTATTGGTCCTTTGGATGCTCCATTATGTTTTTGGTTTTTGTCCTTCTTAATATTTGTGAAATTTTGGCAATTGAAAAACTTGCACTACACAGATAAATTCTGCTAAAACATTTAATGTGAAATAACTGATCTGTGGTGTCTTTTCCTCATTTTTGTTGTGGAAATAGGAAACAAAAGATTATGAGACACTGGAATAGTGTTTAATGTTTTATTGAGGTAGGCCATGGTATGTGTGAGGCGGAGGTGGGGTCTGCAGAGAAAAGAAAGATGTTAAGCAAAAAGCTGAAATCAAACACTTTACTTTAAATTGTACACTCATCAAAATATGTGCAACCATTCATACTTTTATGAAAATGTTGGCCTATAAAGTTTTTCATGAATGCACAATTAATGTAATAACGGTTATTTTAACTAGTAAAACTATGGACAGCATAATATAACTAAATGTGCAATTCAGACCATTTCTTTACTGTAAGCATAATTAGCTCCTAGCTTAGCCTACACGAGGTGATTAAACAGGGTCAACTCCTTTTCAACTTACCACAAGAAAATGTTCTTTTCCTCGTCAAATGTAACTCGAGGATTAAAATTGGTTTAGAAATGTAGTTGGTAAATATATGCTAGTTTCATTAAACAACGAATTAAACAAATACCGTTCTCCACGTTCTATCCGGAAGTCTGGAACAGTGCTGCACTGGGTAACTGCATGTTGGAGTAGCTCTGTTGACTAAATCTTAGAGGATTTTTACTGCAATTTTTTCACTTTTTTCACTTTTTGAGCATTTGTTATGATGTGTAACCATGGTAACAAGCTGGTTTACAATCGGAAGCAGCTGATTAACATTGAAAAGGTTGAAATAATACCTCAACTGAAGCCACAAATCCCAAATGAGCTAAAACGCTAAAACGCAAGAAGCGTGGGTGCAGAGCGGGAGCAAAACGTTGACAGAGAAAGCGGAAATTCAAACCATCTCTTCCATCGATCATAATGGGCAATGATAAATCAGCTGCTGGTCAGCATCAGAAGCAGAGACCTGAAAAAGCTCAACAGCCTAATAACAAAGACTGGTTCTGTTCTGGGGACGACTGTGGAACCACTGGAGGAGATGATGCAGAGAAGGATTCTCCAGAGAATCAAGAAATTTATGGACAACCCTGAGCATTCTCTTCACAAGACTTTCCGACAACGGAAGAGTGTCTTCAGTCAGAGGCTTCTTCAGTTTCGCTGCAACACTGACCGCTACTGGAGATCCTTCCTGCCAACAGCCATTGTAATATACAGTAACTCTTTGATGACTTGATTATTATTATTATTCTTAGCTACTACAGCGATCAATTTCCCTCTGGGATTAATAAAGTATTTTTGAGTTGAATTGAACTGAATATACTTACTCTCCGATCGTGCTCCATCACTAGAATGCTAGCAAACAGTGGGCGGCGCTGTCTCAAAAACAGTACAAGCTTGAATCTGCAGTCGGCCTGAATCTGCAGCGATACCCTTCTCAGCCACGCTGACCCATGGGCGCTTACCATCATGACGTAGCGTCGTCAGGTAAAGTGACAGCACAGGGACGCCGTGACCGCCGAGTGAACTTCGCAGGAGGAAATACACCCAAGAAGAGGTGGCGGTTCAGCCAGACAAGCAGCGACGAGGCGGCGTCGTTCTCAACACCACAGGTCGTAAATGAGCTCCATTCTTAAGTAGCCAAAGTCTGCTGGTTCCTAACAAAAGCTAGCAAAACACTCGCTTAAACCGGAGGCTAAAACGATGCGCGTGACGGTTGTTGTGTCGCGAGACGATAGAGCAGAAGCTAGCAAAGTGATTAAACTGCTATTTTATGGCGACTTGTAGGTAAGAGGTAGTGTTTGTACCGATTAGGACTTTACAAAAACACATGAAAACGCTTTCCGTTTGGTTCCTTTCTGGCGAAGCTCGGTTTATTTATTTATTTATTTTGGGCGAAGGCTAAGCTAGCCACATGACTGAGCAAATTAGCCAATAATGAAGTCGGTGTTAGGTGTTCACTAAAACTTGAGTCATTGTTGGTTTGTTATGTGAGCCTAAAGTGGCGAAAACTGGAGTGGAGTTTGGCTCCGATGACGTTAGGAGAGGAGGAGTTGGAGTATCAAGTAACTCAAGAGGAATCCAGAGTGCTAATGTGGATTAAAGAAGAAAACGCGCAGCTTCTGTCCTGGGCTGGAATTTTAGAGCCAATTTTAATCTGTTTTCATAACCTGCCTACCCCTTAAGTTCAGCATTTTCAGTGTTTATTATCAGAATTGTTTTTTTAATTTGTAAGATTGATCATTCTCAAAATTAAAGCAGAAAAAACTCAAAGGAAATAAAAAGACTATTTAAGCTACATTCAATTCAATTCAAAAATACTTTATTAATCCCAGAGGGAAAATTGATTGCTGTAGTAGTTCAGAATAGTAATAATACTCATCAAGTCATCAAAGAGTTTTAGTAAATTACAATGGCTGTTGGCAGGAAGGATCTCCAGAAGCGGTCAGTGTTGCAGCGAAACTGAAGCGCAGTTGCGGAAAAAAAAGGTTTATACTATATAAAACACTATATGTTTCCTTTATGAAGTAAAATAAGAAGAAAGCTCCACCAGTATTTTTCACACTTGTTTCAGATTGAAAGTCTAATAAAAACTAGAACGTCACCAGTAAGCTGTGCTGCTCTGCGCGGCTGCATGTTGGATTAGCTTTGCTGACTATGTAAGTTTTGCCTTTTCTTGGGCATTTTTTCTTCTAGTTTCTCAAGAAAAACTGTATTTTTTGGACACGTTACCTTTCTGTTTCTGGAGCTGTGAAGCTTGGAGGATATTTTACTGCTATTTTTTTTTAGCTTTTTTTCACTTTTTGAGCGTTTGTTATGATGCGTAACCATGGCAACAAGCTAGTTTACAATCGGGAGCAGCTGATTAACATTGGGAAGGCTGAAATAATACCTCAACTAAAGCCACAAATCCCAAATGAGCTAAAACGTAAGAAGCGTGGGTGCAGAGCGGGAGCAAAATGGAGACAGAGAAAGAGGAAATTCAAACCATCTCTTCCATCGATCATAACGGGCAATGTGAGATCACTGGCCAACAAGATGGAGGAACTCCAAGCCCTTTCAAGGACTCAGCCACAGTTTTGGCAGTTTCGGAACCGCTGGAGAAGATAATGTAAAGAAGGATTCTCCAGAGAATCAAGAAAATTATGGACAACTCTGAGCATTCTCTTCACAAGACTGTCCGACAACGGAAGAGTGTCTTCAGTCAGAGGCTTCTTCAGTTTCACTGCAACACTGACCGCTACTGGAGATCCTTCCTGCCAACAGCCGTTGTAATATACAATAACTCTTTGATGACTTGATTATTATTATTATTCTGAGCTACTACAGCAATCAGTTTCCCTCTGGGGCAGCAGTAGCTCAACAGGTTGAGTGGGTTGTCCAGTAATTGGAAGGTTGCAGGTTCGATCCCGGCTCCGGACAGAGAATTCTGCTGTTGTGTCCTTGGGCAAGACACTTCACCCACCTTGCCTGCTGGTGGTGGTCGGAGGGTCCGGTGGCGCCTGTGCTCGGCAGCCTCGCCTCTGTCAGTGCGCCCCAGTGCAGCTGTGGCTACATCTTAGCTAATCACCATCAGTGTGTGAATGGATGAATGATACACTGTAGTGTAAAGCTCTCTGGAGTCCTTACTCTGAGAGGCGCTATACAAGTGTGGATCATTTATCAAAGTATTTTTGATTTGAATTGTATATTTTATAATTTGGATGGATTAGAACAGGTAAATATGACGTGAATCTTACTGGAGATTAGAAATGTGACAAAATCCTTCAAAGAGAGCAATACAGTGGCAGATTGCTCTGGTATTTACAAAACATCTGGTTTTTCTAGCAGCTGGAAGGGCTTCAATTAAGTTTAATTTTGTTTATATTGGATGTTTTTGACCTGAGATTCAGCTGATACCCGTAAGATCAGCTGCTAGTTAATTTGTTTTGATCCCAGGAGGATAAGATAGATCTAAAACATGTAAACACATTCTAAGATGAATATTTAAAGAGCAAGTCACCCCCAAATAAACTTTTTTTGCTGATAAACTAAATAAACGAGTGTCTAATCGTGCTGCAGACACGTGTAGTCAATAATTTGGCACTTCAGTGCATCTTAGTTAAAATCTAAATATTCTGCCTGAAACTGGCAGTGTTGTGCCATTGTCAGGCAAAAACTCTGCACTGTATTTTAATTTAAATCTGCCACCGCTATTGGCTAAGAGGTATGCTATGATGTAAACTGGTACATTATGATGTCACAATGCTGTTGTGAGCCTGTGTGTGTGTGTATTTGTTAGCAGCTCCGTTTTCTCTGTCTGCCAGGCAACAGCATTTGTTGCATTTTTCAAACATGAAGTGGGAGTGGAGTTAGACTCTGGTAGGGGTTGACTTGCTCTTTAAGAATAGAATCAAGTCTCACCCTCATTTATCAGTTTTATTTGGTAAAGACAGTGGCAGCTCAGCTGACTGAAACTAGCTGTGTTCACAGAGTGGATAGTGTAATAAAGGGCTGCTACATGGTTTGTTTCTTTCTTAGATGCCGGGGCAACTTGATAACTTGAAGTCCAGAAAGCGGAAGAGCAGCTCTGAAGCCAGAAAGGTTTGTGTTGCGTGTGCAGAAAAAAAACACCAGACTCTGATCAGTTTTTAAACTAATCTCTGTTTTCTAACTCAACTCCTACTCAGAGAAAAAGATGTCTAAAAAGCCAGAAGACGCGCTCAAAGACGGATGGCATTTCAGCAGCCCGGTCCAACGAAACAGCCGATCCTCTGGAGAGATTGTCTCGCATCACCTGTGAATGCCACGAGCTGGCTGGCGGGAGGAGGTGTTCGGCCTCACCGGAGCTGGAAGGACGGGAGGGTAAAGAGAACGAGCTGAGGACAGAGGAGGATTTCAACGGCTGCAGAGCAAACAGCGCCTGTATCAAAACGGAAACAGAGAATATGGACTATGAAGAAAATTATAAGAACTTATTCCCAGATGATGACAGTAACCAGATCCTTCCTGTTGAGCAGTTCTTTGGAAATCTGGATATTGTACAGGTGAGGTGCTTCCTCCCTTTTTTTTCCAAGTCTCTTAGTCTCTGAAAGTTGCCAGATGTTTTACTGATTTTGGCCCGGTCTGAACTTCTGCGTTTGACGTTTTCTGGCAGCGTAGCTCGTAAAAAGTAGACATGAAGCCTACATTATGTGGTGAATACGCGTTTGGTGGAAAGCACCGACCTGGATGCATCCCAGCATTGCGTCGCGTAGCTTAGCAGAGATTTTGCTTCCAGCCTGTTTTCTATGCCCTACTCTTCCAGAACACGTCAAACTCAGCAGTTCAGTTTGGGCCAGACAGGAAGTCAAAAACAGGAGCGTTGTAACCTCTTGCAATTGTTGGATCCATCCTGCAACAATTGTTGTTGGATACCTGCTGCTGTCTTTCTCCGGCTTGTTGTTGCGCGAACCGCTGAAATCACGCGTGATCTTGCGACTCCAGTGGTTTTGTAGCATTGCAGGACCAGATGAGTGGAACTCCTTTGCGCCTGAAACTGCTCGGCTTGCGTGAGAAATGCAAAAGCTTTAGTGACTTACGACAGACATGACTTTCATACCCACAAACTCACTCACGTATGAAAGGTGAGGTAACAGACTTGTGTAACCTTCGCTGCCTGCTGCTGTTGTGCATTCTGACACGACTTTACAGGCACTTGGAGACAGGTGAATTCTAGCTTTCACAATGACGACTGACTTAAGACAAACTAATGTCCCTCTCGTCCTTCAGGATGTTCCTCAAAGGTCACCAGCTACTTGTTCCAGCACTAAAAAGAAGAGCAGAAGACGGCATTACTACGCACGGGAGGACAGCGATGAAGAGGAGGTGTGCCCCAGCTGCGCACCGCAGGACGGAGACGTGAGCGATTTCTGAAAGAGTCGGAGGCAAGAATCTCCCAGCACTTAAAAAACAAAAAAATCGAGTAGAGGAACTACCTTCCAGACACTGCATTCCTTTTGTTTGGATGCAAATTTTTATTGTTGGAAATGTACAAATATTTCCTCCCTACATTTTATTTATCCAGATCCCTCAAAATGTTTATATTTTCTAACGTGCAGTAAAAGAAAATGTCTACCTGCGACTCTAATGAAGTAGCAAACTCAAAGTTTTAGGAGTGGGACCAAATATTGATAAGAATTATGTTAGAGATCAGGATTGGCTCATATTCAGCGTCATTCTGACAAAAAGTAGAGATAAATATAGCAATTTGATATTTTTTAGGCCTGTGAAGTCAAACTGCAAAGCAATAATGTGTCTTTCACGTTCGGTTTTGTACATTTAGAATCATAGTTTTCAATTTAATCAAAGGAAAAATATAAATTTTTGTTAATTATGGTTAAAAAAGAATCAAATTATAGTTAAAGATGAATCAGAATCAGCTAAGAATAATGGCAGAAATTGGTATTGGCCTTGTGAAGCAGAGATTTTCAGCTTTCTTCGTGCAACACCAGAACGGATTCATCCCGCTTTGTTTTGTTGCTTCACGGCATGTTGGGAGATAAACGTGACGATAAAAAAAAAACACTTCTGGTTTTTGGATTTGTGCTAGTTTGACAAATGATGTGTCTGAGAAACAAAGGTTCTGATTTTATTTCTAAATTGAGTTCAGGCATTTTGTATTCAGTTGCATGCGTTGATTGCTGTGTCGTATTTCAGGCCACAGATCTCTAATCCTCATTCTTAAAGTTCAGTTTAAGATCCTAAGAAACTAAAATGGTCAAAATGGGTCATTTGTTCCAAATAAGTTAAAAACACACCAAGTGCTTGTTAACGTTTAACTACCTGATTCCAGTCGACGTGAATGTGACGAGGAAGCAATGAGAACATCTGTAAAAGAAGCTTTTATTTTGAAAAATCAGATGTTTTGGCCAAACATTGTTCACCAAGTGTCTAAACTCCATCCTCAAAGGTTTTTGGCAGAAACATCTGTAAAAACATCTGTGCAGCTAATTTTCAATGACATGTTTGTTTATAGAGAAAAATATATAAAGTATCAGATAAAAAAGATCGATTTAAAAATCTAGTTTTTGAGTAATCTGTCGCTAACAAACCTGATTAAACCCTGACAAGCTGACCAGCAGTTGCACTGGTCCAGCCTGTTGTATTTTGTATATAGCTGATTGTTCTGGTGATAACATCTTGTATATAATGTACTGCCTTATTTATAGATACACTGTCAAAAGTATGCAGCTTTGACTGACTGAATGTCTTACTCGTCAAGCAGCCTTCATAATCCGTCCGTATATTCCACGTCTCTGTGCCAGTGTGGGCTAGATATAAATGTATTCCATGATTACAACGTTTAAGTGCTTTTTTACAGAACGCTCTTCTGTTTCACGTGATTTCTGGATGACTTGTTGATTTGATCTGACGGCTTGAACAGATTAAAAACGTGTTCTGGTTTAAATCAAGCGTCTTTTCTTCTCTTTGGGTTTTTGTTTAGCTCTGTCTGCATGGGCAGCGGTCCGATAGATCTTTTTTGTGTCACAGGACAGGTTGTGAGCTCCCTTCTTGTGGCAGACGATGTGGACCAGTTTCAGGTTTTCCCTGGTGAACAGCATCAGGTAGAAGTAGTTCAGGTTGATGTCAGAGCTGCTGTGATTCTGCAGAGCTTCCAGCAGACTGGGTATAATTGTCCTCCTCTTCTCAATTCTGAGAAAGCAAACACACGAGCATCACACGTTATTGTAAAGAAGAAAAGCATTAAAATGTGGTTTCAGCGGTAAATGTTGACCTGTGGTCAAGGTTCCAAGTGCTGAAGACGATCCTGCTCTCCCGGCTGCCGTAGGGGTTGATGGAGTGGAGCGACTGGCACAGCTTCACGTCAAATGATCCCTGAGGAGACCGAAGAGGAAGGATGAAGATCCATTTCTTTCCCAACAGCATGACGAGTCCTTAATTCATACGTGACTCTTTGAACTTGTCACCTGGCAGGTGAACCATCCTTCACGAGTGCAGAGGCGCTCCGGCTCCTTTTCGGTCCTGTCGAAGTAGCTGCCGTTGTACCTGGCGCTTTTCAGCATCTCCAACAGGCACTTGGATGCTTTTAAAAACTCTGCCTTGACTTTGGCTTTCTGTATGGATCTGGTTGCATCGTCCAGCTAATAAAAAGGCAGAAGGCATGGACGTAATTTTGGGGGGGGGGGACGGGGGGACATGTCCCCCCGACCTTTTCCAAAATCAAGTTTTGACCCCTGCAACTTTTACCATCCAAAAACAATATTACGCTATATTAAATTGACACTGGTTGAGCTCTTAAGACCAAGTGTAAAACAGCCGTTTGTGTTGAAACCTGTTTACCATTAGAGTATACTGTAAAGATCCCCCCCCCCCCCCCCGTGCCCCCCCACTTCTCAAGTGAAAATTACGTCCATGGCAGAAGGTAACACTGAATATCAAACGCACAACAAACGAGGTAAAATCTGCAGAAGTCGACCTCTTTCATGTAGCCCCGTATCCTGCTTTCACAGTTGAACTTCATGTAGGCAGATTTTGTTTTGAATCGAGTGTCAACACCTAAAGAAATGATCAAAAAACAAAGTTCAGCTAAATGTTTAAGTCTCATGTAAATGTTCTGCAAAACCACAGAAAAAGTTACTTTTTTAACAATCGTTTGAGAAATAATCGCATTATTTCACAGCCAGAGTCCACGTATTAACTTAAAACAACAAAAATGTCTAAATGACGATTGTCTTGTAGACCTAATGACTGTACCACTGAACCAGTCTGCATCCTCCTCTCTGCTCTCCAGCTCAGACCTGTCCTCCAGGTTCTGCAGCAGGTCACTCAGGATTTTACGTCTCTTTGAAGAGTTTTCATCAGACAGAAGTCCTTTTGCGGCTTGGATCAGGGCATCAGCATGTCTGTCTGTGTTCAGTAACTGACCGATGTCACACATGACTAGAACAAAAGCAAGAGGGTGATCAGGACACGGCAAAATAAAAATCAGAGGAAAATAATTAAGCACCTCCTGTCCACGTCTGCTGTTTTGACAGAAGAACTAATTCACTGTTATCTGGCAGGGTGGAGAAGAACTCCTCGGTCACTATTGTCCCATCCTCGTATAAACAAACACGAGCACCAGAGAGCGGCAGCTGGAACGGTGGAGAACATAGAAATGGTATTCAACTTAACTGCATGCAACAATTTCCTTAAAATATACTTTTTTCTGCTTTGACCTTATTTACAACCTTCATAATAGTATTTTATGCCCATATGCATCCCTCTGTGTGAAACAGAAGTACTAAAGGACAGGACACAAACCACAGGAGCCATGTTTTCTGGTTCTGTATAGGTATACTAAATTAAAAACGATTAATTTCTGACCCAAAAAGCACAAAAACTCCTTAGTTAATTTCCTTTTGAGATAACTGAGTATCTAATCTGTAAATAATTTCAATTCTGAGACAAAATAACATAGTTATTACATAAGTCAAATTTAAGACCTATTTTGGGACGTTTTCATTATTTTCTGCACTTTGCGCTGAGGGTTTCACTTCCTGGTCTGATTCAGAACTGTCTGCAAGCATTAAATTAATTTAAACGAATTAGTGTCTAAATAACCTGCCCATGACCTAATAATAGGGTAAATTGTAACGTGTAACTAGCTATTTAAAACGTTACTCTTTTTATTTTTCACGTACTTGCGGAAGCATAAAAGGGAACAAGCGACCCACCTGTAATAAATTGCAGCCCTTTTTAAGCAGCTCCTTTAGATCTTTCGCTGCAATGCCGTATTTCAGGTTTCCACCGAAACCTCTAATTTTCACAGGTTTGTTTTTCCCAGAGACCCCAAACATGATTGTTTATAGTTTGTATATACCGCTTCCGTTGTTGTTTTTTCTTTCTCTTTGGTCCTAACGAGTCAGCGGCGGCGCTTTGCTGTCCTCTAGTGGTGGTTTGTATAAATAAATATGACACAAACCAAATTTTAATAATAATTAGAAAAAACGACTTCTAGAAGTACGTTCTTGCCTTTTGAAACATTCCAGTGAGATTTATAAATTTAGTAACATCACCGAGGATTTTAAAATAAGTGTTTTAGTTCAGATATTAGCCAAATATTTTAATAATTTGATTCATTTGGTTTAAAAAAATCAGGTAATCATCCGAAAGGGCAAAAAATAAAAAATAAAACTATTTGAAAAATATTGACAATAAGTAACATATTTGTGATTTTACGTGCAACACCATCGTGTAGTTTGACTTCCGAATATTACCATAGCAACTGATGCTGCACCCTGGAACATACCAAATCGCAGGTTTAATTAATTCACAACAGCTATTGTACAGATTCTTTAAAACCTTATATCTACGGTTTTACAAATTGTTTGTAAAAAGTACAGAGGCGTATGGATAACTAACGCTACGCACGTTTTCGTTTTCTTGCTAAAGCGTTTACTTAAACCAAAGATTTGTCGGCCCCCCCTCCTAACTGAATCGTACAACCCAAATTCAACATGGCGGTCGAATGGTTGAAAATCCAAATATATGGCAAAAACAACGTACTTTAACTCGTTCTTTCTTGGTTTTTATTATTCCCTTCCTTTTTATTGATTTAGTTTTGTTTTATCTGGAGAATATGGTTGAAACAGAAGACAATTCCAGCACCGAGGACGGCTGGGAAGATGTGTTTATGAGAAACCGGTTTGTTCCCCCGTGCAGCCAGGCAGTCCGACTGGCTGTGGAGAACCACTCCACCACGTCCCGGGGCTTCCAGCTCCGCCTCAACCGCCTGACAACAGCTCATCTCCCGCAGGTTAATCACCGCTCACACAGTAATGGTCCGGTTCATGGTCCGGGTTTCAGCAAACCTCACATACCAAGTTATCAGTTACATAATAAAGCACAAATAAATTCAGTATTTCGTTTTGTTTAAATTTGTTTATGTGAAGGTTTTATAGCTAAGGTGACCCAGTGTTTACATAGCACTTCTATTATGTCAAATTATGAATGCATTCTTTGTTTAGGTGCTTTTGTATTGGTGAGTTTGCCGCTTGAACTAAAATATAAATAAAAGCTGATCATGTTAAGCAAAGTGTTTATGTTTTAAACTCAAATACATGTTTATTGTGGTTAGGGCAACTTTTACCAGATCTTCTCTTTTTGGTCACAGGAAGTGTCGGCGGGAGAAGATGTGACCTTCCAGCTACGGGCGACACTGTTTGATAGGAAGCATCAGCACTTCTTTGGGAAAACATGGAAGAGTTTGCCCCAAAAGATTAAAAACAACAAGATTCCCTTCAACGAGGTAACTTTTCCAAACAGCGCCAAAGTCTTTTCTCTCTCAGGCTCTGAGGCTACAGTTATGAGCTCCTCTGAAGCCGTTGTCGTAAGCAGTGAGTCGATGATTATTTAGTAAAATCAATCCTTATTTAAACCTTGATTAAATTGATTTAGTGGAGCCATTATTTAATCAACCCCTACTCAAATGACTGATAAATCAGCCCTCAATGAATTAGCACTTAGGACTGGACTGTGTTCTGCGATATTCTCAAGAGTGTTGTCAGCCCAAATTAAACAAAACAAAACCCTGAAGTGATTCCCAACAAGGCATCCCAGTTGCATTCTGCAGCTTCCATATTATAAACACTTTCTCGCTCTTATTTGCTGAAGCCAAAGGAGCAGAACTTGTGAGAGTTGTCTTTGAGAAGAATAAAAAGCATTTGGTATAATCTTTGTAAGCTCTCTTTTCGATGGCCAGCTTTTCTTATGAGGTTAAATCACTGACACGTCTAAAATGACATCTAAATAAAATAAACGTACTCAGTGGAAAATGTGTGATGACATTTTTTTTATGCTAAAATGGCATTAAAATACAAAACAGTGCTCCATCTCGTCATTCAGATGAGTTGTCTAATAGGTTTAAGCAGAGATTCCTCTTAAATTAATTATTTTATTACCTAAAAATGGTGATCAGACATTTTATATGTCAGAGGAGATGGCAACAAAACCACCAGATCTGTTTCTACAAAATTCAGTCATTAGGAATTTAAGAAGACGTCAATTCCCTGAAATATCTCCATCTTTTATGTTGTGAAAAAGAATCAATATTCAAAAGCAGTGCATTAATTTATATTGACAATTTACATGCAATTTAAAACTCCGACTGCAGGTGGCAGCAGAGGTTTCTTCCTGTTAAAGGGGAGTTTTCCACTCTACTGTCGCTACATGCTTGCTTAGTATGAGAATTGCTGTAAACTGTGAATGATTGCACAATTGTATGTGCAATTTAGATTATACTACACGCGTTATCTTGTGTGGATATTTCAGCTTGGCTCAGGCTCAGGTACATGCGGTGGGGCTCAGCTGTGCTGGTGGTTAAAATTTCCAGCTTCAAACACAAAGTTTAAATCTTTTAGCTACATCTACCATTTATTTTTCTGTTCTTTCTTTGGTCAGGCATTGTTCTTTCCCTCGTTTGTTCTCTGTAATCATCATTAGATAAAGAGAAAAAAGTTTTTTCATGCCACGCTGTGTGATCTCCTCTTTGAGAGATTTGCTTTGATGATGAAATTTTCCATAACGTATTACATGCTAAATAGGATGTTGAAAGAATCAAAGACCTTAGGTACAAAAGATAACATTTGCTATGCAGATTTAGAACAAGTTGGATTATTTTCATGGTGGAAATATATTTGATCAGAGCTGCTTCTGTGGTCTGTCTGCTGTTGGATACATGCAATTCTTTATAGATGACCGTTTAATCCAGAATTCTTCTTATCTCATGCGAGGAAAGGAACTTTGTTACCTCAAACATGTGATGTGACACTAACAATTCAAGGTTGTTTATTTATTTTTCAAATTTTGGAGCCATCTTGAAGCTTTTCTATTATAAATAGCATCCAGAAGGGTCTTTGCTTAGAGAATTAGGATTGATGAGCTAACGGCTAGCAAGGGTGCAAACAAAACCAAAGCACATTTCTGCTAAACTAGCTGATGTTGACCCAGAAAGTCGTTATGTCACATGACAACACATGCAATTTTACATATTGATGGCATCATCATGTCATGCCGTGTTGGAGTACTGCTGAAAATATGGCGGTGGTCACTTTCTCCTCAGTGTTCAAGACGGAATAGATGTTAGAAATATTAGAAAATTCCAGCCGGACCTGAGCCCGGTTGCACCAGAAGCGATACACCTCACTGCTGCTGGTGATGTTTAAGCTAGTAAATAACATAATTCTATGTAAATAATTATGTAATCTCACATTTATGGTGATTTTAATGTTTATAATGTTGCAAGAACCGTCAAAAAAAAAAAAAAAGAAAAAGAATGCAGACGTTTTGAAAATTGGAGAAATTCTGGTAACTTTACAGTCCCATAATTACTAAGTACTTACATGGTAATTACATAGTAAGTTAAAAATTTTTTTATTGTTTCTGAGTTCTTAAACAGTTATTAACATGTAACTCAGGTTCAATTCTAGTTTTTACTTTTATTAATCATTCTCAGTAAATACTGCTTTACATAATAATTACACTTAATTACAATTATACACCATCATACACTTTACATTATTATGTAATTACCATGTAAGTACTTAGCAATTAGGGGACTATAAAAGGAAGGATTACTGAAATTCTGACTTGGCAACAAACTACTTTGGTCAGGCTAGCCGTTAGCTCATCAATCATACAGGAGAAAATGGATAAATGTTATTTTTCAGTAATTCCAAGTTTAGTCTGACAGCTGAGTATGAGAAGAATGGAGGGTTTTCTACAATACTTGGAACAACCCGCCTGTGCTCTGTGGTAGCTCACCGTGTAGGCAAACACTCGAGTCGGAAGAGATGAAGCCAACAGGGAGAAAAATCAGAGTTTTCCGCCTTTCCCTCTTTGCCACGTTTTACTGAAATGCTTAGCTGATTCCCCTTTTTCCCAGTGACTTGGCGTAAGCCAGAAACGTACCTCCTCTGATGTCATAGATGTTTATTTTGTGAAAATAGAGACTTAACTTGGTGCAGATGGAAAGATTTATAGATACCTTCAAGTCTGATTGGGTTTGACATTATCTGGAGAGTTTCTTGTAAAGCAGCCAACAGTTATTACCTACAGATTGCACATCTTTGTTTTCTTTTTCCTAGAAGAAGACCTCTTTGTGTTGTTATGATTGAGTCCGTATCTGGGAGCAGCTGGGTGTCTGTGGTCTTCCTCAGTCAAACATCTGGCTGTGTGTGTGTGTGAGTGCAGGCTGGAGGCCGGTCATCGGAGCAGTGTGAGGCTTCCAAGCAGTTTCTAAATTCTAGGTAGCCTCCCTCCCACATCAGCGATTAAAAACGGATCTGGAGCTGGCTGTTTAACAGAGTCACAAACGAGTCACACCCCCGTCAGCATCACCGCTCCCACCCCCGTCAGCTTCATATCCTTTTGATCCAGCGTTCAGTGCAAGGCATGACTCTGATGCACCACAATGGTCATAGCCTCTATAAAAATCCTCTCGCCATCCCAATCAGCATCCAAATCCAATTATCCATCCAAGGTGATAAAATAAGCCACATATATCAGGATGATAAAGTGGGCCCAGCCCTTCTCGGCCATGCTGCCAGAACCACACTGGCTCGTTTTTTTTATTGGATTTGGCCCGACTCGCGCACGTTCCTGCTGCTGTTTATGAGTGGGAAATTGCTGCTTGATATCCAAATAACGTTACAGATGGAGGATTCTCTCCTGAGTTGCATTAGCACAGTGAAAATTGCAACGCTCACCCCCTCCCCTCTCCAGTCAGTCATGATGGATTGGTTTTAATATCTGCAGAAAGATGCACGGTGATTAAAGGTGGAGGGAGAGCGCTCCAGCTAAATCCGTTCTCCTTTGTCTTTGCATTTAGCTCAGCGGAGCTTGTGATGTCACGACAACGGTGACGTGCCGGCAGCATTCTTTGTGTGTGAGCTGCTCTTAGTCTTGCAGGTGGAGTGCACATCAGTTTTCATTCCTGGGTGATGGGATTGTCAAACAGCATTTATGTGAAGGAAACACGATAAATGGATGGATTTAGAATGTTGTGTGTTTTTCTAATAACTCAGATAGTTTCCTCCGATCTCTGGACAGTGGTTAAAGCATTTTGTACTCTTCTTTCTGCACTTTGTCCGTGAAAGCTTTGGTCAGTAGAGGGCAATGTTGTGCTACAGATGCACAGATGGAAGAGTCGATAGATCGGAGGAGGCGGAGAGAAATGTTCATCTTTCAGCATTGTCTCTCTCTGTGATCACTCCATTTGAACTCCATGTGAAAGCAGGGAGCCAGTGGTTTCTTCTCAAATGTGCAACATTATCAGGCCGGCAGCTGGGCTTGGGAGAAAAGGCCAAGCAGTTTTTTTTTCTGTCTCTGTGTTTTTAGGGCTCTAAATGCTGTTTGGCACTGCACCGAATAATCTGAGACCAACAAACACATTCGTATATTTTGTTTTTCTGTTTTTATCTACAAGTCTAAACACAAGATCTCCCAATGAGCTGGACTGTCATGTCTTCTATACAGATGGTGTGATCAAAGATTGCTCACAGTGGAAAGCAGAAGACAGAATCTTATCCGTAAAAAAGTATGTCAGTGCCTCCAGTTTATTGTGATGACTTAAAAAACCTCACGACTTTTTAAAGTTTAAAAGGAAAAAGAATTCTCTGAAGCTCAAATTGAAGCTCAGTTTTCCATCTTGCTGTAAAGCCCAAGTTTTCCCTCTGAAAACGTACAATTTGTTGTCAGAATGAAGCTGCTATTGCTGCAACAACGCTACATCTAAAGCCGTTATTCTTCCAGTTTCTACCCCTCTGTAAAAGCAAAGACATGCTCAGCTAAAGGAAAAAAATCTATTTGAACTCTGCTGTATTTCCCTCTCTCTCTCTGTGTGTGTGTGTGTGTGTGTGTGTATGTGTGCGTGCCATTGCAGTGATTGCCCATGTGTTTCACAGTTTCTCATGCGTGAACGAGCTCTGTCTCATACTTCTCTGTTTAAGGAAAAAGGTGATTACCTGATTCTCATGTCAAACTTTATTCCATGAGAATAGAGGAGTCATTACAAAACAAATCATGTTCTGGCTCAGTGATTTTAAACGTCACCAAATGATTTGGCTGTGACTTTTAGTTTAGCTAGTTTGCAAATTGCTCTGCCGTTCCGTTTGTCCTCTCCATTAAGGCTCCTTCAGAGCAAGTAGTCACTCTCTTTCAATGTAGCTTCTGCACTCTGTTCTATTTCTATGCTAAGTAGCTGTGTGATAACCTTTTGAATCCAAAAGAATTCAGATGTTTCCGTTTAAA